CGATCACTTTAAGATTGGCGAAATAGACCGGTTCAAGAATTAAGAGCTCAATACGCGATATATCTTAAGCCGCTCCCATTGCACCTTGTGTCCAGGAGACAAGGGGATAGCTTCTGGAGTTGTTAACGTACAAACACTCCATGGTAAAGAGAATATTTGTATATATACCGTTTTGAAAATTGTGGGCACAACATACGTTAGGGTGACAAATACTGCTACAAGACAAAAGAAGAGGGAATCACAGAATCAATTAAAAAAAAAAAAAAGAACCACAGGAAGCCCTAGAGGGTCACATGTATAAATAAAAGATGAAAGCACTGTGTGAGAGAGTTCCAGAATTTTACCTAGAAGGCACAATGTGAAAAGACTCTAAACCAAGAAACCTACAGTAAACATTATTTTCTACTTCAAGCAATACAAATTTCAAGGAACAATAGCCTCAATTACGTGGATATAGCCTTAGTCTTTCAGTTAAGGTGAACCGCTTATATCTTGTTCTTTGATCCAACAACAACAACTATTTTCTATTGACACAATATTCACAAAGCCCCCCCGGGCCTCGCACACCGTCCTTATTCTGCACTTAAGTACAGTATTTTCGAGCACCATCAATTACATAAAATTTTCTATTGCAACTACTACAAAAAAAAAATTGAGTTATTCATGAATAGCTTCATATCAGCTTGAATAAAAGTTCATTCAAATTCATTCATTTATAAAACCAAACGAGTGCAAGCTCAATTTTTAAATCTGTTTGATAAATAAGCTAAGCACAAGGAATGACTTATTGACTCTTTAAGCTCATTATATATATAATATGCAATTGTAGGTGACTATTTTTTTATGCTTTGTGCACAATATATATCAATATATAATAAAATCTACATATTACTATTAAATTATATAAATAATATTATATGTTTATAAATGAGCCGGGCTTAGTTTGAACATGAGCCTAAACTCAAGTTTAAGGTAGAGTTCTACTTAGGGTAAATTATATTTTATCATCTTGATTTATTACCTTTATTTTACTTTATACTCTCAACCAAAATTTTTTTTATATTGTACCCTAAAGTATAAATTGCATTTCATATCACTCCAATAGATATCGACTGTCAATTTTTTTATGGTAAATACGCATTTGAGTGGTCTATACTGCCAATAAGTAGTAGCCTATTGCATATGTGCAGGTCAAAAATAAAAAAAAATACCCATCTATAACTTTTTCCTTTCTAAACTTCTAATTTTCGTTCTCTGGCCGACCTTGTTTTTCTTCCCGNAAATTATATTTTATCATCTTGATTTATTACCTTTATTTTACTTTATACTCTCAACCATAAATTTTTTTATATTGTACCCTAAAGTATAAATTGCATTTCATATCACTCCAATAGATAACGACTGTCAATTTTTTTATGGTAAATACGCATTTGAGCGGTCTATACTGTCGATAAGTAGTGGCCTATTGCATATGTGCAGGTCAAAAATAAAAAAAAAATACCCATCTATAACTTTTTCCTTTCTAAACTTCTAATTTTCGTTTTCTGGCCGACCTTGTTTTTCTTCCCAACAACTATTTAGTAGCAAAAAAAGGTAAAATAAACTGGTACTCACATAGAAGCTATCGTTTGGCTCCGGATCCTCCTACTTCTTGTGCCGACTTCACCAGCCTCGCGGGGTATCGATTTCCTCTTGCTTCGTGTGCCGGGCCGGGCCGGGCCAGTAAAGCTTTTCTTATGGTGTAATGTGGTAAATTATATAATTGAGAGTGTAAAGTAAAACAAAAATAATAATTAGAAGGATAAAATATAATTTACTCTTCTATTTATTTATTTGGCAAATCGAGCCTAACCAAAAGTTTGATGCTCGTCACGAGCCCGAACATACTTCATAAACAAGTAACCCCAAAAGNTTTCCTCTTGCTTCGTGTGCCGGGCCGGGCCGGGCCAGTAAAGCTTTTCTTATGGTGCAATGTGGTAAATTATATAATTGAGAGTGTAAAGTAAAACAAAAATAATAGTTAGAAGGATAAAATATAATTTACTCTTCTATTTATTTAATTGGCAAATCGAGCCTAACCAAAAGTTTGATGCTCGTCACGAGCCCGAACATACTTCATAAACAAGTAACCCCAATTTGTGGCTATAAGAAAAATTAATGAGTTGAGGTTGAAGAAAAAATATTTGAAACTCGTCAAACCCGGACCAAGCCCGAGCATACTAGTACTCGTTGCAAACTCACATCACACAGGAAACTTGCATCTGTCACATACAAAAAAAAAAAAAAGTCCGATAAATTTTTGACTGACCTAATTTATTGATATAATCATTCATAAATATTAAGATTGACAATTGGTCTCAGTATTTATTCGGACCCATAATTAATTTAATAGTTTTATGATAGATTAAATTATTAAAATATATCCAAATAATATTATTTTAATAATAAAAAAAAAAGTAGGAGAGAAACTAGAGAAACTTTGAGATCAAAGAAAGAATGGGTGATAGTAGGTTGTTTGTGTGAAGGGAAACAGTGCCACATGAACGTGAGATTTTGCTTCAATGGGTTAGAAAGATAAAATGCTTAAAGAGACATGTGGGCACGAGTGTGTGTGATCACGAATGAATAAACTTCCCAATTGGCATGTCTTTTACCCTTTTACCCTTCCTTTCAGTATTGTTGTTATGAAATTTACACATCACCATAAACTCTTTAATTTATTTATTTATTTATTTTTTGAATGGAACTGAATCCAGTAGTAGTATTAACATGCTCGAATTTGATTTGAGACTAAAATAAGTTTGCTTTGACTAAATTGTAGGATATTTGATTCGATGCTTCATTATTCTTCGCTGATTTATGCTACACTAGACATGTAGTTCTATAGAATAGAGTAGTTTCTCCTCCTTTCCTGCCTAAAAGCACAAATAAATGCATAATATAAATAGAGACATTCCCTTCATTCTAGAAACACGCTCAAACAGATTAAAAAATTTTGTTTTTAAAGAAACTGAAATAAATTGGTAATTAAATCAAAATTCGAATGCTTGAGAAGTATTTCGAGATATTTTGAAATTTTTTCTAGATAATTTGGTATTTCAACCAATAGTGTTTAGATATGTTTTGGAAAAAGTAAATTTCTTCAAAACATTTTATTATATTTCGACCAACATTTTTATTTTATTTTTGAAATATTTTTGAAATATATTATAAACGTTTTTATTTTTTAAGTGACGTAAACGATGACAAACTCGGGCATTATTTATAAAGGGCCAATTAGAATCACAAGACCTCACTTTACAAGTACAATGTATAAGGTTCGAACCTTATCAGTTGTGATATGTCAGTGTGGAGGGAGGGACCAAGTACCAATACTACTTTCCAAGTGAACTCTAAAAAACATACAAGGGCATCGAATCTAAGTAATAGTCCACGGTACAAAAAAACACAAAGAGGGTACCTTACAACCATTACAAGTTGTGTGTTGGTTTTTTCCCAAAATTTGAGGAACATTTACAAGTTTTGTGGTCTACTTCGTATCGAAATCTAAGGAGTAGTTTATGGTATCGGAAAAAAAAAATTAGTCCCATACCACCATTACAAATTTTGTAGTTATTTTTTTATAAAGTTTGAAGGACGTTTATAAGTTGTGACTTAATTTTTATGAGTTATTGACAACTTTTGTGAGTTACTTGGGATTGATCCTAAAAATTTTGGAATTGATACTAAAAATTTTGGAATCGAGCCAAAGTCATCCATAGAAGTACAAATGACCTACAAAAGTTATAACTTGAATCATAAAAATTGTAATATGACATCAAAAGTGGTAAAATAATCCTTAAAAGTCATAAAAGCACCCACAAAAATTATAAATTTTGGAGGCACGGTACCGTAGATTTTCACCCAAATATAATTAGGTTAAACAACCAAAAAAAAAAAAGAACCTGTATAAGCATTAAGGAAACAATTTTTTGCTTGGGAACATGGAAATTCCTCTTGCAAACTCTACACAAAATCGGATTTGTAACAGTAGATAAAAATTAGGGCAATGACATACTGTGGCATTACATCAATCCGAAAAAGTACATGTCGAAAAACAAGAGCTGTGCAACACGAGAAAAAAGATTACAGTAGCTCCAACACACTGGCAAGTTCAACCTCTAGCTATTTAGAAGATGCAGACCAGAGAAGTAGAAGACTGACATCCAAAAATTCCTCAATAGTATGATTTCCGAGGATTGTTCTGTGAAGAGAAAACAACCGAGGAGAATAAGATCTTAGGAACGATATTCACTATAATTAAAATTTTGTTTAGGTGCATTGATTCGGTCACATAAGAAAGGGGAACATGTTGACCTGTTTTAAAAACATAATGAAAAAAAATAAAAAATGTAAGAATTATTTTTCCTAAACATTGGTCGAAATATACGAAAGTATCTTGAATACCTTAAAACATTTCAAAACAATTATACAAATGCATTGAAATAAAAAAAAATTCATTTTGCCCCTTAAAAGATACAAAAATTCTCAATTTTCTCCCCCCAAATGCTTAATTTTCCCATATTGCCTCTCAAAGAAATAAAAATGTCATAATGTTGTCAAAAAACGTTGCAATCTGCTTCCAAAAATGTTGCAATAAAAACATTTTGGACCACATTGCAACGTTTTTATCTCTTTAAGAGGACAATGTGAAAAAATTAATCATTCGAGGGACAATCTGAAAATTTTTTTATTTTGTAAGGGGCAAAATGGGATTTTCCCATTGAAATATTACAAAACTTCTCGAAATATTAGAATTTTGATTCCATCACTAATTCATTTCAATTTCTTTGAAAACGAAAATGTTTCAGACATTTTGAGAGATTTGAAACGAAATTTTGATCCATAAATATAATGTTTAATGATCAAAATTATTTTTATACTCAGAGGAATATGTTAAAGAATGTTGGTTGATTAATTATGACGACAAAATGGATATATACAAAACAAAGGACAAAGCTTTATACCAGAGGATTTGGTCTGAAGCGGTAGCCAAGCATCATCCGCTTCTTGTACTGCTCGTATATGTCATCATCAGGAGTTACCTCTCCAGGCTGGTGAGCGCCAACCCCCAAGTGGTCTTTTTTCACATTACCCGCCATTATTGGATCTGCAATACCATTTCTGGAGCTCCCCAGACCCTCACCTGCAGTTCACACAGATGTAAAAAACAGCCTTTCTTTAACTTATGTACTATCTGTTTTTAATGACAGCATTCGTGAGTCCAACACTATCTTAGTATAATGGTCATCCAAATGAGAGTGTTGAAAATATTGGCACATGCATGTGCCCACTGCTACTATTTACATTTTTTTTTATAAGAAACAACACTTTCATTTCATTGAAAGAAACATAATAAGTGTACTTAAATAGTGGATAAGGAATCCACCTTAAAGAGCAAAATAAGACAAATAAAACCAAACAAAATTAAGGAATACAAGCAGCTTTGTAGTTGTGTTGGAGAAATGAAAGAGACATATCTCGAAACTCTTTAGTAATAATCGCTCATAAAGATGTCAGAAACTTCACTCTATCCTACAACAATTTTTTTCCCTCCTCCAGTCCTTCAAAAAATTCTATGATACCTTTTATCCATACCATCCAAAAAATGGCTAAAATCCTATAGTTTCATAATGTTAAACTTTTTTTCTCTTTACCAAAACCATCCAATTGCATTACCAAAAGAAAAGCACAATAGTGAGGAATAACCAATATCAAATCCGCTTCCTTCAAGAGTTTGTGCCGCAAGAAAATAGTAATAAGACAATGAAGGAACAAATGGTCAACACTTTCACTACTTTGCTTGCACAAAACACTATCATTGTGGAGAATATAAGTGTTAGGCCCTTTCTTTTGTAACAAATCACAAGTATTTACCTTACCATAAGCAATAATCCAAGCAAGTACCTTGTCTGTGGTTCAAATGTAGCATCATTAGAGTCATCAATCAAACATTCAAAACAAGAGCAACGGGAGAAATTTCCAGATGAATCTAGAGACCACAACGTTTTATCACTAACTGACGGAACCAAAGAGACTGGATCAAGCAATAAAAGAGATGAAGAACACTCCAAGATATCATAAACATTTAGATTACGAAAGAAATTGAAGTTCTACCCCAACCACCCCAACCCCCAAAACAAGGAATAAGACGAACTATAAACCCTAGCCACCGGAGTATTATGAAACTTAGTCAATCTAAGAGGTCGAGGAAACATAAAATCAAGAGAAGACTTACAAATCCAATAATCTCCCAAAAATTAATTCTTTCCCCATTCCCAACCGTCATTCTAACATACTTTCCAAAATATCCAAACCTTAAGAAATACTTTATAATGAGATGATTTTTCTTCCCTTCTCCACTACCTTCCCATACAAAATCTCTCATCATCTTCTTCAGAATCTTAACCACTTTCTTAGGTATCTTAAAAATGGACATAAAATAAGTAGGAATACAACCCAAAACGGCTTAGATCAAAGTAAGCCTCCCTCCTCTAGACAAACAACCCTCTTTACAACTATCTAATCTTTTTTAAACTCGTTCCACCACTAGATTCCAAAAATTAAGAGATAAAGCACTACCCTCCCCATGGAAGACTTAGATACTTTAAAGGCCATTCAACCACTTCATAACCTAATCCCCTAAACAACCCCTCAACTTTGTTCCTTGAAACATTAATACTTGCAACAAGACTCTTGGACACAGTCACCTGCAAACTTGATACCAAACTAAAAGTACTAACAATACTCACCAAATTCTAAAATTTAAGCTCATCCTCTGATAAGAAAAAAAATATCATCCGCAAACTGAAGATGAGAAACATTAATCCTATCATTTCCTACTATGAAACACTCCACTAAATTATACTTCAATCCTCTATCCACCAATCAACTTAAACCATCCACCACTAAGGTAAAAAGGAAAGGAGAAAGTGCATCTCCCCGTCTCAGGCCCCGAGATGCATTAAATCTTCCCCTTGGTTTGCCATTTACAATTACTGAAAAGTTTGTGGAAGATAAGCATCCCCTAATCCATCTTCTTCATCTATTCCCAAAGACTTTTAACTTTAAGAATAAAATCCAAAAACCCACCAATCCACATGAACATATGTTTTTCAAAGTCAATTTCAAAAACCACCCTTCTTTACCTTTGACTCTATATTCTTCGACCACTTCATTGGCCACCAAAACACTACCAAAATTTGTCTACCCATAACAAAAGCACTCTGACTTCTAGAAACAATATCCCCCATAACCCCCCTCAATCTAATGGACAACACTTATGCTAGAATCTTGTACAAAGTAGTAACTAAACTAATAGGTCTAAAATCACCAATTTTCAAATAATTCTGTTTTTCAAAAATCAAGCAAATGGAAGTAGCATCAATGTTCACATTCACCACATCATTCCTAAAAAAATTCACAAAACAACTTTATTAAATCATCTTTAACCATAGACCAACAATCTTGAAACAAAGCCAACGAAAAACCATCGGGTCTAGGAGACTTACCTATATACTACACTCAAACACAACATCTCTTACTTTTATCCCCTTAAACGGTCTCTCTAACCAACTTGCTTTCTCCCTCCCAATGCAATTCCACTCCAACCCTAACAAAATCGGCCTCATTCCTTCTTGAGCAGTATAAAGAGCTTTAAAATACTTTATGAATTCCTCAATAGACCTTTCCTCTTCTAGCATCATACCATCGTCAATCTTAAGTTTACTTATTAAGTTCCTCTTCCTTCTGCCATTTGCAATTCTATAAAAGAACTTTTGAGTTGTTATCACTCTCTCCTTAACCCATGTTACCTTAACCTTTTGCCTCCAACTTATCTCCTCTTTAAACACCACCTGCTCAAACTTATTTTTTAACTCCAACCTCTTTTTTCGTAAACTAGCATTTAATTCCCCAGACACATCCAACCTATCAAGCTCTAAAATATGATGCATGTTAATTACTATTTTCCAGCTTAACATCACCAAACCCCTCTTTATTCCAAACCTTGAACTTTTGCTTCACATTTTCTAATTTCTTTATATAAACTTAAAATCCTCTCATCCCTGGACCTCATTTCTTATCACCAACTCTTGAATTTCTGCTTAAAACAATGATGCTCCATCCACATATTCTCAAACTTGAAAGGAATTGAACCCCACTTAAAAGCACTCTACACTCAAATCTAAACAATGGAAAAGTGATCCGACACTACTCTAACTAAAGCCTTTTGTCTCACATCAGGGAAACACTCCTCCCAGGCTTTCAGAGAATAAAAATCTATTAAGCCTATAACAAACTAGATTCCTCATATTGGATCCTGGTATACGATGCATTACCTAAAGGTCATCACTAACGTAGTTTCCCTAATCAATTCATTAAAATCACGAGTACTTCTGGTTCTTCTTCCCCCTGATGTTTTTTCAGACACATATCTCACCACATTAAAATCACCCCCAAAAACCATCTAGGACCGCATAAGTCATACAATACTGTCAACTCTTCCCATAAATTTCTTCCTATCCAAGAGCAAACAGGACCATACACCGCTGAAAACCACCACTCAAGTCCATCCTTCACTTTAAAGCGAATATAGAGAGTAAACTCCCCCACCACAATTCTAATGCAGACACAACCTTAACACCTACCACATGAGGGTTAAAAAGCTGAATCCTTAAATCTAAGGTGTCGTTTGGTAACCATTAGGTTTTTTTGTTTTTGTTTTTATTTTATGGCAAAAAAATAAAAATAAAAAACACATTTGGTGAATATTTTCGTTTTTTTTTTAATTGTTCTATTTTGAAAACAAGGTAAAATATGGAAACATCCAAAAGGATGTTTTTGAAAACATCAAAAATTAAAACAAACGTGCGTAGCAAAAGGGGATTTAATGAGATATTGGTTTCGATCCTCCTTAGCAACAAAAAATAATTTTTTTGCTTGAGTATAAAAGGCCCCCTTCCTTGTTTCACCCCTTTGTCGTCTCTCTCTCTCGATGCCAACGATGAAGACATCGCCAAAGCCATCGCCATCGCCAATCGCTGCGAAGGAGCTCTCGGATCCAGAAGCCATTACTCTATCTCCAAGGTCAGATTTCACTCCATCTCCATCAAGCTCTCACTATACCTCCAAGCCCTAGATCTATGTATATATATTGTCTGTATATATATACATATATAGCCCTCTATCTATATATATATTGTTATATTTGAGTGTGTGTGAGAGAGAGAGATAACAAAAATGGGTTTCAGGGGGTTTCGGGGGTACTGAGTGGTTGTTGGTGGAGGTGGATTTTCCGGGATGATGGGTTTTGGTGATGAGTGATGTTTCAGTTGGGTTTTTGATGCAAATCATAGCACAACTTCAAGGGATCTAGCTTAAGTCCCAATTAGGCCAATTACGAGCGCACAAGCAAGGAAGTTTAAAGAGGTACTCAACGGATTGATTCAAGAGGCATGGACTCAAGCAAGTTCGTGGAGGCCCATTGAGCATGATCTACTTGGACAACAAAGATTCATCAACATGACTCAAATTCTAGAAGAATCCGGCTAAGGGTTACAGCTAAGCTTAAATTGGCATGTTTAAGAATACTCTTTTTTTGGGTCTGATTGTAAAGCTCGCATGCCATTTATTTTTCTTTTAGGAAAGTAAGACTTTCATTTTTCTATTTCGACATGTGATCAACCAATTAAAGGGCTGATTTTCTTTCTTTTTCTTCAAGTAAGAGTCTTAGGAAAGTAAGAGTTATTTCTTTACCAGCAAGCACGAGATATTTCTTTACCAACAAGAGATATTTCTTTACCAGCAAGTAAGAGTTATTTCTTAATTAGGATAGCTATTTTAGGAAGTTTCCTTGTAATGACCAATCTTTTAAATAGGCGTCTAATCAATAAAAAGAATAGATCATTATTCAGCAAATTGGAAAGTATTTTCTCTGCGATTCTTTGAAGAACTATTCGAACTTATCGGGATTTCCGTGGCGTTCACCAGCGACTTATCAAACGGATTTCCACCACCATTTGTGGCGTCTCCCTTATACCGAGGTTCTTGTTTCACAATAAACAGCGAGTTGAGGTCATATGTACCAAGGTTCTTGTTTGTCGTAAACAACGGGTCGAGGTCTTTCATTCAATTTTGTTCGTAGAACGATCTTGGGTTCTTTTTCGTTGTCGGATCTCGTTATTTTAGTGGGATTTCACATCATTTGGTATCAGAACAAGGTTCTAGTTCAGGTTTGCCTATATTTTAAAAACCTTTCGTTTTTTTATTCTGTGTTCTTTACTTCCAAATTCGGTTCACAAACTCTAGTTTAGCCGAATATCCTTTACCCCCATTCCGCTCGTATTTTGTTGGTTCTAGTTTATTACGAAATCTTATTCTGTTAACTATCAAAAGATAGTTGTTAATCATCAAAAAAAAAAAGACAGAAAGAAAGAAAGAAAGAAGTCAAAAAAAAACAAATACAAAAAAAGAAGGCCAAAAGGAGAGAAAAAAAAAAAAAAAAGCCCGAAATTGTTTGGTTCAAGTTATTACGAAATTGTTGATGATTGGAATTCTATTGTTAGTAATAAGAGACATGGAGGGCGGTTTAGAGAAGCTAGGAATCGGGAAGATAACAACTTGGATGGAATTAAGATGAAGATTCCGTCATTTCAAGGTAGATCCGATCTTGAAGCATGCCTTGAGTGGGAGAAGAAGATGGAGTTCGTATTTGACAACCACAACTATTCCAAAGCAAAGAAGGTGAAATTAGTTGTGATTGAGTTTTCAGACTATGCTATTACTAGGTAGGATTAGCTTGTAATAAACAGGAGACGGAATAGAGAACGGCCAATAGAGACATGGGAGGAGATGAAAATGGTGATGAGAAAGCGGATCGTTTCAAGTTACTACTACCGAAAGTTGTACAAAAAGTTACAAGGTCTTAGACAGGGTAGTCGGAGCGCGGAGGATTATTACAAGGAGATGGAAATTGCTATGATCCGAGCTACTGTAGAGGAAGATCAAGAGTCTACAATGGCTTGGTTTTTACTTGGATTAAACCGAAAAATCTAAGATAAGCTAAAGATGCAGCATTATGTGGAGTTGGAACATATGGTGCATGGCCATCAAAGTGGAGCGGCAACTCAAAAGGGGGGGGGGGGGGTCACGTGCTGCCAATAACTCTAGTTCTACCTCTTGGAAACCGGGTTATACCAAACAAATGGACAAGTCACAAACGTCCAAATCTGAGCCCAAGTTCGCGAACACCAGCCACGTTCCGCAAGGTAAAACCGACACTTCTACCTCTATGAATCGTGACATTAAATATTTTAAATGTAAAGGCAGGGGACACATAGTAAGTCAATCCAAACAAGTAGGTCATGGTGTTGCAAGAAAATGGTGAAATTGTGACCGACAATGAAGATCCCGACACCAACGACATGCCACCATTGGAGGACGTTTCCAAGGAGGAATATTTAGCCCCTGATGCATTGACATTGGTGGCGAAGAGAGCATTGAGCGTGCATGCAAAAGAGGTTGATGAAGTGCAACGGGAAAACATCTTTCACACTAGGTGTTACATCAAAGACAAGGTGTGTAGTGTGATCATTGATGGTGCTAGTCGTACTAATGTGGCAAGCACAATTACAGTGGAAAAATTGGAACTACCCATGTTAAAGCACCCTAAACCATACAAGTTGTAATGGTTAAATGATAGTGGTGAGATAAGGGTGAACAAGCGTTGCATGACACTTATTGCTAGGGCGTCCATGGTAGTTTGATAGGCATGTGAAGCATGATGGCTTTACGAACAAAGACTCATTTATGCTTAATCAACGATCAATCACTCTCGTACCATTGACACCGCAGCAAGTATATGAGGATCAAGTGAGATTGCAAAAAAAGAATGATCAAAAGAAACTGGGTGAACAAAAGAAAAAGAGTGAAAATCAGAGAGGCCAAGAAAAATGATAGAGAAAAAGAAAATCAAAATTCGGCCATTGAGAGAAAATCAGAGAGAAAACAAAAGAATTTTTATACAAAAGCGAGTGAAATTAAGCGAGCAATGTTTTCAAATCAGCAAATGATTGTACTTTTATACAAAGAGGCATTTCTAAACACTAACGAACTTGACCTTGCTTTGCCTAGTTCGATTGTTACAAGGAAATTTCCTAAAATAGTTATCCTAATTAAGAAATAACTCTTACTTGCTGGTAAAAAAATATCTTGCACTTGTTGATAAAAAAATATCTCTTACTTGCCGGTAAAGAAATAACTCTTACTTTTCTAAAACTCTTACTTGAAGAAAAAGAAAGACAATCAGCCCTTTAATTGGCTGATCACAAGCCTAAATAGAAAAAAGAAAGTCTTACTTTCCTAAAAGAAAAATAAATGGCATGCAAGCCTTACAATCAGGCCCAAAAAAAGAGTATTCTTAAACATGTCAATATAAACTTAGTTTTAGCCCTTAGCCAGATTCTTCTAAAACTTGAATCTTGTTGATGAATCTTTGTTGCCCAAGTGGACACTGCTCAATGGGCCTCCACGAACTTGCTAGATTCTGTGCCTCTTGAATCAGTCCGTTGAGTACCTATTTAAACTTCCTTGCTCGTGCTCTCGTAACCGGCCTAACTGGGACTTGAACTAGATCCCTTGAAGTTGTGCTATGATTTGCATCATTCAGAGATATTTCTTTACTAGCAAGTATGAGTTATTTCTTAATTATGATTGCTATTTTAGGAAGCTTCCTTGTAATGGTTAGCCTTTTAAATAGACGTCTAATCAATGAAAAGAACAAATCATTATTCAGTAAATTGGAGAGTATTTTCGCTGTGGTTCTTTGAAGAACTATTCGAACTTATCGAAATTTTCCGTGGCGTTCACCAACGACATATCAAACAGATTTCCACCACCGTTTGTGGTGTCTCCCTTATACCAAGGTTCTTGTTTCGCAATAAACAGCGGGTTAAGGTCATATGTACCAAGGTTCTTGTTTGTCGTAAACAACGGGTCGAGGTCTTTATCTTAGGTTCCTTTTTGTTGTCGGATCCTGTTATTTTTGCAGAATTTCACATCAGTTTTGGTGGTGGTGGTTGGGTGGCTGGTTGAGGTGGTTGAATGGCTGGTGGTGGTTGTGGGTTTTGGGTGTGCGTGGTTGGCGGTGGTGAGTTTTGGGTGTGGGTAGTTGGTGGTGGTGAGTGTGGTGGTGTTGGGGTATAGATTTTCTATATAATACCAAACATGCTTTTTATTTTTGTTTTCATAATTTTTTAAGTGTAAATGACTACCAAACATATTTTATATATATATTTTTTTTATTACAAAAAAATAAAAATTAGTAGTTTTTTTATAAAAATAAAAATAAAAACAAAAACAAAAACGTTACCAAACGCACCGTAACTCTCCAAAATCTAGACAATTTTTCTATTCACTGCCTCCCTCTTAGTCTCTTCTTGTAATACTACAATATTTGGCTTTGCTTTGATCACTACTTCTTTAATGGGGCTTTGTTTCTATTTATTTCCTACCCCTCGAACATTCAAACTCACAATTTTTATAAAAACAACTAAATCTCCCCCCACATCTCTCTCCTAACATTCTTCATTTCATAACTCACGCAAGTTACTATTTTTTTATTTCTTCCTTTTTTTCTAGTTGGGACTAGAGAGAGATCCATTCTAACCAAAAAAAAACACATCTCAATCTAACCCAGCTTACCTCATCAACCAAATAGTCCCCCCCCCCTCTCAATCACTTCCTTTGTGCTAAATGTTGTCTCATTTTCCAAAATCATAGCGCCTTACTGTCTTGAGGAGACCAATCAAAGCCCGTGAACTCCAGATTTCCATCCACCATCCTTTCCTCAGGAGCTATTCTATTATCAAAAATAACTACATCTTTCCCTATACCTATATCAAGATCACTCCTCTGAGATTTCCTCAAGATCCCCATCCTCACCTCGAAGAAATTGACCACCAAGATTTTTCAATTTTAAAGTAAGGCTAACAAAAGAATGACAACCAAACTCCCTCTTACCAGAATACTAAAACTCATTCCCCTCAGAATTGAAAGACCCACAATGAGAAGATTCAAGCAAGAAATGCAAAATATCAGGAGAAGCTTATGAAATGTTGCATTGGGTTCAGTAAATACATGTGAAAAAACCACACCTGATCCACCTTCACACTCCACACAATAAATTCCTTGTGTATCAATATTGTTTCTGTCACATTAACCTCATCTTCAGAATCTTGTATTGCACCACTCACACTTCCATCCATCTCTTCCTCTTCTCTAAAATTATCCTCTGAATGAAGAGGACAAAGTCGCAACTAATCCAACTTCACACTTCACAAATAAATTCCCCACCACATTAACCTCATATTTAGAATCTTGTATTGCATCACTCGCACTTCCATCCATCTCTTCCTCTTCTCTAAAATTATCCTCTGAGGCGCATAGGACAACATTATAATCAAAGCTTTCCACCTGATCTTTCTTCTTGTAAAACTCAAAAGCCAGTAAACCTTCATTTTCTTCCACAAACTCTTTCATTTCAGCATCGAACTCTTAGGCAATTGTATCCTGATGAGTACCCGAAGCCTTTTTTTGGATTCCATCTGTCAAATCTTGCCCATCGAACACTTGGAGTCCTTTCGCAGCCCCTGTTTCGTCTAAGCCCTAGCATCCTGATCGTTGAAGCACAGAGGCTTTGAGGATAGCAACTGACGCCTAATGAAAGCAAATGGGTTTTTATCCAAACACAAAACACTTATACGCTGAAAGTGCTCCATGGGCTTTTTAAAAAAAAGACCAATTCTAGTTAGCTAGTAATGTTGTCAGTTTTGTTTTGTGGCCCAAGATCACTATTAATCAATTTTTGGGCTTGAATAATGTCCAGCCCATGCCCATTTTCCTTTTCATCCCCAAAACCCAAAACCATCTTCTGACTTGATTACACTTCCGAACTAACCTCTCCTTGATCCTTTTTTTGAAATTCAAAACCCTTCCTAAAAACTCCATCATCTTGGGAATAATCAGCATTAATGATAAGATTAGCTGCCATTAATCTTGGTCTAGAATCCTCCAATTGCCCATTTAATTCTACCGCATGACTTTTTTCATTGCCCTTTGGTTCACCAACCTTCTGTACACCCATAGTGTTATGTATTACACGTGTACCCTATTGATCTAATTTATCATCTTCAACCTTTTGCCCGGTGCATGAAATCTCTATACACTTTACTGATCTTCTTCTATTTTGAACATAACCACCATTACCCCATCATAGCCTTGATAGAATTGTGACCTTGACCTGATACATCTTGCCTTCAAATTCAATATCCAAAGACACTGGAATAAATTCCCGAAGGCATCAACTTCAACAAATCCACCACAACAATCACTATTTTTTTTTAAACTCTCATGTTTCCAAAAGATGAATAGGCAATCCCTCTCGACCCCCCTAAAAACAAAACTCTTGTCTAGATCGAATTTGAATCTGAATTCCACTTCAAAAATTTAACAAGAAAATGACCTAATTGGCATCTCTCGACGCACAAATCTCATCAACATGAACTGTAGTTTCACAGAACATAAATACACTATCAGCTTGGAAAGGGAGAAGACTCACATCAAAATCTAGCTTCTTATTCAAAGAGCATCTTATATCATACCACGAATAAAAAATACGTTCGAACACATATCACTGCTCAATTCCAACCCCCTGCACCAATTAGATCATTTTCATTTGTTAAACCTCGGTTATAGTTCCCACCCCTTTGCCCCCCATAATGTGCTCTGTTTCTACCTTCCTGTGCTCTGACCATCTACAAATTACATTGAACAATCCTTCTAACCACGATCCTTCTAACCAACTTGAAGGCATTGGAATAAGATTATGTATGTATTGTGGTATCTCCGTGGGACAGTGGACATGAGATTATTCTATACGAATGACCACATTACGCTGTTAATTGGATATGAAAATGTCGTTATCTTTATGATCCACACAAGGCTCGATCACAAACTGGATGTATGTTTACTTGTGGTGGTACGGTCATATCATGAAAATCGATTAAGCAAATAATAGTTGTTACATCATGCAATCACTCTGAAATATTAATCATCCATGAAGCAAGTCGAAAATGTATACGACTAAGATCAATGATCAAATATATATTCAAGAACAAAGTGGACTATCTTCAATCAAAGGCATTTCAACAATATTATACGAGGATATTATAGCTCGTATCACACAATTCAAGGAAGGATATATCATTAAAGCTCTTTTACACCCATGAGCTCGAGAAGAATGGTGATAGTAATGTACAGCAAATTCGTTCGATTAAAAATCTGACAAATTTGTTCACTAAAACTCTTCCACCGACTACATTCCAAAAATTAGTGAACCAAATTGGAATGTATAGTCTCAAAGATCTATCAAAATGAACAATTATCATTTTGATCAGATGTATTCAACAGGGGAAAACATGTACTCTATTTCCCTTTGCTAAGGTTTTTTTCCAATAGGTTTTACTTAACAAGGTTTTTTTTAACAAGCCAATGCTTAGGATCCCACCTGGACAATTTGCACGATATACCCTTCTTCGTTCATCCAACTATTATCCCACTGAGTTTTGCTTGCAAGTTTTTAATGAGACAGCATTCGTGAGTCCAACACTATCTTAGTATAGTGGTCATCCAAGTGAGAGTGTTAAAAACATTGGTATATGGGTGGATGTCCATTGCTCCTATTTACATTGACTTCATTATCTTCTTACTCTACCTACAATGTTGAAAAGTTTAAAACTTTGCCTACAAAAGGCGTACTCAGCTGAATGAAATGAATACGCAAGAAACAGATAGAAAATCTCTTTCTCAGTATTCTCTCTATTTGTTTTCTGAAATTAGTTATTTTCATCTAAATTATTTGCTAGTTTTATAACACTACCATTATAAACTTCTAGGGGTAGCTCAATCCAGTTCACAGGTCATCAATATCCAAAGACAAGTTGCACAATCACATGCTATGCCACCTAGAACGGTTCTATACTCGAGGACGCTATTTAAGGCAAAAGTTTAGGCCACACATCAGGCAGCAAGTAAAACCCATCCTTTAAGAATCACAAATCCCAAACCTTACAATACTTCACTCAAAATGTTGGCTCTTCAACCCGTTATGTAGACATGATCTGAGTGCATGCATATTTGCAAGGAACCCCAAGGTCACTTGACCAAAAACATGCAAAAGTAGTCAACTGCATTGTCACAAACCGGTGAGAACAGATACAAACTAGAATTAGATATTGCTTTGTGTTCCTTGTCAGACAATCAGTTTTAAAAAGACACGATTCCTCCCCAAAGGAAAGGGCAGAGATGGGAGGATGTGGAGAGGGAACAGTATTTTCAACAACGCATAAGGATTAATCTACAGGACTGCTATGCCAAGAGTTAGTGTTATAATGGAAATGCTGATAAATCAACTAAATGATTCTGATCCAAAAAAAAAAACTACATGATTGCTGCCAATAAATTTAGAACACAATATAATTCAAGGGAGGGAGGGAGAGAGAGAGAGAGCACCTTCTTTCCACCCCATTTTGGACAAAAGTCTGTGCCCAATATTATCAGCCTGGATTTTTGCCCTTTCCGCTGCCTCCCTGGCAGCTTTCTGTGCAGCCACATCATTACATGTAGCCAAGAACTTCTCAAGCTCTTCAGGTGGTATGTAATCACCCATGTGATGACCTTTTTTTGCAAGACCTGCTGTAATTGCATAGAATGAGAAAATGTGAGTCATATTTGTTATACAAGTGAAAATTTTACTTGAATAAGATTTGTAGTAGAAACAATTAGAAATTTATAAAGTTCATGCAGAAATGTCTCGCAGAAACAGAGTCTAAGCGCAATCAGGATAGGAGATATAAACCTTGGAGGGAAGCAGGTGGAGGCATCTCATCTTTTGATTGTCTGGGTTGTCTCCTCCTTTCTTCTTGTGCAGCCTTCTTCATGTAAAATTCCATCATTGTTATAGGATCTGCACCTGCTGCCATGCTAGGTTCACCTGGAAATGGAAAAATAATAACATAGAGACTTTTCCATTAGATGCTAATTACACATGAGAAAAAACTAAACTATGCCATTCAGATAAGAAAATAAAATCTTTTTAACGCATAGAGGAAGCTTGCACAACTAGAATGTTTGACCGTTGAAAAATTATGAAAATCCATCAATCGAAAAGGAACACTGATGTACGTAAATTGTATCAAATATTCCATTTGAAGAAGTTGAAAACAGTAAAAGACACTTGACGTTTAACATCCGAAAAATGTTACAAAACCACTAAAAAATTTCCCTTGTGGAAGCAACACATATTGCTCATAACATATCCTTTCCCTAACCTCCAGCCCACATATAGGCATCCCTACACAATATTCATGATAAAAAGGTCATTCGGTATCCCAAAAATTTCGACTTCAGTTAATTTTTTTTTTTTTTAACAAGGACTTCGGTTAATTAATGTCAGTAATAATCATTGAATGAGGAAATGCACTTAATTGGCCATTGAAATGATGCTACTGCTGGCTTCTAATATAAGGGGTTGTACTTCGCTACTGCAGTCACCTTGTAACATAAATTCCCTTAAAACCCCTAAATAAAAAAGACACAGATAGAGTAGAGAATGTATGTGAAGAGGAAAGCAAGCAAGGAGGTCTTTCTATAGAATGGTTGGAAAGAATAATATAAAGGATAAACAGCAAGTTCTCAGAGCATAGTTCGGGAATCGGGATCAACCCAGGCAACCAAAAGCAAGTCCCAAGTAAAACTGGACAGAATTCAAGAATCTCTTTCATGGAAATTTTACAAGCTACGAATATCGCTGGTTGTTGGTTCAGACCAAGTTGCTTTTGGGCACAGTTAGTTGGGTCAAAATTCTGCATATGGACCATCTTGTTGGAATAGCTTGGTTATATAAAAAGATTACAGTGTGAATGAGAGCTACCCACGACCAAAATTTGGTGCCTTGTAGGGTGCAGAACATTATGGGAAGATTTTTTTAACAAAATATACTGTTGCTTGACACTCCCAAGATCAATTGGCCTTGACTATTGGAGTATCTCAAAAGAGGTTGGGACATCCCTCTGGCAAGCAAAGGATACTCCATCCAAGTTTCTGTTTCTGAACTCACTGTAACAAAGTAATCAAGGTTGTTCATTGGCCAGCCTAGAGAGGAGTGGGATGCCTGCCACATCTTTATGCGCAGGCGATGCCACAAGCATGCTTAACAGACGAAATAAGATATGCTCATGCTTCTCTTGAGCCTGCCAGGGATGACATTAAGCAATGTCATAGAGGGTTTGACTACATGGACCGCCCCGTATATATGCCTCTTAGCTCAGCAGGCGCAAGGTATATTGATTAACAAATGCACCAAACAATGATGTTCTGGTACTTCTCATTTGTCAGGAGATGCTTTTCATTTCCTTTTGCACATATGTAGTGAAGTACTCAAGGTCTTTGCCTTTTTGATGAAAAAAAAATCAAGAAACATAGTTAACAAACAAGTTCCTCTGTAATTTATTAAAAAAGGCTAAAGGACATATTTTTGAGGCTGCCTAAGTCAATTTGGAACCATCAATTTTATAGCGAAATGTGCTCACTTGTCAGACCCTCATCACCTTTCGTCATTGTGTTTTCAAGGACAGAAACAACAGAAATGAGCAGTTCAAATCTAAGGCAACCAGGTCATCTTTTTTCTCATTTTTCCCATAACATCTAACAGATGATGAGTTTTTCATTGCTATCAAGTCACACAAACAATGAGAGATGAATAAGTCCCCAATCCAAAACGTCAAACCAGAGGAGTATAAATAAAAGGCGGAATAAAATTTTCTAAACCATTACCAGATCCTCCGGTTGCTGCTGGTTGTAACAATGTCAGAGAAGCTCTTGTGTTCTCAGTAGCTTCATATAAAGCTGAGGCCGGAATTTGATAATTCGAATGCTGCTGATCTGAACTTTGAGAATCACCCGGTGAATTAGGAGTAGCACTGTTTACACCACCTACAGAAACCAAGTTGCCCGAGATTTATATCACCAATGTGCCAAAAATAAAAGAAATACCAACTTTTTAAAAACACTCAGGTTTACAATCAACTAAAAAAATCCCTCTTGAATGCACACTAATTTTTTTGAAAAAATTCATAAAAAGACACTACTCATACCATGGTTGCACAATTGGTCTAACAATGAGACCTAAAAGGTCCCATCATTTGTAAATATACCGAATGCTCATCACACCGTAGGCGTAGAGCTCATATAGTAAACATATAACAGTAAAACCTACCATTGACAAAAATAAAAATAGGCAGTATTACTTATGTCCCTGATTCTTCCTCAAGAAATCCATGATTATGGGAGGGCAGATACACATAGGTACATAACCAGAAAAGCGAGTGCCTAAAAAATCTTGCAGCCAATTTAACCAAGAAATTTTAAGTACACCTCATGACCAATAACTGTCACTTTCAAACTAATGAATGAGAACTTTACTTAGGGCCATGTCCTCAACATCCATAATTATTTATGAATGACCATTTAAGGTCCACCCTTGATAACTTATCAGAATGCATGAATAGAATTCACGTTATAATTCTAGTCATGTCTTGCCTTAATATTACACACATAATGATCTATAAAGCTGCAATTAATGTTCACTGCCATGGTTCTAACACCACCAACAACAAGACTTTAGTCCAACTTCAATTAGAATTATCCACACCAAAGACGGAATATTCGACTCTGCACCATTTTTACAAACCAAAGCCCAATTTTCACAAAATAATTTTCACATACAGATACTCTAATTAGAGATATTGGCATGTCATAAGCAGGTATACTAACCACTTTGGGATGTTTGGGAATCCCTGGCAAATGACATAGCCTTTTCCTCTTGACCAAGCTGATATTCATAATACTTGTAGTCAGCGCAACTTTCATCAAATAGAAACCTGCACAGAACAGTTCCATTACAATCTGGCAAAATAACATAAAACACCGATAACACAAAAAAGGTTGAAGAAAATCCATGACTAAAAATTAAAAATAGGAAATTCCAAAGTCATATGAAGAACCACATAAGTCATATTTTGAACATTATCAACCACACATCAGCTAAACTGAGATCATTCGAAATTGTAAGGCGTGCCTCCATAACATACAGGAAAAACTTCAATAAAATCCAATTTTTGACACGCATTATACTTACCCCCATCCTTATACAAAAAAAAATTAAACTGACATAAATTTAAACAAAAAAGAAGGAAAATTGCCTGAAGCTTGCCACAGTATATCGCATATCACTTGGAATTGAAAGAAATAAATGGATACTGCTAAAACCAGTCAAATACATAGCTGCAAGAGTCTTCCCCAAATGGGATTCTCAAATCTTTGGGTGACTGTTGCTACGTAGAACGGTAAAAACTTGAGCTGACAACCATGTGGCTATAGGTTTTGATGGCAGTCAATTGAGGCAAAAGATGTCAAATATCAGGTCTATAATGAGTCTAGAACTCCCGCCCCTCCCAACACCCCTCATTTAAAATGTATGAAGTAGTGTCTTTTAAGCCCTTCACATTCTCCCATCTCCAAACTCCAAGGAAAAAAATTGGACTTCCCTTTAAAAATCAAAAGTATGAAAACAAAAGTCAAAAACTGCTTGTAAGCCCCATCAAGAAATATTTTATTCCCACTCTCACATGAAACCAATAGGTAAAAGAATCAAGCAAGGTCCTTATGAAGGCATAAAGGACCCCAACAAGAGTTCAATTATGCTCGCCCATTTTCAAATTCCAACACAAGAAAATGAGTGGCAATCATAACTAAAGCTAACCAAAGTTATGAACTCATTCAAGGACCTTGTCCTTGTAATCACTAGGTTTCTTAATGAAAATCAATTTTCCAAAATTAGAGACAGACAAAATGACTGCATGACATGAGAGTAAGAGGGATGAAAAAACTTAAAACACCTATAATAGCCATAGCTGACACCCCTTAGCCATGCAAGCATGGCTTCTTCTGCTATGAAGAAATGACTAATAGAAAGCTCTCTTTCAACATAGAAATAACTCGCAATACAAATACGTCTAAGCATCACCAAATACAGCATTACACGACCACCATATATGGGCAAATATCTCTGTGTTATTCTCTTTTTATTACAAAAACCTAAGCATTATTAACAAATGAAAGTACAATTATTCAAGTTCTTGATGTTTATTTCATTTAAACAAGAGAATCAATTTCATAAAAAAAATGTTCAACAGCAAAACTAGGGGCAATGAAGGAGCTTCTTTTCAAAAAAATATTCGTGTACTCTTAACATAATTGTTAAGCAATTTTCTGGTGACATTTTTTTTTATCAACTTCCTCTATAATTTATTGGCTAACTTCCCATGGGGTAAATTTAGAATAAAATAACAAAGCTTGAGCTGTCAATTTCATTTGGTGACAGTTCAAATGCATCCACGCGGACAAGCATAATAAACTAATAGAACTCGGGTCTAAAACAAATAATTCAGTTTCTGAACTACTAAAGAGGAATTAGCAAATAAAGAGAACATACTTAAAAGGGGTATCCCCAGGATTTTTTTGCCGAGTGATATCCTCAAACTGCCTTCCATGTTTAGCAACAAAACTAGCTAATTTGTCTGCAACTTTCTTCACTGTAGGATCGATTGGGGAATGGGATGCTGCATGTCACTTAGTAACTGATTAATACCAGGAGTATGAACAAGCGAATGCAAACTACTCTTGTAGCACGAGTGCCATATTTCCCAAATCTTTTACTGAACATCTCCTTCCACCAATGTTGGTAGGTACTTAAGGTATAATAAGCTGCATTCATCAGATAAGAGTAATTCACGAATGTTTTGCCCTCTTCATCCACCAGTCCGAAATAGCTAATAATTTTCTCAAAGTGAACAATGAAGGGAATAAAGAATGGTACTTAATTGGTCTATTTGTGAAAGACCCCAGGAAATAACAATTTTAACAATGGGAAGTGGCCTCCGACCACCAAACTTATCAAGACTTGGGTTAATTGATACAGGGTTTAGAATATGGTTCCAAAGAGAGTTCAATCAGAATTTAGTCAACAGGTCATTCAAGCTGATAAAAAATGTAGAATATAGAACATAGGGAGAAATACCAAAAGAGTCACCATATCAAAAAATTAGATGTTTATAAACTAGCCCAAACTGTCAGCAAAATTCTCTATCAAACAACTGGAAACAAATTTGTAAAAAGATGGTAGCACGGGTAATAGCAAGAACAATGGTTGTGGAACAACATCCTTCTATCCATTAGGGACTATATCACGTGGAAAAGAAAATCATATAGCCAATCATGTATATATTTAGACAAATCAACAATAGATAAACTTAAGGGAGATAAGTCCACCCCATTATTCTAGACTCTAGAGTAAGGACACCGTCAACAGAAAGAAAGTTTCAGAACATTATCAAACCTATATTTTATTTTCTTATAATCGTGTAAAGATGAATAATAATGGTTACTTAAGTGCTTAACCACACCAAGATCAATCAATTGTGTAATAGTGTTATGCTTGTAAGTCTGTGCCAATGCAATGCAACTGCTGCATGTGCACCAGGTGAGGACATGACCGGAAGATCCACCACAACTTACTCAAAACTCAACCAGATGAGTAGATGCTTATTAAAGAAGTAATTACCAACATCAACTTGTTTGGATGACTGCTTGGATGCATCAGGCTGACCCAACTTCTGACGTTTCGTCAGTCCTTTACTTGACGGATTTCTAGCATCCTTCTCATCTTCATCTTCATCCTCATCCTCACCTAACTTAACAGGGGGTGCCCCAAGTTTTGATTTCTGTTTCAAGCTGAAAGCAAGTTTACCACCTGAAGCAGCTACATTAATTTTGCGAGAATCATTAGCCTTCAACTCCAAGCTGCTTTTAGGGATGACAGGCTTAGGAATCGAAGTCCCAGATACAATTGGGACAGATTTGGATTCCTCCAATAAAGTACCCTTCTCTTTCTCCTGTTGAAGCTGTTTGAACCTCTCCATAAATGAACCATCATTGACAAATAGGCTAGAAGATTTTCCTTTCTCCATTGACAACAACCCAAGTGTCTTTTAGCTGTTTACAAGAATGCTCTGCTTGACAAGCAAGCTTAGAAGCTATTTAGACATAGAAGTGGAAATTTGTTCATTGTAGCTAATTTGAACAGCATTCTTATTTTTTTTTAATCAAAATAAAGAAACAAACTCACAGCATGTAAAAGACTAAAATGAGTAACTTTGCCAATATGGTCAATAAATAAAAGATAAGAAAAGGAGTGAAATTTTAAAAAAATATATATATAATGCAATAATTTGAGGCTAGTAGGAATGTTCCACAACGGACAAGATAGCATTGAAAGGTCTAAATTACTCCCGCATTAACAGGTCTATAGAAACCTTAACATCAGAATGCTCCATCAGAGGACATCAATCTCCTGTAGCCTACTTCAATATAGGTAAAAAAAATTATACATAAATGAAGTTGCCGCATGTCAACACCAGAAGAGCTGTTGATGAAGCAAGATAACTTCCTCAACCCAAAACTCCAATGCTTACAAAATTTTAAATACTGAATAAATGAAGCAGATGAAGAAGCTATGCAGGAAAAAAGGTATAAACATATGTCATGTCATGCATCTCTAAAAATAATATAGGAGTAGTGTATTTCACTAGAATGCTAAAACACCTAAAAAAACCATTCGACCATCAATTTGTTGCCCCAAAGCCCCCACACTCAAGTTCATGTCTGCTTCAATCAAAACCCGTAAGGTGCAGAAACCACTACAACTGCTATGCAATCTAATTCCATTGCAGTCAAATTACGTAGTCATGCCACAAAATGGAACAAAATTCCAGTCCTTTTCACCACATATATTCCCAATAAGCCAAAAAGACTCTTAAGGCTCTATTTAGATCTCAGAAACATCGCAACATTGTTCAGTGAAATGATTGGCACTGATTCACAATAGCTTCTTCCCACATTGAACTTCTACAGCATGTGGATTTTATTTTAGCTACTATTTCCAAGATCCAGATAGAGCCTTATATTCTATTTGGCTCCCGAGAAAGCAGGGGGAAAAAAAGAACAACAACAACAACATGACATTCTCTTAAAAAGCTACGGGCTCCACGGGAATTTGCGGGGAAATTCTTCTAAAATAACTAGTGTCAAACCCACAAGCTTTGGGTAAATCATACTCGATCCAATACATTCAACATAAAACCAAACTGAAACCAAGAACCATAGACCCCAAAATTCGCATCGAAATTTCCCCACGTTTTTTCAACAAAATAAGTAAATTCAAGACCCCTAAGATCACCGAGAACAAAATAATCAAAACTGGAAAAACACAGAGATTAATTATGCACAATTCCAAACTTCAATTCGATTTCCACAATCTATCGTTTATTACCTTATTGTGTTTCGGATTGACAACAAACCGATTGCTAATCGTTCGTTAACTGTCTTCGGATTGATCGACGTGATAAAGATTAAAAAACCCTAAATACAGAGATCGAAGACCCAAACAATAACGGACCGACGGTATTTGTAGACGTTATACTCGGTTTGACCGACCTAATTAATTGCACCTGGACACATTAATCCCCTCTCGCTATGAAAAATAACACTACAACCCCTTGTTTGTTAATAATGATTTTGGGACCGCAGTAACAATTAAGTTCAGTTTGCCCGTTATAAATATGTTAGCCCTTATAAATAAGTTCAGTTTCTTCGAACCTAATATCTTTTTTGTCTCTCATACCTTTTTTCGGTGCTCCCACTTTTTCTTAAGCCTTCGTCTCTCTCACACATACAAAAAAATACAATGGCACGTAAATATATAAAGTCTCTTTTTTTTGAGTTTTTATATCCTCTTAGACCCACACTATGCATGACATATCTCCATGATACCCATATCCCTTAATCCAATACACCCCTTTCTTTATAGTGAGGTTTTGAGGGTGGGGTAAGGGGTGTTATTGGTTGTAGGGGCTAAGGACTGTGATTGTAGGTCTCAGATGGAAGGGGGCACGAGGTGGTGGTGGTTTAGGGTTCTACGTATATGTTTTTGTGGTGAGAGTAGACAATGGAGGTGGGGAGGCTTGTGCTGGGAGGATGAGGAGAAGTATGGTTGTTGGGATCTTAGGGATTGGTTGTAATGGGGGATGGGAATGGGAGGTTAGTTAGGTTTTGATCATTAGTATATTGAACTTGAACTTCTTAACTCTGATCCTACATTAACTTTGAATTTGGATGTCACATTTGCACGAATAATGTATGATTTTCATGCACCATATACTGAATATGATGTTTAAGTCCTCAAAAGTGCGACCCACATTTAGTGTCAAATTAGGTCAATAGGTCACTCCATAGTCTTTTTTCGAAGTCCCTTAACTCGAGAGCTATCAATGACTTAATAATTTGTACTCTAAAAGTTTATAAAGGCCAATTTTTTGGGCATTTAGTGTGTTATTTGTATGGTTATCTAGGTTCCTCCAAGGCTAGTGGTGGTTGGGAATCTATACATAAGAGTGCGATGGGGGGGGGGGGGGAAATCCTAAGGAAGGAAGGATAAAGTGGTTGTAGGTGTGGTGACGGTGGAGAAAGTGTTGGGGGGGGTATTTTAGGATCATTGATGTTCGGAGGAAAAGAGTGTGAGAGTTAACAAAAAAGGGAGTCGGAGGAAAAGAGTGTGAGAGTTAACAAAAAAGGGAGGCATAAATTCAATGTAAGAAAATAAGACAACCTTAGTTATGATGCGTATATATAGTAGAAAATCATAACAATATTAATTGAAATGACGTTTTTGGTGGTGTACGGGCTACTTTTTTTTTTCTTACCACTTGAACTAATCTAAAAAACAGAAAAAAAGAACTAATCTTACAATATTTAAAAAAAAAAATCATTTCTAATATGAATATGTCATTCAGAATGACAAGTTCACTTTAAAAATGTTATTTAAAATGTCCTTTTTAAAAACTACAATAGTTTAGAAAATAAATTTAGAACTTTTTAAAAACTATAATAGTATAGAAAAGAAATTTAGAACTATGTTTTAGGTAAAAAGTTTAAAGAAAAGAGTAATACTATTTAGATCTATCAATTTGACCTAATTTGCTAACTTAATAATGTGGGTTCATTTGAACCATTTGATCAACAACAAATTCTAATGTTTGATAGGACCCACAATTAATCAAAAATTTATAATAAATTAAGTCATTAAATTAAATCTCAATAACATTATTCAAAAGGAGTAATAATACTCTTTGGACCTAAGAATTTGATGCAGTGATAATGAGAAGGCGAACAAATTTGACGTAAGGGGTGTAAATACCATTAGTAAAATAAAGGAATAATTATATTCAGACACTGTTAGATTTGTTATTTAATTATACAGACCTCCGATATTTAAAATATTATACACAAACTCCACGAAGTTTATACGCGTATAACACTTAAACACCTCAAGTTTAGACAAAAAATATTTAAATTAAAGATAAAATATCAAATATTTTAAAATTTTACAATGAAAACTCATGTTCTATTATGACATTTATTGAAATAAAATTAAAAATAAAAATCTAATTTTTAAAAAAAAAATTATAATTAGTATACAATTGTACTATCTATTGGAATAAAATTAAAAAATCAAATAAAGGTTCAAACTATAATGGATATAATATATTCTAATTTTAATTGGAATAGTTTGGTCGATTAAACTGTATACTAAATTGCTAATTATGATTTTTTAAGAAAAATTAAATTTTTGATTTTTGATTTTCTTTCAATAAATGATATAATAGAACATAATTTTTTGTTGTAAAATTCACGTTCTATTTCTCTTATTTATTTTTTTAGTTTTATTACAATAGATAATTTAATTGTATTAATTATGATTTTTTAAGAAAAAAATGGCTTTTATTTTTATTTTATTTCAATAAATGATACAATAGAACATGAATTTTAATTTTAACATTTTAATATTTAATATTTAATATTTTTTATTTAAGTATAATATTTTAAACTTAAGGAGTTTAAGTATTATACGCTTATAAATTTTAGGAAGTTCGAATGTAATTTATTAATAGATATATTATCGGACAACATAATTTAGGTGTTATGCGTTTACGAATTTTAGGGAGTTTATATATAATATTTTAAATATTAAAAGGTCTCAGGAATTAAGTGGCGTGAGTGTAATTCTATCTAAAAGAAACGCGGTGATAATGGGAAGGTGAAAAATTTTCAATAAAACAAAAGAGATTAGGAATGGGGGAAAACGGACGTATACACACAGCGTTTTCATACGCAGCCCATGTAACAGAGATAAAGTGGGGGAGCTTTAATGGACACAACTGGTCTGAAAACCCTAAATGTCATAACGACTCCACTTCACTTCCGATCCCGAGCTTCGATCTTCCGTCCTTGTTACCTGACTCAATTCACCAAGAATTTCCATTTCTCTCTCTCCTCCTCCTCACGATTCTCCCCATTCTGCTCTATCTGTACGCTCTCTCTCTCTCTCTCTCTCTCTCTCTCTCTCTACAATCAGTAATATTGGAAACATGGTCCAATCCTATAGTTTATATGAATGTGTTTGTATTTGTATATGAATATGCGTATGTGTGTGTGTGTGTGAAGTTTTTGGTTTGTGCAGCCAAAAGAGGCCATGAGAATAATGCTTTGCGTAATGGAGTCGGCGATGGAGAGGCAGTTAGTGAAGTATTCGCAAACAAACTTCTTCAAGTAGTGTTAGTTTCTCCTCAGGTAGTGTATAACTCATAAACTTTGGCATTTTTATAATTTTGATTGTTGATAGTTGTTATTTGCAAGAAGTTGTTGATTTAATTTTACCTTTAACCAAATGGGACGATTGCCTTGGGGTTACTCCACTTGTTTTTCAAGAAAATCGAGGGAAGAAAGAGAAAATGTTGAAATTTTGATCCTCATATCTTATGTTGTGGCTTGGAATATTGTGTAAGCCTTACTCACCCAAGTAATTGCACTATTTGAATTAGGATCAGCTAAGTTGAGGCCCTCGTCCCTATCTAGCATAGTTATTAGTATAGTACGATACATGATACATATTGTACGATATGTCACGATACACCTGAAAAATGAAACATATCGTGTCTTACACGATATGATACGGACGATATGGGATGATTCTGTTTTTTTTTAATTTTTTTTTTGATTTTTTGGCTTTGAAATAACATCGTTTTACCATGGACTTATTTTTAAATCAATAGTTAGTGAATTAACGTTGTTTCAGTGGTCATGGTTTTAAAAAAATGAATAAAGTCTATTGTTAATGTTGTTTAATTGAATTCAAAACTTCTGATTAATATTAAGATTGTTTAAGCAATTGATGTTAGAAGTTTGAATTAGAGGCCTTTGCATTTTGATATTATTGAACTATGTTGAAAATTTAAATAGTTGGTGAAATATTAATGAAATGCTATGTTATTAAGAGTATGATTTTTTTACAAAGGTATATATATATATATATATATATATATTTTTAATAATTATTTAAAAATTAAAATTGTGCGTATCTTACGATACACTATTTTTGAAAAATGATACATCTTTCGATATGCGATTTGACAACTATGCTATCTGACATTGTTGTTGATCCTTTATTTTGGCACGGTTTGATAACTATTACACATAAAGTTATGCTTGGTGAAGGGAGTGAATCCTGGTAAACAATTTCTTTTACCAGGGTGGACCCAAGAATTTGCCCTTTTTTTTTTTTTTTAAGGGGGGTGGGGTTTATGTACCTAAAAATAATTCAGTAGTTGATGCCACAAAAAATTAAGTTCAGACACGAGAAAATAAATTAAAATTCAAAGCTAAATTAATATATGAAACAACATAACTAGCTGTCAACTTGTCATATAGCCTAAACAAAATCTGAATAAAAAATAGTACTAAATATACAATTGTTTAAAAATTAGGGCGGTAAATGTAGTAAAAATATAGCATAAATGAAGAAGATCACAGGGCACAACAAACAAACCCCCCCCCCCGGGGCCCGGGAGGAAGATTGTTACTCAAGTTATTTCTGTTGGACTTGTTATGATACTTATGCCTATGCGCTTTTAATAAATCATACTATTACTCACACACACGTGAATGCATTACTCTAGCATAAGCAAGAAATTATTAATGGTAACACTTAGGAGAATGACTAGATAAATTGAATCCAAAACTATCATGTAAGTATATAGGATGCAATACTTTAAACAATCTAACTGTAAGAGTGTGTTATTACATCAATGACTGCTTCATGACTTAAACAGCCACTCTGTTAGATTTCTAAACTGAGTTACCGTTTGGTACACTTTTTTCTATTCCCATTTTTGTGTTATAGTTGCATGTGAAATATTTAACATATCTTGGTAGTACTAATGGGACCCAACAAAATATATTACATCGACATGTTTTCTTTTGAGTTGCAGACCACCTCAGTATCCAAGGCTGGCTCTGAAGTTTCTCTTGTCCTTGGCAGATTCCTGGGAACACTGGATGCATTGCCAGAACATGTGCAGCATCAGCTGTTGGACTACACCTAGTTGAGGTAGGCATTAGAACAGGTCAAATGCAACATGTGTTAGTGTCAGCAAGTAATGATGTGTAAGATAATCGTTTCTTTTGAGCTTTACCCAGCCAAATAGAACAGCAACTAACTAGTCAACTTTTGTTTTTTTTTTTTTTTTCCAGCCATTAGGGTTTCAGGTGCATGACACCAAACTAAAGCGCGCTGGACTGGATTACTGGCCGTATCCTGTGTACACTTCCTTATCAGAAGATGTTTTGGATTGTTTCAGCTAGTGATTTCTTCAATTAAATTTCTTGAATGTGGCTACTCTCTGTCCTGCTTAAATGTATGTGGACCTCTGATGGGATATAAAGCTTTAAGTCTGGAGTTTCTGTCTTTTAAAGGCATATCATTGTGGGATTTTTAAAATTTTGGGGATCTCTGCAGCCTGTGCATTTGGATGTGTAGCGGAATCTGTTATTACCTCTTCTTTTCCCATTCTTCCTTTTTGTTGTGGTTGAGGGCTTGATGTATGATTTGCTGCTTTTACTTGTGGCCTGCTGTGGTTAATCCTTATTTTCAATTGTTTTTCCAAATGACGAGGTCTACTTCCTAGGATTTCTCCCATTAGCACTGTCAACTTTGTAGCTGCGCTGCTGAAGTAACTTTCAGTCCAGAAGAATTACAAATTAAGCAGTTCAATGGTTGTTCTTTTAACTCGTTACGTTAGATATGTAGTTGTCAAAGTGCATAGGTCGTGGGCAGAGTTTCGGGACTTCTTCAGGCAACAGGTGGGTGAGATGAATATCATGGATTGGAATTTTTCTCGCTTCTCCCTTTTTAACTCAATGCACGTCTACTTCTTGTTTCATACAGGAAGGTGATAAAAGGCTGTTAGCATTTACTAAGAGGGGAACAAGTATTCATTCAGTAAGTTGTTTATTCATACCCCCCATTTGGTTCCATTTTTTGTTCTAGTTTTGAATAGTAATTGTGACATCAACAACAACAAAAGTTTCGTGTCTCTCAGTATCACTTTGGGGTAGTTTTTATCTCTTCCATATTTGCTCACAAACTATAAAAATGATCATTAATGGGTATCACCTTTTTAAAGAACTCTGTTTCACTAGTCTCTCTTTTCCTTTTTTTTATGAAGGAAAATGACTAAGCACTAGAATGAATTTTACTTCAAACATTGGAAGCGCGAATTCATTTCTGAGGCATGTTTATAAGTGTTTGACACATCTAGGATTGGGACATGTTCGGAGACTTCGGACACAAACAAACCTATGTCTAACAAGTGGGGAAATTATATGGAACTTTTTTTTAAAAAAATCCGCCCATGCGGAGTGGACTCATTTGAGGACAATGCTTATAACAGGAAGACTTCCTGATTAGATATCCTTCATGCAAAGTTCTTGTAGACTTAGTTTTCTTAATTTTTTATAATGTTGTGGAGTTTATTGATGATTAAAGCCTTACATGATATGTTATACTTTGTTATTGACTTTTTGATCCTTGAGGATGTCAGTCTTAAATTATATGACCATATATGTCAATTCATGTATATACACATTTTTTTTATAGGAACGAAAAAACTTTTATTAATAAAAATAAAGTTTTCATCAAAATTGTTGGATAAGAAATCTAATTTATAAAATGCAAAACATAATCAAATAAGGAAATACATAGAACAACCTATATATCACATAAAGCTTGCCATCCCATCAAAATTGTAAAGAGCAGGTTTCCTTTGAAATCCTTTATAACCAAAGTCCAAAATGATGCCAAGAATGAATATGGACCCATAAACCTTCTACACACTTATCACAATCTTCAAAGATTCTTGAATTTGTCTCACTCCAATAACCCACAAAGTAGTCATAATAGTGCAATTACAAAGTGTCAATCCTTTATCACTCCTCCCTAGACCTACCAAATCTTGAACATACATAGACGTGACCAATTCGAGAATCTCCCAATTCAAACCCACCAATCTAAACAACTTATACCACAATGACAATACAAGAAATGATCAATGCTTTCATGATCCCCTTTACTCATGACACATTATTGCAAACAATGATAAGATTGAGGTCTCCTTTTTTGAAGCATATCAACAAAATTGATCTTACCATGTTCAATAGTCCATGCAAGAACTTACACTTTTTTTGGCACTTCAATTCATGTATATATACATTTGCGTATCTCGCCATGTTTGTGTAGCATTTTTTGTTTTGAAATTCTTGTCGAAATGTTCGTTTTGTGTCTTATCCATTTTTAGCGTCTGTATCCATGTTGCTTGGTTGCTGACTTCCAAAAATACCCAATAATCCACATATACTTTTATTCTCCTTTATTAACTCTTTGCCCTTCCAAATATATGTTGTTGGCCTCTAGGTGCCATATTGACCCTGACTATTGTGCTTTTACTAGCTTTTGTTTCCTAGACTTCAATTTTCCTCCTGTTTTTAATGTCTATTTTCCATCCTTAATTTTGATCACCATATTACCATGTGAAATCGTTCTGTCCAAGTACAATTTATCAATAGAGACAAAAGAATTTCGTCTTTTTTATATTACAAACAAATAAAGTATCAAATGTAAAGGAACTCCAAAAATTCTCATTCATTCTTTCTATTTATTATCCTTCCACAAAGCAAACCATTGCATATATTAACCATGAAATCTCGATACACGTGTCTCTCTAAGGATTTGACTCATACATGAGTGACGGGTCACCCCCCTGATTTTTGTACTCTTTTTTATATATATATATTTTTGAATAGTGTCAATACAGGAGAGAGGGATTTGTTCTAGTGACCACCATAATACAAGCAGGGTGTTAACATTGGGGGTAGGGCCGCCTTGATTTTGGTTCACTTGTAGTCTTGATGGGAGGAGTTGTATAGTGATTTTAGAAACATGTTATGAAATTTTGGCCTTTCTTTCACTTCAGTGTTGTGAAAAGCGAGTCTAGGCGAGCGCCTAGGCGAGAAAGCGAAACGAGCCTTGGTCGTCTTGAACATCCAAGGCGAAACGAGGTTAAGTAAAGCGAGGTAAAAACGAACTTAGGCGACGAAATGAAAAGCGAGCCCGGCAAAAAAAACGAACACCTAACTACGGTTTTTTTTATTTTCTCCTCCTCCTCCCCCTTTCTCCTCCTCCTTTTTCTTCTTTAACATTAACCAAACCCTAATAGAGATGATATTATATGTGTATATGTATAAAATAAATTGATTGATTCGTATAACAGTATCATATGACAATCTGTTTTATTATGATTAGATAATGTTGAATGCTTTGTTTTGATGTGAATACTCTTGTTAATCAATTTATTTGGTTTATTAAATTGATTAATCAATTTGTTATATGCTCTATTTGATTAATCAATTTGTGAGTGCGTTGTTTAGTGGTGATATTAATCAATCACGGTAAAAGTCGAACCCACATTTGCTAACTTTATATTTAGATGACGTGATTATGTCAATTGATTATATTTAGAATACAATAATGTTCAATATTTAATATCTTGTCTATTTAAAATATGTTGTTGTTTATTATTTTGATTGCATTTAAATATTTTATATTTGTAAAGTTAAAACTTGAATATTTAGGAGTAATTAAAGTATGAAACTAAAATATTTGCTTATTTTTTATATTGTTCGCTTTGCTTCAATGAAGCGCGCTTCATTTCTCGCCTAAGTCCTCAGGAGACCGGTTCGCTTCGATTCGCTTTATCTTTTTTAAGATATTATAATGTGAACCTCTTAATGTATGTTATTAAGCTCAAAAAGTAAGTCTTTTCTAGCAACGCTGATACCTCATCATCTTTGACACCTGGTATTACCATCCAATTATGAATTATAATACACCACGTTCACCTCTTGCTCCAGTGACTACTATTTCTGTACTTGTTGGGTTTACTATACTCGTGGTGGTTTGTAATTGGATGGTGATACCACGTGTCAAGATTAACGACTGTTTCATTCAATATCTACTTGTTTTCTGGCTTCTGGCTATGTTTTTAAGTGTTTTACATAACTTGCACTCTTTTTATACAGGATTTTTCCTACCGGAGAGGTGATTGGCTTGTATTCGGTTCAGAAACTTCTGGGCTACCACCCGAAGTGCTTCTCGATTGTAAGAACGAATCATTGGGTGGTGGTGCTATTAGAATTCCAATGGTTGAAACTTATGTTAGATGTCTGAATCTTTCTGTTAGTGTTGGCATAGCTTTGTATGAAGCTGCAAGGCAGCTAAACTATGAGCAGCTTCAATGCCCAACAGAACCTTGTATTGATACCGAAATATCACTTGTTACTGAAGATATTTTTGCTTAAAGTTCATTTTTTCAAAATTATTGTATTCATTGGGAGATTGAACTTACAAAGGCAAGAAGTAGTTGATTGAAGCTGAATTTGAGATTGTAGCATTATGCTCATCTGATATTTCAATCAGGAATAAAAAGGGTGCTCATTGCACGTTCTTGCCTTATCTACCGAGGGGTAATTTTTGTGTGACTTGAACCTATGATGTCTAGATCACAATAAAACAATTTTATTCATATACTGTGTGGCCTATTCTCGTGTTGCAATCAGGAATCGGTTATGATAATTACAAACAAAGTGCATTCATAATTATATGATCCCTAGTACTATGGAAGAGATTTCATTAGGTACACATTTCTAAATAACAATCAATGGTACATTACCCAGCATGTATGGGTGAACAATTCTTTTTCTAAATAACAATCAATGGTACATTACCCAGCATGTATGGATGAACAATTCTTTTGGGTCTTATTTGAATTAATGGAAAGTACTCTACAATAAGTGGAATTTAGTGAAATGTAGTTAGAAAGATGTGAATCACTAATGATATTAGGTTGTTACTACATATTTCCTGGGTTTGATAAGAGAAATCACCAGCTAGCTAACAAGTAAGAAGGGTTATTCATACTACCTGATGGGTCAGTCCAGTGTGAGAATCGAGAACCGTCTCAACGTGTCTTTTGAACTTTGTGGTTGTGACGTAAGTTTCGTCGATCAAACTATTTTTTGCGAGACTCAAACTAAAGACTTTAAATACTGAGATCTTAAAGTATAGGTCTCATCTATCGAACTTAAACATTATTATTATTATTATTTTTTGATAGTCACACTAGATTTTTTACTTTTAATTATTATTGTAATGGGAGTTTAAAAGTGTTAAACCATCCAATTCAAAACAAATTAATACTGAATGAAAACACCCATATTTACGAGGCGAGAGATCGACGGAAAATGCGGAAAAGAAAAAAAATACAAATTATTTGGTGTTTGTTTAGCGTGATAATGATGGAAAATGCTAGAAACTAAATTCCCGGACCCACAAAATTTTCTTGTAAATTGTAGTTCTTTTTTCCTATAGATTATGCAAGAAAATAATTTTTTTCCAGTGAAAGTTTAAGAGACATCTAAGGCCTGTTTGACTTGCGTTTCAAAAAATAGTATCCGAAAATAATTTTTGAGAAGAGTTTTAAGAAAATGTATTTTAATGTTTTCTGAGATGAAAAATTTGTTTGGTTAGATGATTTCAAAAACAATTTTACAGAATAGAAAATAATAAAACTTGTTTGGACAGTTTAAATATATGTTTGAACAATAATTCAAAAATTAATAAAATATATAAAAAAATTATTTTTAGATTGACAATTTTATTAAAAAAATACAATAAACCAACCATATTAAATAATTTTCATCAAAAATAAAATCAATATAAAAAAAATATATCAATGACATTTATCTAAAATAAAACCAAATAGATTCAATAGAAAAAATATACAAACACCAATAATTTTTTAAAAAATAAAAAATAAAATAACACCAAAAAACACTCACACCATCACACAATATATATATACACACGTCGCCAATAAACACACAATATACACACAATCTATACACATAAACACATATCACAGTGATCACACAGACAATCTATATATATATAAACACACATCACACAATAAACACACAATACACACACAATCTATATCAAACCCATCACAGTGATCACACACACAATCTATATATATGCGCACACACGCAGTCACACAATACACACACATCGCCAAGATCTAAAGAAAATCAACATAGATTTGAATTCAAATTTAAAGGAGCTCAACCCAGATCAACATTAGAGCCCAACGCCTTGAGATTGCTGGAAAGAGAGAGAGAGAGAGAAATGCTTGAGATCGCCACAACATCTGGTGTGTTTCTCTGATTTTCGAAAGTGGAGTGAGAGAAAGAGAAGAAGACTTGACAAAGAAAAAAATAAAAAATAGGAGTGACTGCAATAGCTGTTAAGGAAGGTCAAAGGAGGGACTTCATTAAAAATGAACAGTGACTTATACTCCGTGTTTCCCAAATTTTCAAGAAAATTCTCCGAAAACAATTCTAGCATATTTTCTGTTTTTGTGTTTCAAATCTCATTTTTTTCCAAAAATTTAAGAACAAAAATACTAAACAAACATGTTTTTGGTGTTTTTAGAAATTTGAGAACAAAAAACTATTTTTGAAAACCAAACCAAACATGCCCTAATTTTCCACTGTACCATTTTTCCTCCCATATTAGTCATTATCTATATACACAAGATCCTCCCTTATTTCGTGGCAAACGTCAAGAATGATATTGACATTTGAAAAGAGTTTCTTATAACTTTCCTACTTTTCAAATTATTAAAAAATAATAATAATAAATTTTTTTTTGTACATATTTCATGCTAACCAAATATATGCAAGAAAACATTTTTTTTTCTTGTTCCTTTCTTTCACTTCACTTTCCACCACTATCACTTTCTATCATTATTTTCTTTTTAAGTGCAACTATGACACGAACAAATAGAAACCAATTACTCGCAACTCAAAATTAATTGACGATGAATAGGAAATTCTATAACACATTTGTACTAGTTTTAATTGGTTTTTATTGTGCCAAGGTGGAACAAGTTCTAAGAAAAAACAGTCTACTGTTGCAAACTAATCTACAATTAAAGGTGCTTATGTTCAGAACGTTCAACCAAGTGATCTCACCCAGAAACAGTCCTACCACGTTATCCACATACCGCAGGATTTCTCTTAATCTGTCCCAGGGGAACATTAGTTGTGAGTAAAACCACAATGAGCTTATAGATTTGGAATGAAAAAGGTGTACTATCAACAAAGCTTAGATTCTACTTTGTTGACTCTAGTTTCCATCTAGCTTGACAATCGCTCAAAAAGAAAAGCAAATGAAACCAGATGCATATATAGAAAACCTTTACCTTTTGAGCAAGTGAACGAATCTCCAATGGCTGCCGGAAGTATAAGCCCTCTATAGTTCCCAAAAGCATAGTGGGGGAGGGGCGTAATTTGAGAGGCAACTCATCAAATAGAGTGAACACTCCTTGCTGTTATCAACAATCCCGCCATTGTGAAGGAATGAAGAGATGACCTTCACCTTTCCTAACCTCAAGTTGTCCCATCAAAAGAATTCTATTCCTTACAGCTTTTCCTAAAACCAAACTTCTGTTGGTCTCTTAATAATCTCCAATTCCCTGGTATGGAGCCACCAGGAGGTAGAGTAGGTGGTGGTGGGAGCAAACTTTCTGGTGATACCTAAGGCAAGTGATGACTTAAAACTACTAGGATTGAGTTTTTTCCAACTACCATATAGAATTTATTAACTTCGCACTTAGTCAAAGGAAAAAGCTAACGACTTGCAGCAAAGCCCTCAAAACTTAAAAACAAAAGAGTAACTACTAAATGCTGCTGTTTCTGTTTTGAACAGGTATTCAGCCTCTTCGTATTTGAAAGCATTTCTTTGACGCTAAATGATGTTATACAGGTTGAACTTAGCTTGCAATCCATGTGATTGCCAATAGGACCTAAAAAGGACAACAATGAATTCCAACCATTTCATTTCTTGATGTAGCATAATGATATTCAAAGAAACCATTATGGTATTGCTCTGGAATGTTTCTATTCACTATGAAATGCTTGACACTAAAGAATAGCCTACAGTTATTGTCCTTGTATCAGACGTCTGCATGTTTTCAAGAAAAACATGATTGCTTTCGTGATTTACTTGCCATGCATATCCAAGACAGAAATAATTGAAGCCCCCACCAAGAAATTGCAAACTATTAAAGTGATCTAAGTTAGTTTTGAGCCTTTATTTGTCGGATTTTGCATTTCACTGTTTTCTTGGTACCTGTCTATGGTTAGAACTTTGCAAGGGTGGTGATAAACTTGAGTGAGGCTTAAATAATAATACCATGGTTAAACATTCAGCAAACGAAATGTTGCTTTCATTCTACCTTTGTGTTAACCCATTGGTTACATTGAAGACAGCAATAACCAGTTGAATTAAAACTTCTATCTGATTGAAGTTAAAATGAAATTACTCTTCAATCAAGAAAGTCACATTTCAGATTCAAATCCAATATTCCAAAATCCTTCAGGAGTCAAAGGAGGTGCATACCTATACCGATGCCTTGAAACTCCGTCATGATGCTCACAGCGTAAGTTCTGCTTATTACCATCAATGTCCTTACCTCCATCAGGAAGAACTGCATCATAGAATTTCTTGCACTGCTTGCATTCAATTCCCTTCAAATTTTCCCTATCAGATTTCTTCCTCACAGGTTCTACGTACTTAAAACCTCTTATTCCAGGCTGTGGAGGTGGTATTTGCTTCTTTTCTGGTCCAGGATCAACATTCATGTCCTGTGTTTCATCGTCCGAGTTGTCAAAATTCATGTCTTTTGGATTTGGCTGTGGAAGATCATGAACTACTTCCTTCATGGTTTTCTTTATGTTTCCCCTAATATTCTCCAAGGGAGTATCAAGGAAATCATCATGTGGATCAGGGCCACCTCGGATCTGATGGGACCTGGTATCTCGCCAATGAGGAACAGGACGCTTAGTGCCACCTGGTGAGCATGATTTCACATTAGTGGGGAGTTTTTCTGCAGTGGAGGAACTGGAACCAAAAGGAGATACAGAGCTCGATCTTTGAATTAATCTGAATCCTTTGTCATCTTCAGAGCTTTCTTGCCCTTCCTTTGGCTGCGTCAACTTGCAAGCAATTGAAGAAGTTTTTCTGACTTTGTTCTCAATATCTGTGACACCAGAAAGTAGATTGGTAAGCATTGATAACAAACACATTGCAATCTCAAGGGAATAGCAAGGCAAGAATGTGCGAGAATGAATTCTATATGTAGATGTTATCACAGTCAATATTAAGTGTAGCATAACTTGGGTGAATGCAACACAAATTCTTCTTACGTCAATGGACAACTGAAGAAATAAAGTTTAACAAGAAGGATAGGATAAAAGAAGTGCAGCATACCAGGAGAAGTCACTGGATTCTGATTATGCGTTAATGAATCTCTATCTTCTATTCTGCTTTGGGAGAGCATATTCTCTGCAGTAAGACCTAATTTTTTGCAAAGAAAATCATGTTGAGATTTTAGCTTCTTATAAGCAGCAATCACATTCCTCCTTTTGCTCTTCTCAGATAGTAAGTCAGAGTTTTTTGCTTCAATTTGCTGGAGTAATTTTCCATGCAACTCCATTCCTTCAGCCAATTCATTGCTTCTTACACGGAGATCCTCTTGGAGCTGATTTACTTGCTCCTCTAAGCCTTTTAGTTTCGTCAAAAGCAACTTTTTCTCTTTCTCAATCTCTTCCAACTCCTGTCCAGCCTTCAACAGTTCAGAACCATCCAAGTCAATCTGTTGGAGTAACTGTTCTTGCACTTTTTGTCCATCCTTTGCTTCTTCAATTTTCTTCCTGAGTTCCTTCTGGAGGAAATCAACATTATCCTCCAAGCCTTGTAATTTAGCAGTGAGTATACTTTTTTCCTTTTCATAATCATTTAAGAGATGTTCAGTATTTGCCATATTTGAGGCCTGTAAATCAATCTTTTTGAGCAGGTTGTCTTGCAACTCCTTACTTCTGTCAACTTCTTCAGTCTTTTCACAGAGCTGCTCCTGGACCTTATCATATTTGTTCTCTAAACTTTCAAGTTTGACAAGAAGCTCATTTGTCTTCTTTTCCTGCGCTTTCAATTGTCTCTCTGTTGTAACTATCAAAGCTTCCTTTGACTGTAACAATTTAAGGAATTCCTTTTGTACTTCCATTCCCTCATCCACTTCCTTGGACTTCTGGAGTAGCTCTCGTTGGAGCTCCTGCACTTCAGTATTCACAAACTTTGCGTTCTCTAATTTCAGAGACTGGTTTTCTACAAGGAGTTGCTCCTTTTCGAGGTGAAGCTTTTCTATTTGGTGTAGGAGATCATTTTCCTTATCCTTCCATGTATCTTCTGCAGCTTTCCTGGCATCAGAATATATTTGCTGCAGGCTTTTTGATTTTGATTGGAAAGTTGGAAAGAGCTGGCTGCAGAAAATATACTCTATCTGAGAAATTCTGTCTTTCGCTTCTTGAATGGTAGCAACCAATATAGTACTAAGCCCAGAGACATACTTTGCATCACCACCATTGGCAGGATACCCCAGTTGCCAAGATTTTTGCAGATCCCCATCCATCTCTGAAATTTTTAAAGACATGAAACTCCACTGTTAGAGTTAATAATGTGCCATCAAAATATCCATTTTATCAATAGCCAGTCAGTATGCTTCATGTTTAAAGTAGTAAGATCATATATGTCCCTGAAATAAACAAAATCCATCCACCCATGGGAAATATCCATCAGCCTCAGCACTTTTTTGTCAATATGCATGTATTTATATATCGGTGCATCCGTATATCTGTATATACACTGGAAAACATCCCTAAATCCTACCCCATTTATACAAAGTGTTTGCACATGAATCTCATATTCGGGAACAAAGCTTATATTTTGTGTGGGACAAAGGTTCTGTCCTTTTGTCATACTGGTCCACCAACTCCAGAATTTGATTCTTCAGTTCTAGATTAAATTATGATCTTGACTTCTAAGGCCTTCGTTGCCAACTGCCAAAACTATTCATGATCAAAAGTTTGTGCACTTCTTAAGTGAAGAACTTTTCACTTACTGAAGAGATTTCTCACCATTCAAACAAAGAATAAGTAATCATAAATTTGCCTAAGATAGGGATTATTGTTGGGTTGCACAATATTACTTGCAAATCCATATGTAATAAGATCACCATATACAAATTCGGTATTACATACTAAAAATGTCTTTTAAAAGGTTCATCTATTCTTTTTACAAAAAGGAGCAATAAGTCCCACATGGCACTGTACGTGTTCGTAAAATGAAAGGCAGAGCAGTAGATCAACTGAAAATATTAGACTACTCCCGCATAAGCATTTGCTAGGTATAAACTTTGGGGAAGAGAACAAAATATTTGATAGTTCTACTATTGGAGTAGCAACAGACCTGTGAAATTCAGGAATCACTCGAAATTCTGTTTATTGCACCTTCAGGTGAATTGGATAGAGACAAGACCTTGTCTCATCACAGTAGTCAGCTGGATTAATCTTCGAACTTATTTTGTTACCCCATAGGTCATTGAAATCAAATATATTAATCTTTATTTATTTATTTTTTTTAATGATAAGTCAGATATATTGGTAGAGGAAACTGACAGGGAATTGGAAAATTGGAACTTGGGCATCGAAAATGGATTTGGGGCGTACTTAGATCAAATTTGAACTAATATGTCCTCTCCTCAATTACTTGCTATCAAACACATCCTAATCCTCAACTCCAATTCTTAAATGTGAACAGCCAAGACACTAGGTGCAACTTCTCAAAGAAAACTTAACTAATTCTTCAAAAATGCAATATGTATATATGGGTGTCTATATACAAGTTTATGCTAAATTATATGCATGAAATAAAGAATTAGAAATCATGCCTGACACTAAACATATAATAATTAAGTAGAATAAGCTTGTTGTGCATGTAAAACTCCCTAATTCAAACAATAAAACATAATAAAAGGGTAAGAAACAGTAATAGTCCTTAAAACCTGCCCTTGCTTTAGCCCATTCATTCTTTCCATTGTATCACAATTTCATAAAATTCCCAATTTGACTCTAAATGATCCAATAAAAAATGACTCTCTAAACAACCATTTTTGATTGGATCATTTGGAATCAAATTGGAAATATCAGTAACTAAATCACAACAACTGACAAAATGAGGACAATCGTGAGAAGCAACGAATGCTCTAGGATCATTACTGCATTTTCTCCTACAATGAGCCATTCATCATTATTCATTAGCGACATCAAATTGCAGAGTTCATCTAAATTGGTGAAACTTCAAACAAATGCAGCTTTATTACTGAAACTACAACATAAAAACAATCAGAGTGCATATACTGGCATCAACAACATTTCTAAAAGCATTTCGATAACCTACAAATCGTAGAAAGCTAAAGGCCAAATTGAAATTCGTTCCAATATCGACATCAAATACTCGTGTGTACATTAAGAGATGTCTGTAGAGAGAGGGACAGAGAGAGAGTACCAGCGATCGAGAGAGAGAGAGGGAGAGACGCCAATGCCGTCGGTAGCGGACCCAAAACCCTGGACCCAGATGAAGCTTGCACCGGAAGTAGTGAAGCTGAGTCGTTTCCAACGCGGGATAAATAATTTTAAGATATAAAAATCGTTCTGAGTAAATATTCAATCTCGCGGTGATATATGTGATCTACGTCGTGTAGTGATGGACTGTTGGGTTAGGAATCGCGGATACGATACGAATATTATAATATTATAAATATAAAAAATATAATATAAGTACGGTCAGAATATATTTATAATAATTTAACGATTTAAAAATTATAAATTTTTAATAATTCTTTAATATTAATAAATAAAATTAAGAATTTTTATCATGAAAATGATGTAATATCATTTTATTATGATATATTCATAAAATGAGTATGACCAATTGAAAGAATTTATAACCACATTTAACTAGTTGATTTTATAAGTATTTATTTTTAAAAATATAGTGTAAGTGATTCAATTTTTTTTTTATACTCTCCTAACATGTAATAATAAATAATACTTAAAAAAATACTGATGTCTTCAAAATCAAATGAAATTTTGTTGATGTTTTATATTGTATGTGAATTCCAAATAAGGGGTATAACTTAAAATTAAAAATTGTACATCTTATTTAATGTTTAGAAGTATCCACGAAATATTCATATATTTTATTAATTATCGGATACGAATGATGCATATTCGATACGTATATCGAATATCCGACAAATATCATATTCGATACGAGTACATTAACCTTTATGAAATATCCGTACTTCATAGTGTAGGCCTCATCCGGTAGTTGTCTTTATTTTATGTTTTTTGTTTTTCTTTCTAACAGTTGTAAAAAACAAAAAAGAGTAAAATTTATTTTTAATCACCATAATATGTGTTTAGTATTTATTCGAGTCTCAATCTTTCAACTATGTTTATTTAATCATAAGGTTTTTAATTTATATCTATATGGTACAATTCAAATTTTCTTTAGAAAATCTTCGATGATTCTGGTCACGTACTAATTACGTGGTTCATAATTTTATATTTATTTAGTTCTTAAATTTTTTAATTTATGTCTACTTGGTCTCTAAAGTTCTTAATGTATGTCTATTTGATCCCACATGATTGACGTGTGGTCGAAGTCGTTAATGATTTTTTGATGGACGTTTGTGATTGGACCACATAAATACAAATTAAGAGTTTTAGGGATCAAAATTAACACAATTGAAATATTAGAATTACGACCTGTCAACATTATCACGTGATATAATCATCCATTAACAAATGAGCAAGTGGTAAGTGAGATCCATAAAATTTAATAATCACTCATGCCTCTCAGTATTAATGGGAATGAACCCACTCCTCATGCAGCTTGTTGGCTACGCTTCGTCCTTTCCACATTTGTAGTTATACTAGTGTACGTGAGAATTAATCCCCGGTTGTCGAGCCCATTCTCCGGCATGCACCTAGAATCAGCCGGCTTAAAGACAATTAGATTTTGTTGACGTGTCCAATCGTTCCGTTACATTTAAGTACTCACATAGTCACATTCCATATTTTATGAGCCAGCCCAAAACGTGGCTTATGGGTTGGGTTTGGGCCCGGAAAAGTCGTGACAATATATACGAATGGTATAACTAGGGCTATGAGAACTTCTGAAAATATATTTGATTTTTGAGAACTTCTGAAATATTGGGGGGAGAAGCTCACCAACCTGATAAAAAATGGTATATTTCTCTCTCTCTCTCTCTCTCTCTCCACACTCACAGAGCAGAAGCACAAACACATACACACTCTAGGTCCTACTTCAGCATTGGAATGGAAGGATTCTTGCCGAGTGAAATCGGAAAAAGAATGAAAAATGATGTTTATGGACTGCGTTAATTTTGATCCATGGCGGTTCCCGCACACAAAATGAAAGGAAAAACACATGGATCACTCACAATTAACCAGAAGAGAAGAGAGAAGAAGCTCATAAACACACCATACGCACACACATACATGTCTTTAGAAATCGGAGCTTTTAGACATCATACGCAATACCCAATTAGGTTCAATGCCGGAGCTTGACAAATATATCTTAGTTTATGTATGATTGTTGTCTTACATATTCTGATATGTGACTCTATTTCAGTCAGGCAGGAAAGAAACAGTGTTGGACTTAGCTAAATTTGTTGACAAGGGTGTCCAAGTCAAGCTCACCGGTGGAAGACAAGGTTAGTATCCATTAAATACCACTCTGTACAACCTGCACATAAGCAAAATCTAGAGGATGCTTAGTATAGTTTGAGACAATCTGTGTATGTATATGTTTCTTTTAAGCCACCCATAGGTCTAAGTGGGTTTGTAAAGAAGTTCATGTATGTCGTGAGTTTGTAGTGTCTCTAATGTGTCATACTTGGTTAGGTATCCAGAACGTTCTCGGATGTTGATTTTAAATTTGAAGATCTTGGAAAGTGGGATTGTAGACATCTAGATAAAAGGTGGTAACACGTAAGAGGAACCTAGATGTGAATGAATTGTTACTGACTTTTAATATATTTGGGTTACTTAGGTATTGGTTATGGCATAAGGGAAGACATATCTTTCTCCGTTGTTAAAGTTGAAAATAAACTTATGACCTTGTGTCCATTAGCCACATACTAGGAAATTACTATGGCAGCTGATGTATATGTTCTTTTCAACTATAAACAAGTATTCATACTATATTGTTATTAGTAATGTGAAATATCAATCCATGAGATTTTTTTTAGAGTACTTAAGTTTATAATGACTTGATTAACTTCTATCTGTTCTCAAGTTAAATCATTAGCAGTCAATGTAAATACCCAAAAAAGAATTCTGTTAACCAGAAATAACCTATCACAAGAATGCTATTAAGAGTAAAGGTGATATTTAGATATAAAACATATCAGTGGGTCACATTATTTCTTTCCCTTCCCTTTTGTTGGATGATTCTGTAGTATAAATGGAAAAGATGAAAAAATTGAGATAGTAGCATTGGTTAAATTGGGTTTCCGATAGATATGGCTTGTGGAAGTGGCGTTTGGTATTAGTTACTCCAAGCGTGTCTCTCCTATGGTGATAATAGCTCTTTGCTCTTTGTAGGAGAACAATGTTTTCTTTTTCTTTTGTCTCATGGTGCGTCTCTCTAGCTTTTATCTCTATGTTGAACTATTTGTTATACTTTTTGCTTATGGGGTTTCCACTGACATCAGATACTCCCTCTCTTACTTCATTTTGAATCCTTACCAAGTGATATTATCGGTTACAGTCACAGGGACGCTGAAAGGATATGATCAACTACTAAACCTTGTCTTGGATGAAGCCGTGGAGTTTCTTAGAGGTAACCACTTCACGTATTATCACTAATAATTTGTATATGACTGTGCATGCATATACAGGCATTCATATGTCTTTAATTCTTTACAAAGTCAATGTTCCATGCTGAGTTGTTGTAGTGCTAAAGAGAGGCTTTGTCCAATTACTTTAGAGGAATAGATCAGTCATTTTGTACTCAGTTTTGCCATCAAAAAATTTACAAGTCTAATTTTGAATCTTTGTTATATTCAGCATTTCTCCGTGAAATTTTTTCTTTTTGGTCTTTTGCATTTCTGCTTTTGTTTTTCCTTTTATTCTTTGTATTCCTTGTTTGTGCTGTCATTTAGGTATCTGTATTCTACTGGGAATGTAATCTATCTCTTTTACATTATGTTGGAATTTATGGGATTGAAGTTCTGATTGTGTGGCATTGTTTCTCTAAGAAAAAAACATGACATCGTTTTTCTGACTCAAAAATATTTGGCAGTGCTGTCACATTACATGCGCATGAAATTTGCCTTTTGTTCTTCAATGCCAACCATGATCTTGAAAGCTATGCTTTGAGATTGCCTTAATGTGAGATGCAAACAGGTCTGGGTGCACGCACGTAAGTATTAGGTCGCTAAGGTACATGCCTCAAAATACAATGTACTCATGGGGCAGTGCCTCAGCACTTTGAAATACAATGTTCCCGTAACTAAACAAATCTCAGGACCATTCTAGTACGGAGGCTTTAATACAACAAGCAAAAAAGAAGAAGAGATTATTGATTGCAATGCCTTTATTCCCCCCTCCCCGGTACTTAGTGACGAAATAAATTTGCCCTTTTGTCACAATTTCAATGTTAGCTTATATCATACTGGTTAACAGTGCCTTAAAAGGAGAATTCTAATTGACCATGGTTTAGTTTGTGCCTTTACCTTGATACTTTTAAAAAATTCACATCTATTGTCCAGGCTAACCAAAACTACCTTAAGGCAATCGAATGATATGTACTAAAATCACTCCAAAAGATCTGATCTAGACTATGTTCCACCACTAATGGGCCTTTGGTCCAATAGTACTCCTTGTCTTGTAAAGGCTTTACCTTTTTGAGGTCAAGGGTTTAAGTCCCCCCTTCCCCTTCTCCCTCCCCCTCCCCCTCCCCCTCCCCCCCCCAAAAAAAAAAAGACTATGTTCCACCTATTTTCCACTATACTTCCTATGTTGGACTTATGTGAGGGCAGAAATGAGGGTGGCTACTTACTGAATCAATATCTTATCACCACATATCCTTGAGCATGCACCTTCTCTGTCACTGTTTTCCAATCAATACAAGCCTTGGCTTAGATTGTCAACCTAGGCCTTGGCATATCTTATTACTGAAGCTTGGTATGCAAGCTTTTATTGTTCTCGCCAAGGAGAAGTGGAGTCACATAATTAGAAATGTATGCACAAGCAGGGATCTAGCCCAAAGTACAAACTCAAGTCTAGGAAAAACATGCCTAACCTTTGGCTAGCTACCATACAGGCAGACCCTAACCATATGCAAGCAGTAAAATTTATGCACAAACACTCAATTTTCCCGACCCAGACTTGTCATTCTAAACTCAGCTGTGATCTGCAAGAATAAGGTTTTTGCTTGATCAATAACTACATTCAAATTATTGATTGGTTGGCGACAATCTTGGCTTAATCTTAATTTGGATTGAAAACTCGTTTTTGTCAAGTAGAATTTGAGTTACGCAGCTATCAATTGCCCTGTTTTTTGCAGCTTTTGTGCCAAAATATGTATTCCCTACACAGACAACATTACTTTCTCCCTGCCCTTTTACAGTTTCTTGTTTCTTTCATACCACAAAAAGCAGATAGTTGCTGGAAAGAAGTTTTGAAGTAACCAATGGTTTTGCTCCCTCTGCCAATCCAGCAATTTTTTCACCAAAAGATGGGATGCACCTCAAATCACTGATTTCTTTCATCTTGTTTTTGCTCTAACTCCACTGCATATATCCTGAACCCTGGGTCTTAATTCAACTTGACCAAGCCATCTCATTTGACTTTGCATGATCTTCTCACTTACCATTACCAACTCAAACTCTTCAGATGAGGCATCTTTCCTTTCTACTTATGAATATTCATCCCATTTCTCAATCTTTTATTCCCTTTAGAACTGTGGTTGATCTCCATGGGCATATAATACACGTTATGTGGCCAGTTCTTTATGCCACTTTAGTTGCTTCACTGCTCCATTTGCTTTCCAAAGAACAGGTGTAGAATGAGAATTCAACATCTCATACCGAGTTTTCCTAGAGTGGCACTTGTGAGTGTGTTATATGTTCTTTACATTTCCTTAAATCCTTTGGCTTCATTAGTTTAGATTCTAAGGCTTTTTCCATTGTGGAAATTCAGAGACCTAAAATGCTATTTAATTGCAGCCAAACCTAGGCATAGGCGCTTGGCAGAAAGAATACAAATAGCATGTTGTTTGGACATCAACTCTTTGGTAAAATTAGGAAGAAAAAAGAAGGCCATTTGATTTAGGGATCTCTTTGCATGTGGACCCTTAGAAGACAATCTTTTATTATAGAAAGAGTGATGTTAGCATTTGAAAAGATGATCTGTTATGTGTATACTGTATTGTTCTCTGAGAACTACTGCAATTATACTACAAATCAGCAGTATCCATCGCATTGGACTCTTGCAGGTTCCATGTGGAACAGCTTTCTTTACTTGCAATTGAAGTTGCCATCACCATTATGTGTATTCTTGTTTTTATTGTGATAGAAATATTATCCTGTGAGAGCAATTGAAGAATGATTGGGGTTTTTGTGTTACAGATCAGGATGATCCGCTCAAGACTACTGATCAGACCAGGCGTCTTGGCTTAATAGTATGTTTTCTTTCTGTAAAAATTTCATTTACATATCCTTGTAAACAGAATTTGTCATTAAGACCAACATTCATGGATTGGAATTTAAGAGATGGAAACAATACTTGTAAATCTGTAGATCGTCATCATTGATATTTTTGGTGGTTTATACATATAACAATTCCAAAAAATTGTCATCCCGGTTTAATGGAAACAGACTATCAGACCATGCATAACTAGCTTATCGTCATTAGCTATGACATTTAGTTGAAAAGCAACTTGACATGGCGGCATGTTGTCGTGGAAGTTCAATTACTTGAATTTTAAATCTTATATTACACAGCCGCTTTCATGATTTGAGTAGTTTTGGCATGAACATTAACATTAAATCCTGGGCTCATTTTGAAACTATAATCTTGTCAATATGAGTTGACTTTGTTGTTTTGAGGTATACTAATTTCATCACGATGAGACTAGTTGTTCTTTCTTTTTTGAAATGAATACACTCCAGTTCTTTTTTCTTTGCGACTATTTACCCTACTGGACAGTAGGTAACAAGCACATACATGTTCTACTTTTCTTTTTCTCTTTTTTTCCTCAAGTTATTCTTTTCTTTTTTGGTGAAATTCTGTAAATATTCAAAGTGTGGAGTCTTTAACTGTGATTCATCGTCTTGCTTAAGCTTAAATTGAGGTTGTTTTGATGTTGATATTTCCATTTTCCCATACCACTTTGTCACTCCAAAAATCTGGCTATGGACAGCAACTATATGACGATGGCTCATAAAACGCCACGACAAACCCTATAAATTCTGACATGCTCATTTCTGATATTGCATTGCTGTGTTGTTCTTCTGCAGGTCTGTAGGGGAACTGCTGTAATGCTTGTATCACCAACTGACGGTACCGATGAAATCGCCAACCCGTTTCTCCAGCCAGATGGGGCATAGGATCTAGGGAGCCCTCTTAACTTCAAAATTTTATGTTTCAACTGTTTGGACTTGGTCTACTACTATGTACCATAACCATTGTACTATTATTTATCGTATGTGGTGTGTCACGATGTTCCAAGAAGACAAGAGTCTCCCGCACTCTTATTTTTCACCAACCAAAAGATGACACGTGTAAGATTTTTAATGATGTTTGAGATTTGTAATAAATTTTGGTAGGATGTCATATTGGTTCCATGTGCTTTCCTTGAACACAAATTGATCACCAATGGGGAATAGTTTTGAAATATATGTGGTCTAACCACCCTCCAACTCCGCTACCACAAAAAAATAGTTTAGTGCATCGATTTTTGCTATTACGAGATTTGAAAAAATATTAAATATATATTTATATATTAGTCTGACGTATGCAAAGAGATTATTTTTATAATTTAAACTTTTGATGTTGAGATTCTAATAAATCATTTTACCTTTGGGCTAACACCTGTCCTCAAAACATTTTAACTATATAATTAAAAACGCATCGATATATTATTATTATTATTATCACTTTCTAAAACCCAACACTCTCCCCCAATTGATTTCTTCACATCCATATGGATATGAATAAACATCTATTTTTCAAATCTCTATTTTCTCAAATTTTTAACTTATTAAAATTTGATCGATTAAAATTCGATTCAAACTAATTAAAATTTGAGTTGATTAACAATTATATCTTTTTACATACTAAAATTAGAGTTGATTAAAATTCTATTCGAGACTCAAATCAAATTTTAATTAAATCACATAAAACTATAATTGGATCAATTGTTGATACATAAAAGAATATAAATTTTAATTGACTCAAATTTTAAACTGTAAAAAATCAATTTTAATTGAATTTTAATAATAAAAAAATATAAATTTTAATTGATTCGAAACGAATTTTAATAGGACCTAAGAGTTCACGTAGAACTCAAATTTATTCGAATTTTAATACATAAAAAAAAGACTTTTAATAGGCTCAAATTTTAATATGTAAAAAAAATAAAATTTAATCTATTTGAATTAAATTTCAATAGACTCAAATTTTAATATGTAGAAAAAAAATTTAATCAGTTTGAATTTTAATATATAAAAAAATAAATTTTAATCAGCTCAAATTTTAATTGAATTTTATGTAAAAATTTTTTTTGAGGTATATACAAGGGTAATTTTAGTATTTTACATAGTTTATTTTTGTTATAAATAGTAGTTTAATAGTAAAAGGGGTTAATAATGTTTAAATATAAATTTGAAGGGAGGGTTAGTGATTTTTTGATAATAACGAGGATGTTATTGAAGATAAGATAAATTAGAAGGGATGTCACTAATTTTTTTTTTTTTATAATTAATAAAAAAATAATACTAAAAAATTATTTTACCATAGATATAAATCGAGAATTCAATTTAAAATTTGAGGCGATACTAAAGTGGCAACAATGTTTTTTTCCCTAATTTCCTAGTTTTGTAACGTGCGTTCAAGTGAGACCCACTAAATCACTAAATTGCAAGCAGATAACACCAGGTGTGTCGAAACCCAAACCTACTCTCTGGTCTCCGGCAATTTGCCATGAATTCCGGCGAGCTCGGATACCAATAAATTATCTCTCTTCCAGAAAGCCCTCAACCATTGCAGCTTTCATCTTTCTCTCTTTTCTGGGACTGCAGACCCTCCACCATTGAAACTCTTTTCGCAAGAAAACAAGTGGCGAATTTTTATTTTTTAATTTTATTTTCTCAAAACCCATTGAAGCTTTGAAACTTTGTCGTTGAAAATTTCTTCTGTTTAATTCATTGACACACACACACAAGACACTCTTCGTCTCTCTCTCTCTCTCTCTCTCTCTCACACACACACAAAATTGTTTTTATTATTTTTCGTTTTTATATCCTTATTAGATAAGCAATTATTTGTTTCTTTACTTTCCTTTTGCTTTTCGAATTTTTTTTTGCCGAAATTTATTCATTTTCTGGTTTTATTTTTGAATTTTCGCTTTTTTTGGTGGTTGCTGTCAGTGCTGTTTGCTACTGCTGCGCGGGGTACTCTCTCTCTCTCTCTCTCTCTCTCTCGGTAAGAATGCATGTCTCTGTTTCTAGGGCAAGACTACGGTATCGAAAGTAATACAAATTACACTTTTTAGGGTTAAGTTATAACTTGCGAAAGTGATACAAATTATAATTTTTATGGTGAAGTTATAACTTTTTGGCGGTTTAAAAAATGGGATAAATTTTAAAATATTAGGATTTTTTTTTAGGTTAAGTTACAACTTTTAAAGATGGCAGCCCTAAAATTTTAGCATCTATCCCAGACAACTTCATTTAGTTATATTTTCATTCACAAAAGGTATTAACTTATTCTTTAAAAGCTATATTTTTCGGTATCGTAGACTTATCCTATATTCTTGGCCGATTTGATTCTTGTATAATTGCTGCTGTTGTTTATAGGTATTGCATAGGTCTCTTTTTCAGTAAATTTTTACACTTGCGTTTTTTTTTTTTGGTTTTTCGTCTAGAATGAACTTATTAACCTAGCAATTCTATGATAACATTGGTAGACAGCTTTGTTGGTTTTTTTTTTCCCAAGAAAAGCTTTTTTTTTTTGTTGGTGGGGGGGGGGGGGGGCATTAATTATCTGTTTATAGGTTGATGACTGGTCCTTTGCTTGCTAAGTATAAGAACACTTATGAATGTTTTCCCATATAACCATGCCTATGGATATATGATAGATTAAGGAAGGACTAGTTTTCCTTGGACCTCTGGTGCCTCCTAAAATTGATTTAAAAATGCCTTAATGAAAACTCAATTTATTTAGATTTTTCTGGCTTCTAATAAAGTTATTTGGTACTCCTGGTCCATCACTATTTGATCTATGCAAATTTTCATCGATAAGGTTTCTTCCTTGGAGCGACCAACCATCCACTAAGTGCAGGAATAAATTTATTACAAAGCATAAGATTTAAATGGTGCTAATGGAAAAAGCTTTTTGTTTGACTTGGATATTGACTGCTCATTACTGTGTATATAGAAATATGTATACATGTAGTTTCTTTGTAATTGCGATGCTTTTTTTTTTTCTTTCTTAGGTTTGTGCAATTTATCACCGGAAGATTGAGAAGATTTGCATCACAGACGGAAAACTGGTTTATTAGTATGACTTTTTAGCTCTGATCTATGTCATACTGTGTTGCATGTTTATATTTTTATGAGGAAGTATGAAATCATATCAGGGATTTGAAAGAAAAATAACTAAAAACAGATCCTTTACGTAGAAACAAAATCCTAGTAGTGTATTGGCCTTCTTTCACATGATTTAACTTCTGTTATGCTGCCAAGGATGTAGCTGCTTGTTCGCAAGGGTGAAGACAAGACACAAAAAATGCAGTCATCCTATCTGCATGAAACATAAATGAAAGAGTTGTAAGGTTTCATGAGTTCTTTTTGTTTCGATGCGTTAGCCATAAGATTACTATAGTATTTAGGGTGTGCATGGTTCTAAACATTGGTTTTGTTTTTGATGCTGGTGGAACAAAATCCCATTTGTTATCAGAATTACTGGAACTGGAGAGCCAAATCATGCCACATGCGTGTTGTTCTTTTTTGGAACAAAAATTAACCCTTGCCACTTTAATGTTCCATTTGGTAGTGACCTCCTCTAGTCAAGAAATTAGTTGAAACCCTGAAAAACAAAAGTATGCATTATCAAAGTGTTTTGTTTCGCTGCAGGTCTGTTACATTCCTATGTGGAAGTGCCCCTTAGATGACAACATGCTCAACACCCTTGGGAATGGAGAGAAGGGGAAAGCAGGTTGAATTTGGAAGAAAAGGACAGAAGAGACCATAAACAAATTTAGCAATGTTTTAAAGGCCAAGTGTTAATATCTGATCGGTCCTAGTGTAAGTATCTGATCGTGATTATATGGATTGGGTGGAAGAGTCCAATGAGCAGCTGTCCATTCACATGAGAAGGAAAAGAAAGGTTAGATCGAAGAAACTAGAGTTTATTGGGTGGGGGTCTAAATCTCTTGTTGAATTTCTTGAATCAATTGGCAAAGATACCAGCAAACAACTATCTCAAAATGAAGTGACAGCCATCATCAAAGATTATGTCAATATAAATAAGCTTCTTCACCCAGGAAAAAAGAAGAGGATTCTGTGTGATGAGAGGCTGCATTTTCTTTTTGGAAGGAAATCTGTGGCTCGAAATAAAATCTTTGACTTGCTGGAAGCACACTTTGTTGAAAACCATGACGAATCAGAGGATGAACTAATGTACAATTCAGAAGAGGAGAATCTAATGGTGGCATTCAAAGAACAGAGAACCTTAAATTCAGCCAAGAAAACTCCCTTTCAAAAGAAAAATGTGGTTGAGACTCCAAAAAGCTGTTTTGCTGCTATAAATTCTGAGAACATGAAGCTTGTCTATGTGAAAAGGAGTTTAGTTCAGGATCTTCTGGAGTACCCTGCAAGCTTTGAAGTTAAAGTTGTGGGTAGCTACGTGAGGGTCAAATCTGACCCAAATGACTTCTTTCAGAAGAACTCTCACCAGCTTCTGCAAGTTACAGGTTACTCGTTGTTATGCTATACATGCATATGTTTGAGACAACGTGTGCAAATATTATCTGGCATAATTAAATTACTCGATTTTCATTCAGGCACTCAACTCTCTGAATACTATGGTAAATGTAAGTTGTTATGTTTTTTTTAAAAGTTTCCTGTGTATAACTCTTCATTTATGTATTAAGTATTGATTTTGTTTGAAATTAAAATTTGGTCCATCACCGTATTATCCAGGTTCTGACATTTGATATATGATTTGGGATAATTAAGCCACTCTTAAGTTCATTCAAACACTCAGTCATTCAGATCTTGATTCAAAGCAATGTTTGGTTTTTGTTTTCTTAAGAAAATGTGTTTGACAATGAATGTGCTGTATGTTTGCTTGCAACTGCACCAAGTGTGTGTCCTTGTTGTGGAGAAATATTGAGGGCCCATAATGTATTGGTTTTTGATCCGACAGATCGACAACTATAGATAGATTTAGTGAGGAAGACCACTTTCTCTGTTTCTTTCAAATAATTAGAGATACACACCCAGGCTAACTTATCTGCCCTTTGCTCTATGTTCCCGACTACATTTTATCGGCAGACATCCGAGATATGCCCTCTGTTTTAAGACGAGGAGTTACTGTTGTGAAACTTGTTACTGTGTTGGAGCATGTTAACTGGGAACATACCCGTTAACTGGGGACAGGCCCATCAACTGGGTACATCAGATGGGGAACATCCTAGTCATTAACTTGCTATGTAGGCTATTATATTTATCTGTATCTCCATTTTTTTATATCCTGATCCCATTTGCTTTCCATTTGTTCACCCCTTTCATAATCCTGCGAATGGACCCAATGCGATCACTGTTTAAACATATGTTTAGAAGTCAAAACTGTACCCTTTTGCTATCTCCTCATGTTCTGTTCTTTCATGCTACTTTTTATCGGATGGGTAACTTAATGTGGCATAGCTGATTATTTTATAGGTGTAAAGAGGGCTGCTGGAACTGGTGATGTCGGTGCAGAAATTCTCCTTCAAGTTTCAGATGTGATGAAGGACATTCACATTTGCATGCTGTCAGATGATACTTTCTCTGAGGTAATCAGTATGCATAAAACGATGCTAACACATTTGAAAATTGATCAGTTAGAAATCAATCTAACTTCGATTAGAGTCTTTTAGTATGAGCTAGTCCCCTGAAAATTTGTTTTACAGATTAACTTTGAGCTCGTTAGTTGTTCCTCTTTCAACTCTGGCTTTGAAAATTGAGCAAAATTTGTGAGCTCAGGTTTCAAAAAATTGAGGCAGTATGAAACATTCTCTAGAACATGTGGAATTTATAATATATTTCAAAAAAAATATGAATGTAGTAAATTTTTTTTTTCAACTTTGCTTGATAGACATGAAATTGCATAAGTTGTTTGATTTGGTGTGTATTCCATAGACACCAGTCACTTCTTTTCTATTTTCTGTAATGGATGTTTGTTTTCATCTAATTTTCATTTTGAGTGTTTTGGGCTTTGGTGGTGAGAGGGGTATAGTGCTTTTCTAAAGATGCTTTAGTTTGGTTATTATTGGTGCATACGGAGGTTATAAATGCATCAAATTTTGAAGACAGAAAACATAGCCTTGGCACTATGTGGGAGTTTTCTCAATGTTACTCTTTCTTTTTGAGCTTTTAGTACCGAAGTTCAAGATTATTCTTCTAGTTTATCATTTAAGGGTGCAGGGTAGTTATTGTTATTGGATTACATTTGTTTGTAGACATCTCTACAAGTTTGTTACAAAATTATTTATGCCTCGTGTTTGAGGTCTGCAGTTTTTGCAATGATTTGTTCTCCTTTTGTAGGCTTGAGGATTTTTAATCATGGTTGTGGAAGCCTTGTGGCTGAATATAATTTTTATGCTTTCATTGCTCACACAAGAAATCGTGAGTAGGGTGTTTGAAGTTTTGATCATATTGCACATAATGTTCACCCTTTTTATTTTCCTCTTGAAATTTTGTGACTACTGGACTAACCGCAGTGGCCTTGACTGAAAATTGTTTTGATTGATATGTTACCTTGGGTAGAGAACTTCGATTTCTGAATGACCACTTTAAAGGTTGAGCGTATGATATGGTATACAAGTGACCTTCAATTATTATTTTATATCTCTCAACGGTGGTCATTAACCTGCTGTGGACAAAAGATTTTCATTCCACTTAGTTGTAGATTGCTAATAGAGAAATATTTACACAAGCTGTGATTTGTATGCATTTGTTTGAATATTAGCTTTGTCATATTTATTGCAGGAAGAGTGTGAGGATTTGTGTCAAAGAGTGAAAGCTGGTTTGCTGAAGAGGCCTACTGTTGTAAGTTTTTTTTTTTATTTGAAGCCTGAATCTTAGGGTGGGCCACCAGTTTTTGGCTTGAACCACATTTCTTAGCACTTCTACAAGGGGACACACAGGGTTCTAGTCTGTGGACATGAGGGGTGTGTGTAGTAGGTGATCAAAATAGAGAATAAAAGAGAAAAAAAGTTATATTGTAGCCTTATATCTATTGACTAGGGGTAACCCGTGCTTGAAGGTACGACGAAATGTGAATGGTTTTGGGAGGAATATTGATGGCCATTGAATGAGTTTATTTGAGACCGTCGGGTGGACTTTTTAAAATCTATCTTGTTTTATATTATACTTATCATAATTGTCAAATTGTGTATTGGAAGACAAATCGTTTTTTAAAAATAGTGTATTGTATCGTGTATTGTGTATCGTAAGATACGCGTAATTTTAATTTTTAAACAATATTAATAAAATATATGTATATACCCTTATAAAAAAGTCATAGGCTCATAATAACATAGTATTTCATTAATATTTCATCAACTATTCAAGTTTTCAACATAGTTCAATAATATTAAAATGCAAAGACCTCTAATTCAAACTTCTAACGTCAATTGTTTGAACAACTTTAATATTAATCAAGATTTTTGAATTTAATTGAACAACATTAACATTAGACTTTATTTTTTTTTTTAAACTATAGCCATTAAAACGATGTTGTTTCACTAGTTAGTGATTTAGAAATAAGTCTTACGGTAAAACGATGTCATTTCAACCCCAAAAAAGAAAAAAAAAAAAAAAAGAAAGAAATAGAATCGTCATGTATCGGGCGTATCGTATCATGTATTGTATGATACGGTGCACAAACGATATAGAGACACAATACGTATCGTTTTTCAGGTGTATTGCGACGTATTGTACGATACTAATAACTATGATACTTATAGCAATACAATAATAGTAATATCCTCTAACAATAACAGCCACAGTGACATAACAACAACACCCATAATAACATAGCCACAGTGGCACATCAACTCATCCACTTTGGCACAGTTGTTAGGATTAGTTACACCGGTGGTCACTTAAAGTATTCATTTTGTCTCATTTTGGTTCCCAACATTCTAATCAAAAGTAATGCCTAAAGGCACTGTATGACAAAAAAATATCGAGCACCAATCCTCTCAAACCTTAAAGACAATGGATTAAGTTTGACACTCTACTCTAGGACAAACTATTTGATTAAAACCAAAAAAGCATGGAATATTCAAATTGAGCATGTTGACAGCATAGAACATTAAAAACCAGGTTGAGCAAGGAATAACCAAATAAAACATTTCTTTCTTTTCCAACATTCAAAGTACAATATATAATATCATCCCCTTTGGTGCGCCAACATTTAAGGGCCAAAACCAATTATTTGGCAACTTCTCTGCGCCATTGCATGTTATCCATTCCCCCTTTCCAACTATTTTTTTTTTGAAAGAAAAGGAACACATCTTGACATCTAAGCCTTCTCTCTAAATTAAAAATGCAGATAACAGTTTGACACTTTTTTTTTTGTTCTCATGACAGAGTCTTGAAGAACACTTGATTGAATCCAGACTGAAGATTTCTCAACTCTAATGGTGATGGGAAAGTTAGAAGTTGGCAACCTTGAGTCCTACATTTAGAAAAAATCAAATTCACAAACTTCTCTGTCAATGTCAAGTTAATTTGATTGAAAAAACTTCCCTACTTAAAAACTATGCGAAATGCAATAAGAATAATGAGACATTCAGACAACTATATATAAGCAAAAACATGAGATATTAAAAAGTATAACATAAGGCGAGATGAATCCGTATTAACTAGTTCAATTTTTTCCATGACCAAGCAACATATGTTAAAGGTACGTTCGCTTCAATTTTAAACTAAACCTAATCTATACAATCTCATATTTAGCAAAATAACAATAGAATAAGACTTAGATGCGTAATCAAAAGGCTTAGAATTGTACAAATGCATAAACAATCGCGGCCTTATAAGCACACAATTTTCATATACCTGTAATTAGTAGGACACATAAGGTGTTCAGTGATATGAAAATCAACCTAACCCATCACTGTTGACATTAACAAATGCATCAATATATGTAAATCCTTATACCTGCAGAGCATTTGCTATAAGCTTAATACGGAGCTTATATGTCGCTGATCCCATATTTCTGATTTAAAAGACAGGAAACAAAGGGTCATGAAATAAAGGATTAAATAGTAATAGGATTGTGAGTACTTTTTATCCCCATCATGTAATAGAAAGTTATTCAGAATAAAAAAGACAAAAAAAAAAAAAAAAATCTTACAAAGAAGAACAGGAATGTTGCCGTTTATGCAACAAAATCTGAAACAGGCAGTGATAAGTTATGAAATATTTTAATGAAAAATATAATCAATAAAATTAATGTCTAAATTGGTCCAACAAAATCATCATCCATTTATTTTCAAAATAGAATATGGACAAAGAAATAATCCCACAAGCTAGTTTCCCCACTATTGCCAAACCTGTGTTTTGTACATATACACAACTGAACTTACCCTCATTTTTTCTGTATCTGTCATATCACATATCAAGGTAAGATTAAACTTTGATATAAAAACTAATATTTGCACATGCGAACTAATTTGGAGGTCCATTACTCTAGCCTCCCCCAAAAGACAATATAGGCTAGTGGCAGTTAGCTAGAATTCAAATGGGTCTGGCTTTGAACTACCAAGTTATGGTCTGCATCACGTTGGAGTTCACAAAATCTGAAGACAAACGCATGGGAACTTACATTTGCAATTGGAAAAACATGTAATATTCAACTTCCAGTTCATATCTAAAATCTTTGGCCCTCTGAAATAACGTCAGTGTGATGCAGTGTCTGTGTGCGCAAGGAATGAGATCAGCCACTTAAAAAATTTTCGTCAAACAACTTATAGCATATAAGAGTAACAATTGAATATTGAACTAAAATGAATTGAATAGGCACACACATACACAGATTACCTAGACCAAATCATTCACATTTAGTAATACAGTAGTAGATCAAAATCATACCCAAAATATCCATGATAAATGAAAACTCAAATGACCCTAATTGGGTAAATGGAACCCAAATCTCAACCCCAATGAAAACTCCAAAAATACTTGCAGCTCATGCATCTTTGTGGAGGCAAGACAAATCCTCAACCTTAAGATCCAGCATAGCTAACGAGGAGGAAAAAATACCTGCAACACAATGTCTAGTAAAACTAAAATACACGTGAGCAAGATGCAATGGAAAAAAGAATATAGTAGAAATAAGGTGGGGAAGGGATTTTGAAGTTGGGCACTTGAATCTCCGCGAAAGAACCTAAGTAATAAGATTGGAGAAACATTGCTCTCCAGCAGCTGCAACAAAAAGAATGACCAATTGTTCTAACGAAGAGAACCACTTTCCCAACACCAGAAGTTGCCAAAAATTAGCCATATATGCCACATGAAAGACCAAAACTTCTCAAGCAACATTAAACAAAAAATAGACTTCAAAGTGATCTCATTCCCATGTTATAATGTTTGAAAGTGCAATGTATGTGCAAAATCCATCCATCAAAATGAGCTTCAAAAAATTAAAATGGGTAATTAATTGCATCTCATGACCGTACACCACCCTCGCCAACATAGCTTGTTCGTGAGGTAAAAAGAAGCCATTAGACAAACTCAAGCTTTTTTCCTTAGCTAAAATCCCTTTTGTACTATCTCAAAGTGGAAAGCATTGCATATCACTCCTACTGGCTTAGTTGTTATGTGTAGAAATTTTCGAAGGCACGTTTGTGATGTTAAGATCAGTAAATTTTTAATATGAAATTGGTAATCAAGTAGCAATTGCAAGTACCACTCTTTTGTAACTTCAGTTAATTAAGAAATATGTCACTTAGAAAGATATAGTTGAAAACATATATTAAATCAAAGAAATATAAGCTAAAAAGATCGTTGTAAGTTGTAACAACAATAAACCTATACCATGCACATCTATGAGGAGTAGAACTTGCAAAAGATTCCCACAGTAATAATGAAACAAATGAAACAACACATTAAACTTGTCAAATGCCAAACAAAAAATTAATGAACAAAATTGGACAAAACTCGATAAACTCGGTGTATAATCTATCAATCATTACATTCAATTTTTGATCAAAGAGAAACATGACCAAAACCTTGATCGATTAAAGGCATTCTACCCAAATAATCTAACTTGTTCTGTAAAACCACATGAGTTATGGTAATAAAAAGTTTCTGCAAACTATTTCCACATAATAGGACAATTAAGAAACTAAAATTATTAAAAATCCCACTTAGAAACAATAAAGCTTAAGAACTATATATAATCAAACTCAACTTTAGTGCATAACTGTCACTCAAGTTCTCAACAGTGAAAAACCCCATTTTTTTTTAATCCACTAATGCACACACACATCAATATAAGAGTTTAACCCAGACACAAAATCGGTTCTTCACAACTTTGCCAATCAAATGGAAATGGGTTCCACTATCTATATCAAACTTGGATATTTTTTCTTGCATGGTGAACTAAGAATGTTAGGTTCTGCACAATATCGGATTCAAGAGACAATTTCTTAACACCATTGCGATGGGGACAGAAACATTACAATCTTTCTTTTGCTGATTTTAATTTATGTACAAAATAGGTATGGTTCCAAAAGAAATGACACCTAGGCAAAACATTTAGAACCTCCGCCAGTTACATTCAGCAAAGAGAAAGACAATACTATATCTAACACCATTGGTGCCAACTTGCAAGCCATCATAGCTATTAACTAGTTCTAATAAAAAAATAATAAAAAAAAAAGAACATAAGAGGTAAGGTAAGAAATAACCATACTAACAATATATGCAGCATAGTGAACTAACTCTTCAGTATGGACTTTAGAACCTCTGGTGCCATAAAGTATGGACTGCCCCAGGGGACAAAAATCAACAAATTAGCAAACTCCCCATTAGCAATCTCAACCCCTTATCATAAAAAGCTGACATTCAACAAAAGGCCACCCACATATACACACATGCTGCATGTATATTTACTATAATCGTAGGTCATGAAAGGTTGAATACCCACACCCTATCCCAGACCCCGACACACACACACACACACTTAGAGATTAACACTCCTTCTCGTTAACGTAAACCTCAAACACTACATAATTGCAACTTGACATACAAAAGGGGTTAAATGGCAAATTAAGTAGTTAACAATAAAATATTTACATGTAGATAGAGAGTATATAAAAGGAAAACTCACCAGGGTCGCACTGCTGATAAAATTTACCAACTTCTACTATAAATCAACAATGATGTACAATAGAATCACCAAAAAAGAAAAAAGAAGGCCCAACAGAGAAAAACCAAAACACACGCATAAATAAAAATAAACACATACACACTACCCATTAATTCCAATAACAAAAAAAAGAACACTTTGACACCAAACACAGAATGCAACTGAATTACTACATAAAATCAAACCTAATTGCAGCCATGAAATTCATCCCCTGATTATCTCCTTCAAATTATGTTATATTGGAATCCAGTTGTACCCCAAGGGAATAAGAAAATATTTAATCAATAGTGAACAAGAAAAAAACACAAAGGTCAACTGATATAAGACAAAGGCAAATCCAACACAAAATATCAACTTCACAAACTATCAGTTTCATTAGCGCCGACAACATAATGAGAAAACATGAGATCAATTTAAAATAATATTTTCATGAAAACTTTACCAGAAACCATAAATTTGAAAAAGAAAAATTATTTTCTAAACATCATAAAAATTAAGTGTGAGCATTGGAGAGAGAGTGTGGCAATGGGGGAGGGCATAGAGCATAGAACAAGCAAAGGAGAGAAAGGAGGGGGAGGGTGACCCAGATCAAGCAGAGTAGGGGAGAGGGTGAAATTCAAAACAGAGGCAATCCTCTTCAATTCCCCTATTTTTCTCCACCAAATCCCACAAAATTAATCAACCACTTCTAATTTTATATCATTACATAAATATTAGAATTTGTGAAGTTTTTGATCATATTCTTGCATCCGATCCATTTCCTCTGTTTTTTCTCTTTAGAATCCAGTTATTGTTTGTCTGGTTCAAGAAAATATCAAAATTTTGACATGTTTGCCCAAAAATCTAATAACATCCCAACAAACCCTTAAAACCCAAACACCCATGAAAAAAACATGAACAATTTTTGAAAAAAAGAAAAAGTAGAAGAACAATTGAACCAACTATAAGGTTAATTGAACCAACGAAATATACCAATTTCAAGACTTCCAGTTTAGTTGTGAATGTGTGTGTAGATTTGAAAAACCAAAAAAAATGAAATAGGAAGGGAGCAAAAGAGCTCACGCTTTGCTAGTGGTTTCGATGTCATGCTTTGCCGGTGGTGTCGCTGGGTGGGTTGTGCAGAGCGGGGTTGGGGTAGAAGGCTTTTTTTTTTTTTGGGGGGGGGTCGCTAAATGTGTGTGTGTGAGAGAGAGATAAAGAGAGAGAGCAGAGAGGAGGTAGGGGTATGGTGGCAGTGGTGTTGCGTAGAAAGGGCAGAGAAGAGGTGGGCGTAAGATGGGTGGTTAGTGTGTGTGTGAGAGAGAGAGAGATGAGAGATACCTGGGAGGGGTTAGTAATGGCGGTGGTGGTGTTGCTGGGGCGTAACACAGAGAGAGAGAAAGAGAGAGGGAGGAAAAAAAAGAAACACAAGAGATAAAGGAGAGGCATGGCGTGTTTGACAGAAGGGAGGAAAATAAAAGAAGCAATGCAGGAGAGGCGGCATCTCTAATTGGTAAGGTGACTGAGAGGTCCGATTTTAAAAAAAAATTGTGGTAAAAAGTGATGAATTTGGGAGGAAATGGTATAGATGTTGGTGGCCGTGGGATGAATTTATTTGAGATCGTAAGATGAACTTGTTGAACCGTCCTATTTTATATTATAGATTAGACCTCAAGGTCCTCAACTAAGAATCCTTTCAAAATGAACTTGAAGTCCCTTCACCGTTTTATTTGGGAAGAGGAATTAAAAAAACTCCCTCCTTTTGGATGGAATCCTTAGTCATGTAACAAATTTTGTTCCCATCACTTCTGAGGAGCTGTGTCCCTGTGGAACGCCTGGATTAAATGACTCTCTGCTGAAACTTTTCAAACACAGGCCATATGCATCTAAAAAATATTCCAAATGATATTTTAATAAAACATGGCTAAAACAACTTAAGCATGCAACAAACAGTTTCAGACACTTCGTAATTTATAAAAGAATATAGTTGATGGGAAGAAATATAAGGGTCCAGTGTTACTATAAGGGTCCAGTGCTACAAATATAAGTGACAATAATATGTATGAGTGTTGAGCTTCATCTTAATACCGTATATGATATAAAACGAAAAACTTATGAGTTATGCAATTGTTACAGCAGAATTGAATTAAATGATTCCAAAATTACAGCATTTCTCATGGAATACATACCCCTGTTAATATATATGGACTATATCACTTGCGCTTATTGTATCCATTCATAATCTCTAGTGTTTTTTGTGCTGGATTACCCATGTTGAGTCGTGTTTGTACTGTAGAGGTTCGCTTTGCCATTAGAGCTAAAGATCCTGGTGGTTCTTACCATGACAATTCCTGATACTTAGAATGATTTGTTTTGGCACATCCATGTTTTTACAGGCACAGCATATGTTTACTCTGCTATCTGAGCTAAGACAATGGGTATAAGTTGCTACTTCATGTCTATTCTGTTTCTGTGTTTGAAATAGAATTTACAGATGATATTGTCTCGAATCTTTTCCTATAGAAAACCACTTTCTTCCTTGTTGGGATAAAATACTTGGTGCCAATGAGTATCTCTTTCTTAGAGGAACATGCTAAACATGGAAATCTGACTGGAAGATGGCTATGGAAATTTGAGAAACTTAATTGCCCTGTGATGACATGTTTGTGGATTATGAGAAGTGTCTGGCGATAGACCCCTTTGATGAATTCCATAAATTGGTATCTATTGTGACAGCGTTTTGTGAAAGAGTACAACTAGTGGTGATGATTGATTTGGGACAGCATTCAGTTCTTAGTTTGATGGATAAGTGGCTGATGTTTTCATTGAACCATTGGCGTGACAACTTTTGCACATTCAAGCTTACCGCATAAGTTTTTTACAGTTGCATCAACCTTTTAGCTTTGCTGCACGTTAACTTAGCATAAATAAGTTTTTTTTTTTGTTTGTTTGTGGATCTGCAAAGAAATCAAGGTGTCCTCTGCCCTTTATTCGTCCCTTAGTTATACAGTTGTAGTTTCTTGTTTATAATAAAAAATAAAAGTGAACAGTGCATCAAGATATGCAAATTGGGATCATTATAATAATCTATTTCCTATTGTTTTCAGTTTTTGATGGTCCCTTCAGTAAGCTCTCTTCTATTTTGCTAAGTGCGTGAACCAGATGGACTTCTGGTTTATTTTAGAAATCAGACATGTCCTTTAAGATCACTGATGTCGTTATATATTAGGATATACATTAGTTTTTAGGTAGCTCAGAAATTTAGCAGTATGCTTGTTAATATTTTTTTTGGTAATTTTTACTCGGATCCTTTTGGGGTTGTGATAAGGCATTATATGTAATGGGGTGATTTATTTTTGCCATTGAATATTTGATTAAGAATTGCAATTAGAATCTCTCTCTCACACACACACACACAATTTCTATGTGGTTGGGTAAAATTCAAAGATTTAGCTATATCAGTGCAGAACAGCAGATAGTAGGCGATAATAAGTTAATGTATTATTTTGGGCAAGCTGCCATTTTAATCATCCGTGTGTATGTTGGGCCCATCAATCCTGTATGCTACACATATTGTACACTGATTCTGGATGATTGCAGGGTCACTCTCCTATAAACTATTATACCAAATTATATTTTAGGCAACGGAAATCTAATGGAGTTAGAGAGCTGATTAAGGCTACACATATTCAAAGGCTTTGCTGATTGGTTGGACGGGCTCATTAGCATTAATTCTGGGAAGAGAGAGAGAGAGAGAAATCTGTACAGATCTGAGGTTATTGTATATGCACAAATATGTTATTTAGCATGGTTATCAAAATCCCGAGTCGGATCTAGGATCTTTCGGTTCTACAATCCGGTATCAACAAATTGACCCAAATCTCTTGTAGAATCCCAAATTCATAGAATCTTAATAGATTGTGATCCGGATCTTATAGGATCGTAGTATTCCGATCCAAATTGTGATTTTATCGATCCAAGTTGTTAGGCTTGTTTGTTAGGCGCATTTAGTTATTGAGCAAATCCAATCCATATTTATCGTTTTAATAATTAAAGACTCAATTCAAATGAGAATCTCTCATATAATTGTCAATAAAGTTTGTTTCGTTTATAAAAATATCTCCTTATTCATTCATCTCTCTCGTTGAAGAGTTGAAAACAACAATTATCTATTCTCTCTTGGCGAGTGATCATAGCTAGATAGTTTTTCATATTTTTTTTGTGTATGTTTTTTTTGTTTGGATGTGAAGTAGTCTATGTTATTATTCAACATCCTTTCAACTTTCCAGTCCATCCTCTCTATATGTCCTTCTTCGAAAGTGAAGATCAAAATATTTCAATTCTCATATTTATTTTCTCAAAATCCCAAAAGATTAATAGGACACATTTGATTTTCAATCCTCTTCAATGCGTAAATTGTAGTTTATTAAATTTCAATCATATCTCTATCTATGTTTGTCATAATATTTCAATTTGCATATATACTAGACTTGTTTAATTCTTGTTTTTTGAGAATTTTGTATGGTTAAATATGTTTTTGGTTTCATTTTTTTATTTAGTAGGATCTTCATCTTATGATTCTTAGTCCGTTCCTAAGATCTTGATCCTTTAACCCATCAATCCAAGATAGAATTTCGATTTTAAAAACCTTAGTTTTTAGTTGGGATGAGGAACATAACAAAGTAGATTGGCTGCAACAAGGTGATTTATTGGTGGTGAGTGGGGGTCACAAGTGGGAGAGGAGAGACGTTGAGTGTGATGTCAACGAATGGCTAACCGCTAATGATCGTGAAACTTGCGATTGGGATTTTGTTTTAATTCAATAATGAAAGGAAAGGGCTTTCCTTATCTCATGGCAAGGAAATCTTATTCTTTAGTGGGAATGAACTCTATTGAAACGAGTGTTCCCATTTTCTTTCACTTACTCAACACGAGAAAGCCAAGGAGAGACTAGAAAAACCATTCTATTTCACCCAAGGTACGATAGCCTACAAATTTTATAATGATTGTGGTCTTTTGACCCTTCCCAGATCCTGTAGTGGCAAAAGCCTAACTTTCTTGCCACAAATTCAGCTTATAGCATTTAGCCCATTACATGGTCTTTTTATTTTTGTATATTTGATAAGTTACATTTTCTTTTTACTGATTCTTTTCAGTTGCATAAATTACAGTTGATTAGTTCTACTGCATGGTGTTTTGGCATGTATCATTTCTTCATGGCACAGTCAACAGCACGTCTAAATGGCTGCTCTATTGTGGTCCCATTCTTGGTTAAAAATTATGCCCCTTTGTTTATTTTATGAAGTTCTTCAGTTCTTCCTCTTTTTTCTTTTTAGTAGCCTGTTAAGTTCCCTGTGTTTAAAGGGAAAAAAAAAGTTCCCTGTGCTCTTTTTGTATCAAACCAACTACCTTTAAATAACACTTTTGACTAAATTGACTTCCTTGATAGGTGGAGCTTGAACAAAAAGCCAGCATCCTGCATGAGGATATAACAAAACATGTACGTAATCCTGGTTTCAGTAAGAAATTGTACCTTTTGACAAAGATTAAGAATGCTTTTATTATCTTGCTTTTGCCCACCAATCTCCACTTCATTATGTTTAGGAATCCAAAATGCAGTATTATATTGCATTTGTCCTTAGAAGTATCTCTTATAACTGCATTATATAAAGCAACAAAATGCTATTGCTTAAATATGTGAGTGATGTTAAGTGAATCTAACCGACTTATTGGCAGTATATATCTAATGATGTATTTCGGTATCACCTTTAAACAACTTAGTGCTTACATAAGATAATAATGTATTTCAGTATTTCTTGAAATTTGGCTCTTCCTAATATTCTGAAATTTGCAGGTTTCAGATTCTATCGCACTGTAATGTATTATACTAATAAACATAGTATTGTGTTAATAGTAAGAGGGTTTTTGTTAATGCAATTGAATAGGAAGTTGTTCTCCTGTAAAAATCGCTAAAATTTTCTTTATGTGGAACTAAGGACTTCAATGAGACTACAGAGAAGAATCATGCTGGTGAAATAGGCAAGAGGGGGAGGCGTGGTGACCAGCTACTAATGGCTGCCGGATAGCTGGGGGCTGCCATAGGATTTACTTGGGTTTCTAGCAGTTCTTATATTCGGACAAATCTTGATTTCGGTTTGCTTCTCCTGGTTTTGGAGCCTGATCGAGCACACCTTTTTCCTTGCCCCTTGGCCTCTCAGTTCATTTCGTTCTTCCGATGTGTTGGTTGAATACTTGAATGAAGACACCCAATCATCCTACTTTCCCAAAAGCCCTCCGCATGCTTTCTCCTTTCCAGGGTTGAATTTTCCTGGTTATTGTAGTCATCGTGGTTGACGGCTCGTTTCTGTGGCTAACTTGGGTTCAACCAGTTAACTTTGATCAATCAAAGAAAAGTAAGAGGAAGAAAAAAGAGAATATTATTTTGGCATAATTAGTCAGAACAAAGTTTAAAGGAAAACTACATATAAGAGGTCTTTATATAGTAAACTAAGTTAGGGCAACATAAAAGAAAACAAATGACTAAACTACCCCTAAGTCTAAATATAATAACTATTCTAGCACCCTCCCTCAAACTCATGATGTGGTAACATCAAACATCAAGAGTTTGTTAAGAAGAAAACAGAAGTGTGCGATGGTGTGAGATTTCGTAAAGAAACGATCAGCAAGTAGCCAATACAATCAAACTATCTCTGCTGTTATGAAGGTCATAGCATGATACTCAGCTTCAGCAGATGATCGAGGCACAACAGTTTCTTACTTTTCCACGAAATAAGACAATCACCAATGAAGAGACAGAAACCAGTAGTGGACTTGCGATTTATAGAGTCACCAGTCCAGTCCGCATCAGAGTAAGCACAAAGTTCTAGAGACGATCAAATAGCAATGAGAGGTCCAACAGAAAACCAAAGCTCAACAAAAATCACCAACAACAATACTTAACAAAAATAAATCCCAACAAAGAAAAAAAGTAAACAAACCAGAACTAGTTCCAAACCAGCAGTAGTCAAAATCAGAAACTAGAACCAAAAGAAGTAGCCAACGCCAAACAATCTAAAGTTCGCTACAAATCAACTTAACAACTTTACAAATCAAATACTCACCCATCAATTCGTTCACAAAATTAGCCTCAAAGGCTCAAACCCACCAATCAAAAGTGAAAACAAAAGTTTCCTGCTTAATCAGTGCGAAACAATGCAAATAGAAACAAAAGTTTCCTGTTGCTTATTCAATATGAAATAATGCAAATGAAAACAAAAGTTTCCTGCTGCTTATTCAATATGAAATAATGCAAATGAAAATAAAAGTTTTCTGCTTATTCAGTGTGAAACAATGCAATGCTATGTCAAATAGCAAGCTCAAATGAACAAATCAAAAATCAGCAACGTGATAATTCACCAATGCACAAAACCAACCAATCAATAAACCAGTCCAAAAGCCCAAAGCAACAGCAGCAAGCGAAGAAGAAACAACCAGACTAACAACTAGAATAAGTAGAAGAAGAAGAAGCATCGGCAGAAGAGAAGAGGCAGCAACAAGTCAACAAAAATAACAATCCAAACAGCAGATCTCAATGTACCAACTTCACAAACAAGAAACCAACGAAGAAGCAGACGCTCAATAGGCCTTAATACAAACATCTCGAGCCAATAAATCAAACCAGCAATCCAGCAACTAGACAACCCAAATTCCATAACTTTCAAAAGTCCAAAAGACAAACAAAGGTAGCAAAACACCAAAAAGGAACTAAAAATCGAAATTCGGCACTGTTCACAACATGAACAGTAAAGTCTGTACTGTTCACAACACGTGAACAGTAATTTCGGCACTGTTCATCTAGTGAACAGTGTTTTCGGCACTGTTCACAGCCCTTGGAATCACAAAAAAATAGCAATCCACCAATCACTAGCCCTCAAATTACACAACCCAAGAATATATTCTTCCTCCAAATAAATTGCTGTGGTGCTATAATATATATTTTGGATCGAAACTATGCTCTGATACCATGTTGACTTTGATCCATCAAAGAAAAGTAAGAGGAAGAAAGTAGAGAATATTATTGAGACACAATTAACCAGAACAAAGTTTAAAGAAAAACTACATATAAGATGTCTTTATATAGTAAACTAAGTTAGGACAACATAAAAGAAAACAAATGATTAAACTACCCCTAAGTCAAAATATAATAACTATTCTAACACAACCATCACTCCAGATTGTTAACTACTGTTTTTTGTTGTTTGATGCCAGTTGGCTGGCTGGCCCGATTGTAGATGATCTACTATTGACTTCTACGTATTTATTACCAAATAATAATAAAAACAGAATCAAGCAAAAGAAAATTTAGATTATTCTAATGGTTGTTTATTAAGATCATGTATGAGTGATAGATGGATTGTTATAATCAAAATAGAAATAATTGTAAATTATCTTACTCTTATTTTGCTCGCTCTCTTATCCAGTGTTCCATTCAACTATATAAATGACTTCTCACATGAGGTTGTTAGTTGTCTTTATACATAGTCCCACACATGACTTCATTTGGCTATGCCTTTATCGTTGTAATTTCAAATTTTCGTTGATCCCGTATTATAATTTTTCTTTTTGAGTTTCTTATTCTAAACTATTGTTGCTTCATGTTTACATTGATTATAGTGGCTTGTGAGAGAAATTGCTTTGTTACAAAACCTCATTGATCGAGCCAATGAGAAGGGATGGCGGAGAGAATATCCTTTGGATGATGTCTCAATGTTATTTATCTCGAATGGAAGTGTTGTAGCTAGGTATTTTGCTTTTAATGCATATGACTATCATGATATGATAATTTATTTATCTCTTGACAAGTAAAGTATATTTGGCACTTATATTATTATGTTGACTGTAGGGTGTGTGTCATATGGATGCAATTATTTTCAGGTGCTAATGACCTAAAAAGTGAAAAATATCAATAAAATAATGAAAGCAGCTGCAGCTGTAGCAGCAGCAATGGTGGCAACAGCATGAACAATATTATAATTGGTAGACACCTGTTTCTATTCTTCCTCTCCTTATTCAACATGTTATGGTGCATCCTCTAAGTTGCAAAATCTCAAAACAAGGTCGTGTTATTCTGTCACAGTTTGACATGTTTATTTTTCTTTCTAGAAATTGTTTTCATAAAGCATTCTGGGTTGATGTTTTTGGGATTAATACTGCTATATTCTCTTCTTCCTTTGTTAAAGCCCGCATATGATATGTCGATTCGATTCTAACCAAAACTTTAAATTCAAATTAGTCATAGGCAAAAATGAATCCCAAAAACATATTTTGGGTCTTCGATTTTCAGTTTTTAAAAGCTGAGGAATGGAATATGGATCTTTAAGATAACAAAAAAGAGTCACAGTTGGCTCAATGATTAAAAGTCCTGGAGATCACTGAAAATGTAAAAGTTGATTTTTAGTGTTTGAAATTTATAGCATAGTTATTTATGGAAGTCTTTAATGCTAATTGTAGTTAAAAATCTCAGCCAAGACTAAGCAATGACCAAGTTGTCTCGTTCTCAGTGAGGAAAAGCCCTTTTTCTAAAGAGATGAGTGGTTGCTAGATTCGGTTGAAATAGTTTGTGGGATATACATGGTATGCGAAGTTGGATGGCATCCTTTTATTGGTCTCATGTCATATTTTATTGTTCATCATGAAAGGTCATAGTATGGACCATTAATAGATCTTTGAAGTTGAAGGACATTCTGCAAAGGTGCTCGTCGTTGGCAGTTTTAGTTGGGGACCATACTTTTTGGGGACCATGCCTTTTCTTTGTCCCTAATAGGGGTGCCAATTCAGACTCCTATCATGTGAAAAGACTATTTCTGCGTCCCTATTTGTGAATCTTTTTCTGGTTTTGTACCTCCTGTATGTATGTTTCATGTCACGTGCCAAAGAAAAGTTCACAAATTTATCTCGAAGTCTGCTTGCATAGTTCTCTAAAGTAAAGGTTGATGATATACTTTTACGTACGAAATTCAGTTTTATGGTTCTGATATTTAGCATTGGAAGCATGAAAGATAAGCTTTGTGAAAAGAAATTATTGAGGAGTGTGAAAATGTCACTTATTACTTCAAGAGGTGGTGTGTGTGTCCGCGTGTGTGTACATATGCAATCTATAAATGTTCACACAAGTCCTCCCCTCCAGCACCCATCTTTGCTGCTCATTTGGTTGCCATTGGTCACAGTGAAAGCGTACTGTCTCCTTTCAAAGGAATGCAAACAAAAGGAAAAGTGAGACCGATTCCAAAGTAGCTATTTCGCTGTCATTGCTCCCAATATGCACACCACTTTCATCATTATTTCTTTAGTGAAATGACAACCATAACCACCAAGTTTTGGAATGATACACTGTATGATTAAGAATTAAGATTTATAAATCGATAACCAGTTGTAGAATTGCGTACCAAGCGTCATTGTATCCTTGACTTGCTCCTGCTTTTACACTATTTGAGTACCTAGAGAGAAAGCGTCTGCTGCAGACTCCATCTGAACAGTCAAGACTGTTGCTGGAGATTCCAAAGGTAATCGCGGAGGAATTGGAGCCAAAAGCTACACCACAAGATCCTTTGGGAGATGAAAAACATGGAAATAGTTGTTCCCCAAAACCAATTATTAAGGGGGCTTCAGAGATCCCTGCTTATGATTCAGAAGTAAACCTGACTTTGTCAACCCAGAACTCTGGTAGTACAGATGCTGCAGGTGTGTATTCAGCATTGCATGAAGTGTAGGTCCAAAGTTGTGGAGATTTGTTGTTAGACCATGATTTATTATGATATTAAAGTCTCCAAGTGTGTGTGTGTGTGTGTGTGTGCATGCATGTATGTCCTGTGTGCATGGATGTGTGTGCTTCTGTGTGGAACTTTGGATCTCTTGTATGATATTTTCATCCCCTCCCCCCCCCCCCAAAAAAAAAATAATAATAATAATAACATTTATTATATAAAATGAAGATTTTTTTTCCTTTACAAGTTTTTTGAAAGAAAAAATTGGAGCACAAACATATAATTTCCCTTCAAGAGGGGGCTTCTAAGATTAGATTATTTTATTTAGCTTGTAAAGTTGTTTCGAGTATGAAGAATTAGATAATGTACATTCTGATAGTGTGATATTGCTGAATAGTATTTTGTTTCTCCTATTGTCTATGTCAAATTTCTTATATTATTATGTGGCAACTTTCTTGGCTTAGAGAAGCTCCTTCATCTTGGCTAAGATCTAAAAGAATTTTTCCCTTCAAGCTTCTAAGTCTGTTGCATAACTCAAATTTATTTTCAGGGTTGAAAGATGCTTTTGTCCCATCTCTAGTTGTTTTCAGTGATTCATCTGTTGGAAGAGAAGGGAAGAGAGATATCAATGGAGTCCCATTCAGTCAACAGCCAGGTGGTGAGACTTTCCTAATTTCCTATATTTGGGATTAAGAAACATTTTTCTTTTCTTTTTTGTCTTTTGTTTGAGATATTTCATTTCCAGTAAGCGTGATTAGAATGATTGAGGAAAGGTAATATGATAGTCTTCTGCTCCTAGTAAGAGGGTAGTCAAGGCTCTTAAAGTATTTTCTGGGATTTACTTTATATATATGTTGCACTTTTGTTTAATATGCTATTGATGCAAGGAGCCTGCTTTCAAATGTTGCCGCCACACTGATAATTATTAGACTTCCACTTGCTTAGCCCGAAATCTGGCCCACTTGTGAGGGGAATGTTGAATTATATAAGTATTTATGTTACACTCTCTAGCAGCTTAAGCTTTTAGATGAGATGGTTGTTTAAAAGTCTAGAATTGAGTTCTAACTTTGATTGATTACAGCATTTTCTTTGCATATTCATGAATAATTTATGTTTAAAATTTACAGAAATTCGAGCTGGCTTTGAGATTTCCAGACAGGATGGGAAAATGGGTGAGTCTTTGTCACCATCTAGATTTGGTAGAAATATGTTAAAGAGTTCAATGCTTATTTTATAGCTAGAATAATAAACCAAATACAGCTATCTTTCCAATACAAGCATCTTAGCCATGTTATTGGGCAGGGACGGAAAGTACATTCACATTCAATAGGGTTCATTTCACTAAGTTATGTTTCATCTGGTTCCTGTAAGTGCATACACCAGAAAGGTGGCTGTTCCAAATTTACTTCATTTCTTAGACCTTTTATACATACTTGACGATCTATCCTGCAAAATGCTGATTGGTCTGCTCAAAAGATATCAGGCTTTAAAAATTCAACAAGGTATTGATGACACCAAGTGGGATGACTCTTAGTCTTATTGGGGCCTTACAGATTTATTCATTTTACACCTAAAATTGAATCTGTTCGATTCCTTTTTGCATACAGAAAATGCCATGTATCTGATTCTTGATAGTCAGTGCTCATTGATATTTGATAAATTTGATGCAGGAGATCAATCTGCTGGTTTTGTTCAAGCAACACCCGGATTTGAACTGGGGAAAAGGATTTGCAGTCCCCTGCCACTATGATCAGGAATGGAAGTAGTGGAGGGATGCAGGTTGGGAATTGGGAAGAGAACAATAGATCTCAAGGAATGGCAGAAAAGCAGTTAACGGCCACTCAGGTTGTCGAACTGAGCGATGACGAAAACGAAGCTGAAGGTCCAGGCGGTCAAAACCAGATTGTTGATTGCCACCCAGAAAGCTTGATATGGTATTATGCTGATCCCCAAGGAGACAAACAGGGCCCATTCTCAATGTCCTCAATAAAAAGATGGAGTGATGCTAACTATTTTCACCCAGGCTTCAAGGTTTGGAAGACAGGTCAGTGCCAAGACGAAGCTGTCTTATTGATAGATGTGCTTCAACGGATGTTTCCCCCTATTAAATGAAGAGAAACATTGTGGCCAATAAAGTTCCCCCGACAATTTTACCCAAAATTTCTTGGGCAAATTCATTTGATGTTTGTGGTTAGTTATTGGCCATCCGACTAGCACCATTGTCCTTCTCCTCCTTGTTAGAGGTTGTCCCATATTGATAGAATAACATCTTCCAGACTAGTATACAAATCTTTTAGGCTTCTCCAAGCATTGTCATTGGCTTTGAGTGGCACGTTGTACATGGTATTGAGCTTGGGGAGGTTTTATGCAAGACTTGATCAACTTTCTCTATTCAACAATTGATTCTTCCTTTGTTCATGTCGTAAGTGCACTTGTTATGTCTCTAATTCTTATGTTTACCTCTTCATGTGTGAGTCGGGCTCGCTCGTGCGGGGAAGTGTGTGGAATTTGTATGACATGGTGTGCCAAAACCCCTTGTATTGTAGGTGTGTAAATGCTTGCATAGAACTTGTGGATTGCAATTACCAGAAGAGTGTGAAGAAGAGGAAGAATTGGAAGAGAACGAACCAACGGGAAGTTGTTCCACCGGGTGTTGTGAGGCATGTAAGTTCTCTCTTTGCATGCGCGGATCAGACTGTATATATGTGAAATCCTGTAGCGGCCATGGATTGGATCAAAATAGTCGAGTAATTGGTGAAATATATTTGAACATAATGAGTTTGAGTCTCTGTAGTGATTCCGAAAATGGATTTAAGCAAATGCTTTTGATTAGGGGGAGATTGTGTACGTCCAAGATCTGTGTTGTAATTATGAATACAAAGGATGCGTGATTGAGAAATTATTCATTATCCAATAAAAAGAATCAAATACCATTGTAAAGAGATTAGGCAGGAGAAGGGTTATCCCTTGTTTTGTTGCACAATACTTGGACCAAAAAGGGGAAAATAATTAAATAAATAAAGGTGAACCATTTGACTGCCACCAAGGATGATAAGGACCTAATGGCTGTAGAGAAGACAAAGGGGGTGACTCTATTTTCATGGCACTGTGAGATTATTAAAATGGCTGTTGCATGCATGCGGGCCCAACCAATATGGGTCCTAGGCGAAAATATTAAGTTGACCCAGTGCTATGAAATATAATAATATAAATACGACAAAATATATTTTCAAATATATATATATATATATATATATATATATATCATTTAGAAATTATTCTTTTTTTATTGAGATGTAAAACTATTAGTTTTGTATTCAAGTTTTAGTTATAAAAAAGCCATAATTAGAGTTGAGTTGAATTTGGAGACTAAAATATAATTAAATCTGCAATCAGCTAAAAATATAGAGAAAGATAATTAAAATTTATTAATGCAATTAAATTATTTTTTTTAAAAAAAAATGTCAGTAAGAATTTTAAATAGTAAACTACTCAAACTCAATATATTTCTATGTCATTCTGTGTATGTTTCTTGTGTATTTAAAAAATAATTGAGTAAGAAATAGATCTAGATAAAAAATGGTTTCAAATTTAAGTTAATAAAAATTATAATTTATGAAAATTAGATGATAAATAATTAATAAGCCAATTAACTTTGATTGTAACAAATTTGAAGTATTACTTTTGATAACTTATTTTTTCAGTATTTACATATACATAAGTAAGACTGAAAAAATAAAGGTTATATAATAATAATCATTCGACCGTATCGTGTTAAAATTTACTTATTTTTTTAATGAGTTTGTGTCGCGTTTCGTTGAGGTCTTGTTGACCTGCTTATTTGAAGGGCCGAATAATTTCATCAATTTATTGTTCAAATCTACTAAGGTTAGATTCAAACTCATTAATGTCGGCCCATTTTTTACAGGTTCATAGATGGTACCTAAAATTACAATATTAGTTAAAATTGGGGACCCAATTTTTTTTTTTATTAAATCATAAAAAAAAAACAAAAAATTGGGGGACCCAAAAAATATTTCTACGGCTGGCCCCGGTTGCATGGTGTAAGACTTTCTGGCTCTGCTTCTTAATGTTGGGGACGGATTTAATTCTCTGTTGTCTCATTGGGCTATCTGATTTTTTTTTTCTTTTTAACGAGAAGGGTAGGTAAGTTTTTATATTGTTTGGTAAATAAGATTAATGTTATTTAGATTGATATAATCTATTAATTTAATGATGTGATTTTATTATAACTATTGAATTAATATAAAGTTTTAATATTTTATGAGACCCATAATCAATCAAAGAATATATAGTGTATTAAGTTAGGGTTAAAATTTTATTTTGGTGTATTATTTTGATTACCTTAAAAACGGAGATGTTTCGGCAATATTTCAGAAACAGATAGGAAACGAATAAAAAATTTAAAACTATTTTTTAAAAAATATTTCAAAATATTAGTCTAAATATATCAAAACATATTGAAATATCTTAAAATATGTCCAAACAATAATAAAAATATGTCGAAACATCTTAAAACACTTTGAACCATTGGAGTTTGTTTGAATGGATTTTTGGGGAGGGTTTGGATGGGCTTCCCCGAACCCTTCCAAACCCAAATCCCTCTTCACCAAGATGGGATTCAACATTAAATCAGGTTCATACCCATATTTGATATGTAACATGTACACATGTAGGACTCACGAATATATCATAATTATTAACAATTATTTATCATGTAAATAACTATTTTACCCTTAATCAATTCAATTCATACACATGATAAGGAGTACAATTGTCTTTTGTATCTTTAACCCCTTAACCCATCTTTTCAAACCCACCTCTTCCTTAGGTTTGATGAAATTCATGATCATGAGTTTAATATTAGGGCCAATTGCGGATCGGGTTTAGAAACCCAGGATTGAATTTTCAATTTAAACATGGAGTTTGGGGTGGGGGGGGGGGGGGGGGGGCTTTTTGGACTATTTTTTTCAAACTCATTTTGCTAATCTCCCACATACCCGCTTACCAAACTGTTCTTAGGAGTTTTGATTTTATCACCAATTTGTTTCAGTCTTCTCAAAACGACAACATTCCGACAATTTCGAAATAAAATTGTGATTTTTGATTATGTCAATAAATTAAATTAATAAATTAGATTTAAATAGTACTATTCAGACAAATAAAGGGTAATTTAAGTTAATCAACACCTCTTTTTTTTTTGGTTCCCAAAAAAAAAAAACCCAGCCCTACCCTCCGTGGTCTCATTGGAATATCTAAAATATGTGGAACGAATAGGTGTGGTCGACAAAAACAAATACAACTTTAACACGAAAGCAAATTGTTTGAGGATTCTTTTCATTGAACTTGGACTAGAATACAAATCAGAGGTTTCCAATTTTGTTTGCGGAACTTAATAAACAAACTAACCCATTCCTAATGACTAAATCTAAATTTATTTAAGAGAAATAATATTTAGAGCAACTCTAAGGTTGTTTGGTATTCGGTCTTTTATAACTATTTTGGTGAGCAAAACTACAAAATTAGTGTTCCAATCCGCTAACCAGTCTCCTCACCAAAATAGTTGAAGGTTTTCATTCTAACCAAATCTGGAGAGGCCAATTGCTCGCCAGTTGCTGCTTGGGTCTCTCTCTCTTTAGTCGCTCTACCTCCTTCAGGTATGTTGTTCTTCCTCTAATCTCTCCATTTCTGTTCTATTTCTGAACAACGACACACACTGTGAAGAGCTCATAGCTTTGGTCATAATCTTACTTTTTGCCTCTCTCGCCTCATTGCTCGTCACCTTTGGCGACTATTGCTCCCCCGCCCACAAAAAAAAAAAACAAATTTTGAACCCCTCACCAAATTCTGAACCCCCCAAACATATTCTGAAAACTCCCTTAATTTTATGTATAACAGAATATTTACATTTAAATCCTATGAAATATTATCGTAAGTATTTGAAAAAATCTTAGATTTATGAGACATATTGTGCAATTGATTTTTGTTATTTAAAGTGGATGGGTGTTAAATTGTCATTAAGTTATATTATTTAAAGTTTGATTAGAATTATTATTATGGTATGATTTTGGTTGGATTGATGATTACATATGATTTGAGTTGAATTTTTGAATTATATTATTGAAAATTAGTTAAAGTTAGTTGAAGTAGTCAACTAAAATAGAGAACACAATATTTAAATATATTTTAGCTAGTCATTTTGATGAACACGGTTGGGGTTGCTCTTAGACTTAAAATGTTGACATGATTTATTGACTTGAGTAATTATAACCATTGAATAGATAGTAAGTCTCAATAATTATTGAGATTCACAATTAGATCAGTGATAATGATTTGATTAAAAGTCAATAAATCAAGTCAGCATTTTAAATTCATATAATATTACTTATAACGCAGAAAGTTGAGGTCGACCCTACGCAATCTTATTTTGTTGTAATCCCTTTGGGTTGATTCAACAACATGGTCAGTCGAGTTGTAACTTTAAGTACGATATCAAAATATAATATTTCGAGACAATCTTTTTTTCATTAAACTAACAATAATAGTATATGAACTTAATTTTGGAATCAAACCAGTGACTCAACTTATTAAAGTCATTGGATTAATTATAATTTTCAACATTAGATGGAATATACTTTAATACAATGAGTGTAATTAATTAGTCCTCAAATTAAGTTTATGATCTCATTGTAAATTCATGGACTATGAATTGATTCTATTTCTATCATTGTCAAGGTCCAATTATGAATCCAACAAGCTAGTGATACAATTCTTTCTTTTGTCACCTTCCAATCATGAATCAAACATTTATCTAATGAGAATCAGTCTATTCTGTAAATTATAAATGGTTAGATTGTGGTACAAATTTTTTTTTTTAATACCATATATTTTACTTTTATCAATTAAAATATGACACGTGTAAATTTTTTTATATTTTTTTATTTTTAGGATCAAAGATCACAAATAAATCAATACAAGACATATAAATAAGATTTATTGTTTAATATGATACCCATATTTTTACATTTAGTACTTGATTATAAATTATAAATTACTAGAAGATTATAATATTCAAGTGGGATTGAATTTCTAGATTTGGTTGTGATACTCTCATTACATTATTCTCATTATTCTCACAAGCAATATTATTGGAATCTAATTTACTGACCTAATTCATTATGATTTTTGGATTGACTATGAATCCCATTAAACATTGAAACATTAGTATTAATCTAATGGTTCCAATAAAGCCACATCATTAGGTCAACAAATTATATTAAATTTTTAGATCTAAACAACATTACTCTATTCTCACTTTGTCATTCAATTTAATATCGTATCAATATTTGTGAGTATTTTTATTCCTTTTATAATAATTTTTTATCACTTTTGTAATACTTTCGAATTGTGATCAATCATAACATTATAGGATCGATTGCAAGTATACAAAAGTGTTAAAAATAGTTATCACAAAGTGGTCAAAATATCTCAAAAAAGATGATAAATTATCCACAAAAATTACAAATTTCTTTGTTATAAATTTCCCATAAAAATTATTAAACTAATTATGACGCCAAATTGTATTTTTCAATACTGCAGCCAAGTTCGGTCATTCATTGACTCGGCAATGGCATGTACCTAGTACAAATTTTAGATGTCATGGCTGGCGTTTTTGACAAGGATTTGGATAAATATAGTAATTTTTTGAGATGACAGGGATATTAAATTAATGAGTTAAAATTATTAATATTAGTCTAATATTATATAATGTTAGGACCCATTAACACAAATAATATAGTAATTATATTAGTGTTATACAAAATTAATTTAATTTTAATATGATAAACACGTTTAAAGGATGAAATATGGAAAAAAAAAACCTAATATAATTATTTTTACTTGTTAGTTTGTTTATGAAATAATTAAAAGACGTATTAAAAAAAACACTTGGGATGTATTATTGCAAAACTCATGTTTATCCTATTTATTCAAAAGAGAATGTTTTTTTTTTTATCTATTTAAGGTTATGCTATCAAAGTTGTGACACATTAATTTTAAATTAAATTATTTATAATCATTAATTCAAAAATTATAAAATAAAAATAAATTTAACAACACGATATATTAGGCATGTTTGGAGTTGATTTTTTAAGCAAACAGTTACAGTTTAAAAAACTTTGCAAAAAAATCAAAATTAAAAAAGTCTCCTAAAATCATTTAAAGTATCGTTTAAAAAACTGAAAAAGTTGAAAAAATCCGGAGGAGCTTTTTAACTTTTTATGTCAAAATTAAAAAATAATTGCATATATGTATAGATTATGTATAATAATTTTGAAAATGTGAATTTTAAATTTTTTTATGACACTAATAATATTTTATGAATATAATAAATTAAAAGATTATGTAGGACCCATGCAAAACTCCAAAAAAAAAAATCATAAAATTAATTTTTAAAATTAACTTAAATAAAATTTTTTGAGCCCCAAAAAAACTGTTAAATAATCTGATAAAAAAAGTATAAGGTTGAAATGGATTTGATTTTTTTTTTTACCTATTTAGACTAGTTTGAAATACGCTCATTATTATTGGTTAAAAAAAGAAAGATACGGTATAAAAATTTATGGGTACTAGGATGGACCGTCATGATCCAAGTAGAGCCCACACATCTTTATTGAGGAAACTCACGCCTGACACCCTGGATATAAGATGTACATGACAGAACAACATCAGCCGTTGGATGGATCATATTGCTTTTTTTATGTCAGGTCAGGAGATGATAAGTCATCACAACGTAGGTGAAATTACGAGTCTGACAAAACAGCAAATGTTTTGCTGTCTTTTTACAGCTTTTTCTCTGTCATGCGCTAACCTCCTCTCCTTTATTATATCAATCCGCACGTGACAACAGTTATTAACACGCAGCTTGGATTTCAATTTTGCCAATGTCTCGTGATATTTTTGCTCTCTCATGTCTTGCTCGCTACTCCAACATATAAAACTATACCAATGAGCTGTTGGCCGACGACGGATAAGAATTCATATTTTTTTCGTTCGATCTTTAAATTTGAATCTCAATAATTATAGTTTTATCGTGGTTCAACCTATTTTTCAACAACTTAGAGTATAGAATGAGACTTTAATTTTTGACCCCAAATACACATAATTCAATAACTATTCTTTTACGTAAAATTAATAAATATACCATCTAACATGCATGGGTAGCCTAGTGGAATGGGATTGAATAGTACTATTTCTGTAATCAGCCACTATATTTAAAAAAACATAACATAAATTTATACACCAAAACACACTAGTGCAATCAATAACGAAGAATAAATTTACAAACTCCAAAATCACTAAAGTCGACTGAACGTGAAACATTTAGATCTGAGAGATTTTAGAATATATTTATAACCCTGAATATGAGAGATTTTAGAATATGGTTATGATCGTTTAGATCTGGGTTTCAAGTTAACAAGTTATGTTTATGACAAAATGCCTCTTCCAAAAATGAAAGTTCATTCACTCCCTCAAACTACTTTCATAGCAAGACAGACGTAATATACGGGTTTTAAGTCTAGTTGAGCAGATCTCAAACAAAGTTTTAAATGCATTTACAATTTTTGCTGGTGTGGGTGAAATTTGTTTTTTGAAATATGAAGTTATCGGCGTTTTATAATGTTATTTGTATGTTTAGGTTCAACAGTTCTTTTTGATGTTGCTGTCAGGTATCATGTAATTCTATCGCTTTTTTAGCCTAAATAATGTTTATAATTATTGTGATTTTTTAGTCTATTTATTAGAATTTATAATAATATTTTAATTTTTTTATTATATTATCAATCCGACCATTGACTTGATCCTTGGTCCTTTTATCGGATGTGTTGACATCCGGACCGAATTTTAAAACTAATGATATTTACACCTCTTAAGGCATTAAAAATAGTTAAACTTGTGCACAATTTTATGTGAAGTGAATGATAATATTTGTCTTATTTAGGTTTTTGTCAGCCTATCATGATAAATAAAATAATTCCATTATTATTCGAGTAAGACAACCTAAACATTATTCACACCTCAATTCTATCAAACCATTAAAAAAACAACTCAACAGTCTGTTGTCCGTAAATCGAGTGAGACATACCATTACCCGTCTTGGTTGGTGGTGTTATTTCATTTTGTCACGATAAATTGCCATTTGCCGATAATATAATTTATAGTTGAGACCCCACAACCTTCAAAACCTCCACTAGCCACCACCTCTGAACTTTTCAGACAACATCAATTACAGTTTATCCCCAATTTCCCTTCAAAATTACATACATCCCCGGTCCCCCTCTTCCTCTTCATCCACGCCCTCCGTTTTCTCAGCATCCAAACAACAACAACAGAAAGGAAACTCGAAAAATTAGAATCGGAACTGATACTATTAAACATGATTATCGAAAACCACAACCCCTTTTGTAATCCAAACCGACAAAAAAGATAAAAATTACAAAATAGATTAATTCACCAACAATAACCAGAGAGAATTTAAATCTCAATCCCTTAATCTTCAACAAATCTCTTTCTCTCGAGAACAGAGAACACGACAAAGAGATCGACGATCGATCGAGCCTCGATCTCCAAATTTCATTTTTCAATTTCATTTTTAAATATGCATATCGAAATCAAACTTTGATGATCTTCGCGGCTTTAACCACCGGATTCTCCCTGGAAATCCGATCACGACCGGCCGTCTTGTAATCGTAGCTGCAATCGTGTCGGTCCGAGTACCGATGCTCCGAGCAGAATAGCTCGCCGCACCGGCACCTGAACCCAGTCAACCCTACCTTCCTCCGGCAACCTGAGCACCGATTCACCTCTCTCTTCGCCACCGGTACCGCCTTCGCCTCCTCTTCATCCCAATCCGACGTTGCTCGATCCTCACCTCTCCCAACCAGATCAAACGACCTTGCCGGCGATTCTGACGAGCTAGATCTAGGACTTTTCTCGGAGAATTTCAACGTCGCCGAAGCTACAGCTGAAGAGGTGGTGGCGGTGGTGGAGTTAAAGCACTTTTGGCACATGTTGTTGGTAGCCGGATTACCTCTGACGCCGCAGTTGTTCACACAAAGCGTCAAGGTTTCAGGTACAACTTTGAATTCAGCCTCTTCTTTTTCCGTCTTCTGAACCATAGATTTCGATATATGAAAAAGTATATGTATATTTTTGCGAGTGAGAGAGAGAGAGAGAGAAAGTTTGGACGGATGAGAGAGGGCGGGGGTGAGGAGTTTTATGATTAAGGGGTGGGGCGGAGAGGAATAGGTCGGTAATGGCGATGGAATATTGGGTCATAGACAAAGAGACGCGTATCGGGTATTTTGGGTGTTTTATTGACGAAAATGACCTTATAACTTTTTCACAATTATAGAATTTGGCCGTGGGTGGTCCTGATGGTAACGGGGGGTTTCTTCTAGATTAGGTCTGACGTGTTAATTACTTAGTCGACAAAGTTGAGGATATTTTTATACGGTCCCATTATAATACCGAAAAATATTTTTTGTATTTTTATTTTTTAATCAATAAAAACTGTGCTACGAGTACAATCCTTTATTATTGTTTAATTAATAATTATAAATTATTCAATTTGATATCGTAGTCTTTTAAAGTTTGACGTGGTAATAAAATTACCCTTTGCAACCCAACATTGCCTAATTTTTTGCCAAATCACCAATTATTAGTCGGCAGAGCTGGGCATAATTAAGGAAGTTAACTACGATTTTTTTTTTTTTTTTTGGGTACCATGCTTCAATTTATAACATTTATGATTATTTTTATTATATTTATAAGTATTTTTATTATATTTGTGGTATTTAAAAAATAATAAAAATAATTATTATAACAGTGATAAAAATATCTATAATGTGATAAAAACACTCACAAATATAATAATTATATTTTTTTATTAAAAAAATAAAATAAAAATAATTACCATAAATATGATAAAAAATACCCACAATAAGTCCATATTTAAGATACCAATTTGTGTGGATGAATTCGGTTGTGACCGAGGATTCATGCTCATTATTTCTTATCAATTTTATAGTGAATTGGTGGGTGTACCATATTAGGAATTATTAGTCCTTATATTATTCTTAATATAGTATTAGGAATTATTAGTCCTTACGTTATTTCTTGATATGGTAATATTCAAAGATTTTTCCAGGTCATGCTAAATCATTTTTCGAAATGAATACAAGGGTTAAATGATAAAATTGGTGAAGGAATTTAATTAACTCCAAAAAAAAATGGAATATATGGAAATGTTAAAGGTTGAAGAATATTATTCTTAAAGTTTAAGCAAATTCAATCACAAATAATATAATTTTTAGCACAACGTAAATTCAAGAAATAGAATTTGGCACCATTTACATTAGAGTAATGTTACAATGATCCAAAAAAAAAAAAGACTAACAATATAAACTAAATAATGTGACTTTACTATAAATGTGTTGTTGGTATCATTTTTAAACATTTGAAATTCAAATTTATCACATTATAGTAACGTTACATCATTTAGTCCATCGTTTTTTTTCGTGTAGCACTATTCTTATGTTTTGTATAGTATGATGAAAAATAGAAGATTTAAAAATATGAAAATTAAAAAGATATATAAAATATCATGTTTGATAAAAAAAAATAAAAATCGAGATTAGCTTTCATGTCCTGCAAACTTTTGCCTTCCCACCTAAGGTACCATTTGAAAATACTAGTTATTGTCTGTACATGAAGACACAAAGTAATAAAAAATAGTAAACAATAAACATATTTATATTTATATCCAAAATTAAATCACAAACATAAAAAAGAGATAAATAAATTTAAGCATCGCTTTGTAGTGGGGGTGAGAGGTGGTGGTGGTGGTGGCGACAGCGACGACGACGCCAGTGGTGGTGGCAACAGTTATTGTGGTGGTAGTGGCGTTGGCGACGGTGGTGGCGGCGATAGTGGCGGTGGTGGTGGTGGGGGTGGGACAGTTTCAATTACTATTTTTTTTTTTAAAAGTATTTATGAGAAATAATTTTTAAAAGTCACTTCAAACACATCTTTAGAAGCCTATTTTTCCTATTAAATTTAAGGTGTTAATATTAGTCGTTAAATTAATTTTAAAGTAAAATTTAAAGCGATCTCAGCCGCGAATAACAAAAGTCAATTTGTTTATTTTTTAAGATTTAAATTATATAGACTAGTTATTGCCTGTGCCTGAAGGCACAAATTAATAAAAAATGATAAATAATAAACATATTTGTATTTATATCCATAATTAAATGACAAACATAGAAAAAAGATAAAAAAAATTAAACAATGATTTATAGTGGGGGTGAGAGGTGGTGGATAGCAGTGGTGATGGTAGGAGACGGTGATGGTTGCGATGGGTAGTAATAATAATGGTGGCGACAACAGCGACATTGGCAGCAGCGGTGATAGAGGTGGTAGTGGTGGTGGAGACAGTTGAGGTGGTGGCGGTGGTGGCAGTGGTGATGGTGACGGCGGTGGTAATGGTGCTGACGGTGGCGGGGGCGAGGGCAGGGGTGGTGATGATGACGGCTACGACGGCGACAGTGGTGTCGACGGTGGTGGTGGGGGTGGCGGCAGCGGTAGTGGCGACAACAATGGTGGTGGTGGTGGTGATGGCAGTGGTGATGGCGACGGCGGCAGCGATGACGGTGGTGGTGGCGGCGATGGTGGTAGAGATAGTGGTGGGGCGATTTTAAGATCTATTTTTTTTTAAAGTATTTATGATAAATAATTTCTAAAAGTACTTTTAAAAAATCACTTCAAACACATCCTTAAGGGCTTATTTTTCCTATTAAATTTAGGGTGTTAATATTAGTCGTTAGATTAATTTTAAAGTAAATTTTAAAACGATCTCAACTGCGAATATCAAAAGTCATTTTGTTTATCTTTTGAAATTTGAATTGTAAGTTATTTTATTATATAAATGTTTTTGTGTATTTTACCAAAAAATTTAGTAGCATTTGTTTTCCATTTTTCCTTTTTGTTTGTTTCTTGTTGAATTTGCCCCCTTTCTACAAATTTATATTGACTTAATTTCGATTTATATATCCACTGGAATTCTCTCAAAAAAATAACTAAGAAGTTGTCATCGCGTGTAAACTTTCGATGTGAGATTCAACACATGCTAATACTTATCGCCACAATCTCCCCTCCTTTATTACCTTGCGTCTCTGCAAGGGACTCGCAATCAATCGCAATATTGACCCCGAATTGTAGTGACCCCTAATCCACACAATTTTGTAACTTGTGTACACGGGTCAGATCTAATGTCATATGTAATAACCACAAGAATTTCCCCAAATGGCTAGTGAAGAAATTGTCATTTTGGATCATTAGTCCTACATACATACCCAAAGTCTCCTGTGTAAACTTTCAATGTGGAATTCAATACACGCCAATGTGGGTCATAAATGCATATAGATCACTCTTGAGAATGATAATTAGACAATTTTGTTTTAACTTTTTCAACCAACTGCCTTTTTATTGAAGAGAGAAAGAGAGAGGGGAAGAAACAAGCATGACGTATTAAATATAATTAGAAAAATGTTATATAGACCTAATTTGATGGCTTAATTTGGAGACCTAATTTAATACAATCATTGGATTACTTGATCTACCAAAGGGGCAGGTAAGAAAAAAGGTCTATATCATAAACACCTAGTCTACACGACTGAGATGGAACTCTTGAACAAGCTTATTCTTTTCTTTGCGGACTAGATTGCAATTTCTAGATAATTTATAGCTTCTCAATGCAGAGTTCAAATCCATGTGTTTCTAGTAAGAGACAGTGAATCAGAGACGCATCATTGAGGAATCCACCTTCTCCACCAAGAAGAGGAAGGAGTAGCTTCATCAGGAGGCGGTGGCGTGAGGTGCTCTAGCATTGCTTCTTTCTCCTTTGGGGTCAATGGAACACCTCTAACAAGGTTCAAGGCCATTATATGAACAGTGGCGTTTTGCCTGTGCTTTTTGTAAGCCCATATTCCTCCAGCAACTAAAACCTATTCCAAAGTACAAGCATTTCAAATCGGAACTTCAACTAAGAGTTAAAAAAGAAAAAGGGAAAGTAAAGCAAGCCTTAGAATGGTTTCTTTATGCTTACCGGAGATAGCCACAGAGCTGCAGTCTGCAAATCAAATTTTGGGGCATCAAGCACTGTCTCACCAAAATCAACTTCAAGTTTTTTATATATAAATTTGTCAGTTTTCCCAGCCCGAATTTCATCCCGGATTAACTTCCAGCAATGATACAAGAGTATCAGTAAGCAGATCAGCTTTAATACTACATTGGCAAAAGCAGCAATTGAGAAAATAAATAAACAAATTTAGACAATCCATACTACAATTTGGACAATTCATTTCAGGAGCACAACAAATGCTAGAAAATGCAGAAGGCAGAAAATAAATCAAGTATCTTAACTTTATTTAGAAGTTGTCTGTCTTCAGCATTGTGGGCTATGAACATTGATTATTAGCATATATTTTCCAAAACTGGTTTAAATGAAAGAATTATTCAAGTTTCAATCCACTTCAAGCTGATAGGACTCTGAAGAAGATCAGTCAAACACAAAAAGGCATATTCTCATAAATAGAACCGAAAGTAACATGATTGAAAATTCATTTTAAATAAATGAAATTTTGATTAGTACGGTTCAAGACTTAAAAGAAAAAAATTCATAATATCAAAAAAAACATAAAAGTCATAAAGATAAACTCTTACTTTTAGAAAAAATGTCACTTAAATACATGATATTAAAGATGATAAAAGCATCACCATCTAACTCTTCAAATAATAAATATTTAAATGTTTTAGAAAAAATAACTTATCAGAAATGGTATATTAAAATCATATTAGTTATAAATTCTGAGTTTACTGTCGAAACTATTATTTTAATTGACAGTGGTGCAAATATGAACTGCATAAAGGCAAAATTAATTCCGATTAAATATTTTGAAAAAAACTACTCAGTCAGTAAGTACCGCTGATGGTTCAAAATTAAATATAAAATTTAAACTCTTTAATATTTTTGTATGTAACCAAAGAATTTGTATTCCTACCACTTTTATACTTATTGATAATTTAAATCAATTAATGATTTTGAGAACATCATTCTTATCTTTAATCGAACCTATAGAAAGAATCAATTCTAAAGGAATTTTGACTACCATAAATGGTCAACAGATATTATTTGAATTTATAACTCCACCTCAAATAAAATTGATAAATCAAATAAAATAAAATCTGATTTATAAAAAAAACCAATTAAATTTATCTTCATCTTTTAATATATTGGGAAGTGATATTATTTTGCAAGAAAAGTCGAAAAAGTTTCAAAAATGAGTCATGACTCAGATTCATTTTCTTTGAATCTTATTGTCAAATCTCCTAAACTTCTTGACTATATTTGTAATTATGGAGGTGAAGATGTTATTAACTTTGCCTCTATCTGGTGTACTAATTGTTGCAAGATTTCACTTTGGTGTCTCTATTGCAGTGCTATGGAAGATCAATTAATTGATTATGTCCTTATCTTTTTACATAAAATTGCAAGATGTCAAAGAGAATTTTTAAAAAAATCTTTAAAATTTCATCTTATACTTGAACTTAATGACTAATATTATGATTGAAAATATAAACAATGGATGGAGAATATAGTCTATGAAGGATTTTGTCAAGAAATGATAAATAAACTTGGTAGTATAACGGTTAGAACCCAAGTCTCTGCATATAAAAATGCATACTATTCTGATGAATATAAAAATACTTTTTATGCATATAAAAGTGCATATTATTTTAATCCATATAAGAATGCATATTATTTCAATGCATATAAAAATGCTTATTATTCTCTATTCACTATAAAGAGATTATCACATAAATGTGATATTGATGCTAATTCGTCAAAACAATTTAAAGTTGTTACATCCTTGTCAAATAAAATTGACAATAAAAAAAATTTATTCAAAGATAAATCTCTTTCTATACCTGGACCTTTGACTTTGCCTCATATATGGAGCTTAAAGTTGTTACAACAACAAAATCGCAAGGCATATGATGGGAAAAAAAAATCACCGATTAAAAAACTGAAAAAGATCGCCGATCAATATAGACCCACTTTTTAAAAAAAAAAAAAATCAACAAAATTTCTCAAAAAAACATAACCCTGGAATAATATCACCCTTTTGTTCATCATTTATATAATCAAATTTAGTAATTGGTCCAAACCTTTATTTAAAAAAATAAGCCTCAAACCAATGATCAACAAACCATTGTACCAAAGCCCTGCCTTAATACAACTATTTACCAACTACTGCAATATCATAATTTAAACATTTAACAAAATGTTGCAATTGATTCAGTCATTAAATGAATAGCCTTATATGGAAAGTATAATAACATTCAAGACATTCTAAAGCAAATGGTTTCGAACCGATTTTATCATTGATGATACTAAATATCGTCACCATACAAATAATTTTACTCTCAAAAATGACATTCTTACAATCCGGAATAATTCTCATATACCAAGCTGGAAGGAAATACGAATTCCCAATAATGTGATATTTGCATATCAACCACTGCCATAGTTAGCAAGAAATGTTGTGCAGTCATTGAAAGTGCTATAGTAGATATGTGTCGGGTAACAAATCAATAGCATCAAAATCACACATTTCCAACCTGAAAAATTCACAATCACAGTAGACCATAGAACCATAATCCAATATGTATTTTCAGCAAATATCACTTATGCATATTAAGAAGGCAAATGCTCCACAATGATGGAATATAGTAGAGAAGTTTTAAAAAAACTGCCACCAGATTACCAGTTAGGTGCTCTGTGCTAACTTAATAATTCCATGCAAGCGATAACCTAGCATGGTCCATGAGAGTAATGGCACTCAAATGCACTACCAGTCTTTTTATTTGTGTACAGACTAAAATTACATTACTTAATTATTGGCACTTGATGAAAATAACACTGTGATGCTGAAGTATCATTTCCAAAAACTGCAACACTAGGCATCCATCACCATGTAATCGTCCAACTGAAATCAGGCACACCAAAGTGGTGTTCAGCCTAAATGTAAATGTTCAAAGATGATATCATTCTTGTTGAATACAATCAAATTCATGTCAATACAGGCCACAAATTGTTAGAAGTTTTCATCTTGTACAAAGTACAAATTGCTCGCATCCTCCTCCAAAACACATCTGGACTTTTTCCTTTCTAGATATCACACAAAAAGCGGGATCTCAATACGACCATTCGCCAAAGACAAACCAGCTACATCTTAATTAAAAAAGGCATGTAAAAAGTTCATGCGAACCGTAGATTCACACCAAGTGTTCGTCGAATCGGATCCACATTCATGGTTCACCACTTATTTTCCCAAGAGTTAAAGTATCTCCACAGAATTTTGCATACACAAATAATGAGCTGTGACTCATAATGAATTAATTCAAACAGCTTACAGCCACCGCACAACTCTTTCAAAACCACCGCACAACTCTTTCAAAACACCTAGCACCACCTCTGACCACACTTAAGCAAATACCAGGAGTTTCAAACTATACCACTGCATTTAATAGTTCTCTTCAGGTATGTGTTCACATAGATAGATAAAAAGAAATAGAGATTGAATGACTATTGTTTGGAATACAATCCTGCAAGGAGGGGAGGCATACATCATGAAAAGTCATACACATCAAACAAAGACGACCAACACATAATAAACACATGGGCTTGGCTGCCTTGATAACTTCATCAAAATAAAGGAATTATCAGTAGATTGAAATTGGCAACAATCCAATAGCCAATATAACACAATGCAATAAAAAATATTTTCACGCCTTCCATACAAATGTAACTACAACTATATACCATTGTTCAGCACGTCCTCGTTCTTCGAATGATCTTGCAAAAATCAAAACCAATCAATAAAAAAATATTACATAAAAACCAAAGACAACAACTTCAAATAATGACAATATGTTTGCCAGTTGGTGGATTTTTTATGATTTGCTTCTGTAACGAATTTCAACAAGTAGTTGATGTGCATTATCAGCAAAGGGAGTGGGGCAGTGGCTGACGATCTGGCGGTGGCAGTGGTGAACGGTGGGGCTGCGGTGGTGTCTGTGGGATGGGTTTCGTGGGACGTGGGTGGCTGCGGGATGGTTTCAGTTAACCATAGCAATCTGCAAGATCGTCCCAAGCTTCATGGCGGTTTCTCGCAATCGGTGGTGTGGCCGGATTTGGTTGTGCGCGCCGATCAGGTTGGGCGCTGGGTTTTGGGAATGAGTTCGGGCGGGGAGAGGATGAACGATGGAAGTAGTGGGAACGTGTTTGGTGGCTGATGGGATATAGAAGAAAAAGAGGGAGAGATAGAGAGGATGAAGGGGGTGGTGCATGACAGTGGAAGAGAGAATGAGAGAGGGCGAGTTACCTGAGAGACAATTATACTATCGCCCGCCGTCGCCGGACGATAGTAAAATTTAGGTAAAATTACACGCGGACCCTTTTAGGATTGTTATTTAATCAATCAAACCCTTTATATTTAAAATATTATACACAAACCTCCTAAAATTTGCACGGCATAACACTTAGACCCCTATTATAAATATAGTACATCCGCTAGTAAATTATATTTAGATTCTCTGAAATTTTAGATGTATAATATTTAGGCTCTTTAAGTTTAAATTATTATATTTAGATCAAAAATTCTTCAATCAAAAATAAAAAATCAAATATTTATTGAAATAAAATCAAAAATACAATATAATTTTTAAAAATATAGATAATTTATATACAATTATACTATATATTGAAATTTAATTTGGTCATTTAAATGACGAAATTACCCAAATTTAAATTAGGTTGTGTCCATTACAGTTTGACGCCTTGTTTATTTTTGGTTTTATTCTAATAGATAGTATAATTGTATATTAATTATGATTTTTTAAGAAAAAAATATATTTTTAATTTTAATTTTATTTCAATAAATGACATAATAGAACATGAATTTTGATTGTAAAATTCATGTTTTATTATGAATGACTTAGAACCCTTGTTTAATTTTTTAATTTTTTAATTTTATTCAAATAGATAAGTATAATTATAAAATAATTACGATTTTTTTAAAAAAAATTAATTTTTACTTTTGATTTTATTTCAATAAATGATACAATATAACATGATTTTTAATTGTAAAATTAAAAATATTTGATATTCTATTTTTGATTAAAATATTTTTGTCTAAATATAATATTTTAAACTTGAAGAGTTTAAGTATTATATGTTTACAAACTTTAAGGGATCTGAATATAGTTTACTGACAGATATACTAATAAACATTGTCGACAAGAGTCCAAATGTTACGCACGTATAAACCTTAAGAAGTCTGTGTGTAATATTTTAAATATCAGGTGATTACGTGACAAATCTCAAGGGATTTGAGTATAATTTAAGAGTGCATTTAGGTAAATTATTCCAATTTTGAATTATTGACAGATTTAGATATTGATTATAAAAATAAAATTCATATTAAATTTAAATCAGTAAAAATCTAACCAGAATTCAGTATATTGACAAGCCTAATTGTCATTAGACTTTTCACTTCTGATTGAAGCTCTCAAAACTGTCTTTGTAAAAGGCAATTATAAGAGGAGAGGTGATGTGCAAATGGAATGAAATTATAAGGAGTTAAAGTGAAGTTTGTCCAATATTTTTTATGAAACTTTATAAATGATTAGTATTGTACCACGTGCATTACATGTGAATAATTTTTCTATATAAAATTTAATAAAAAAAATTTAGATATATGTGTACCTAAATTAAATATCATTTCAACTTTATAAAAATTTTGTTTTTATCGCTCGTATTAAACTATGACATTTAAAATTTTTGTTTGTTCTCAATGATTCGTTGTTCTAACTATAAAAAAAAAAAAACGAAAGATAAAATAATTCATTTTGAAATTTTTTTAATTAGGTTTCAACTTATAATTCATTGAATAAAATAAAAATTATTGTTAATATTCTAAGCAATGCTTATTTTGAAGGATAATATAGTCAATTAAAAAGTTTCATATATATTGATATTTATATATAAAGAATAGAAAATTAAAAAAGATGTTAGGAATAATTTGGAGATTTAAACACTAAGGATAAGATGGTAAGTTAATTATGGAAGGATAATGTAGTATTTAAAATTCTTTATAAGGGTAAAATAATGAATCAAAAGTTTTTTATGCTAAGGTGATTTTATTAATAGTATAGATATAGTTGTTATTACTTCAAAAGGGTATTAAAGAAATTATATTAATTTTTTTGGCTAAAATAAATAAGCATTTCCCATTTGTTTTTTCTATTGTCTAGAGAGGAGAAAATATTCTATATAATTGTGAGGGACAATGTTATACTGGCTAAATTATTGTCTAAATTTTGTATCATAAATCAATGTAGGTGGTTGGATTAATGAGGTCCATTAACTCTACTGAATATTTAATGAATGAGATTTTGACATAACATTTAAAACACAATATTTGAACAATAATTTGCGCAGCACAACTTTATCCAATTATGAAACCACGTAATCATGTGGTATTACTAACTAATTATGAAATATCACAAAGATTAAGTGGGTCCCACTATTTTAAATAGCTCCCCACAAATAAAAAAAATATTGGGTGTAATTATTACACTATATCAATAAACTAGCAATTACTCGTGTCTGAAGGTACAATGTTACTCGCAAATTAGTTATAAATATTTGTCCACACATAAATATAAAGTAAAATACAACATTGTAGTAAATGACGAACAAAATGAGTCCGCTGATATTTTTTATAACATCAACCTACATACATAACATATATTTTCACATTAAAATGTTACGCCACGGAAATTATGTTATAATTACTAAAACATAATAATTCAAACATCTAAAAAAAATATATCAGTTGACAATATTCAATGTTATGTTTTTGATCAAAAAATCCACGATTTTAACATTCATAATCAACTCTATCTAAATAATAACAAAATTCATAACTAATATAATAAAAATTAAAACAATACTTCCACAAATAAACTAAGTCTTCAAATATTGCCAAATAACCAAATATAACTGTTAGAAATTCAACCGACTTCTAAAATATACAACCTGACTATTGAATTTGTATAATTCGAGTTTATAGTAGTGTTTTTAATTTTATATCATTTTTCTTGGTTATTTATATTCTTATTATATTTTCTTAAACTAAAAAGTTATTTAATATTTGATTATTTAGTAAAGATTATTGTTTCGTGTTGTTTACTAAATATTGAATTTATATGATTCGTGTTCATAGTATTTCTTATAATTTTGTATCATTTATCTTGTTTGTAATTTTGTATCATTTTTCTCAGGTATTCAGATTTGATTTATTTAGTAAATATTGTTACTTTTTGTTGTTCACTAAATATTGAATTTATATAATTCGTGTTTGTATATGAATTTAATATTGTATATTTTAAATGTTAAACATATTTTCTTTAATATATCTCTTGATATCTGAGTTGTCCAATAACTTGAATTTAATTTTGTATATTTTACATGTTAAACATATTTTCGTTGTTAAATTAGATTTTTTGAAAGTTATATTTTTTTGATTGATTATGAAAAAAACAAAGTTGACTTTTGAATTTTTATGACTTATGTTTGTAGTATTACTTGAATGAAAGAGAGTGATACAAAGAAATATTTTCGTGATATATATTATCTATCTAACATTTATTACAAAATTTTCCTTTAAAAAAAGATATAGAGAAATATTTTTGTAATATACTATCTCTCTTTGTGATATATATTATTTATCTACAAAGAGATGTTGTATTTACTTGAATCAAACACTATCTAATATTTTCGTGAGAATTAAAAGATTTTTGAGAGAGATTTGTTTGATTTAAAGAAAAGATTTTGGAAACTATAAATTTTGGAATATCAATTTTGAAAACTATAAATTTTGAGCAACAAAAATATTTCAAAAGAGTTAATGTAGTACATCAGATCAAAACGATCTGAAACGTCAATAGCTCGAGACAATTTGAGATAACGTCATCCGTTAGATGATGTTTTTTTTTTGTCACGAAACGATCTAAATCACTCTTTGTCTCCAAAATTCAAATTCGTTATACTTTATTATATATACTAGCAATTGCCTATGCATGAACGCACGACGTAACAAACAAAAAAATCAAAAGCAAATACATGTGCATTAAGAGATTGTATGCCATAAAAAATTGCTAATTAGAAAAATTACTGGATGGGGAGAGAGAGAGAGAGAGAGAGAGAGAGAGAGAGAGAGAGAGAGATGAGAGTAAATATGAGTTGACTTTTGAGTATTTTTTTAATTTTTTCAATTTCTAAGTTTTTAATGATATAGATTGGATTATAGGGCCAAATTATTGCATACAAATTTTGATTGGATTTAATTTTTTGAAACTTTTTTGTATGACTTAAAATTTAATGGATTTAATTTTTTTTTGTGGACTAGTGATGTACTTAAAAATTATGGGGTCTTTTAAAAATTTGGGATCTAAGCCCATGTTTTTTTTCCTATACTGTTGGGTCAGCCCTAGGTGGCTATTCATTGGGGGCAAATAGGAGGAACAATGAGAGAAAATAGGGAGGCAGAGGAGAAAGCGTATATCATAAATAATTTGGTGAAAAGATCGAGATGGATACAAGTGATAAAGGAAAACAAAGTAAATAATATAATATCATCATTATATTGAATATTCTGAAGATGTGATGTAAAAAAAGTGATTTATCTAACATGGAAATGATATTATTTAGAGTAGCATAAGCGTGGGTCAAAATTTAAATATGGACGTTTATTTTAGATTTGGATAGAATTTTAGATTTAGATGACAATGATTTTGGGCAAGATTGAGAAGCAAATTCAATGCGGGGGTGTTCATTTTGGAAACTAAAAATTTTGAGCAGCAAAAAATATTTTAAAAGGGCTAAGGTGGTACGTCGGATCAAAATAATCTGAGACGTTAATAGCTTGAGACAGTTTGAGATAACGTCATCCATTGGATGATGATTTTTTTGGTTACGAAACGATCTAAGCCGTTTTTTGTGCCTTAATGCATGATAGAACAAAAAATTCGAGTCCTAAAAAATCGATATCATTATATTAAATTATATATTTTTTTCTTTCATTTGTTTGATTAAATCATTCAAAATTTATTTTTACCCATTATTTTATTAAAGATATTGACAATTTTTTTTTAAAATATGTAATTCAATAATTTTTTTTAACAGATTTATACTATCGTGTATGGATAATATCTAAAATAAAAATTATGTTAAATTACAAATTAATCAAATATTAAATGGTTGAGCATGCGATATAAATGAGTGATTTGATGGTTTTGGGGGGATTAGAAATGTATAGGGGATAACATTTAACTTTCTATGTGTTTTATTATATAGATATAAGGGAAAATTTCATTCAAATCCCTTGTAGTTAGGTCTAAATTCAATGACACCTCCTTCCAATTTTGAAATTTCACTGTCACTGCCTGTTAGTGATTATCAGGTTACACCGTTAATGACAATGATTGATTTATAGAAATATCCCCAAATATTTTATATGATAAATTTTATCCACATCTCTTATAAATATTATGATAAAAAAATATAAAAATTATAAAAAGTTGATTATGTAACCACATGAATGATAATATGATGACTAATATTATAACAAAGTTACAATAAGATGTTTAAAAAAAATAAAATTCATTAGGATAATATAATGATTGAAATTACGTTTGTTGACTGGCTAACGCATATATAATGAGAAAAAAATTGATGGCATTTTAGTCTATTTACATAATAAAGAGTAATTTAAGTATTTTCATAAAAATATTTAGTTAAATTATTATTTTATATGCTGACAGAGACAAAAGTTATTGTTATAAGAGTTGACATTGAATTTAGACTCAATTACATGGTGTTTAGATAAAACTTTTTTTAAGATATAACATGTAGATATAGTATGTCTTCAATATTTGTATTTTATATATATATATATATAGTAGAGATGTGTGTGTAATATAAACAGTAAAGATGGAGAGCAACTACATTAGAATAGAATTTTGGAGAGACATGTGTCTCAGTTTGGAAAGAGAATCATAAAAGATAAGAGTGTGAGGGACGATCAATGTCTTAATATAGAAAGTGATCCCTTAACATAAGAAATAAAATCAGGGAAATAATGATAAGAATTGTAATCTGTATTTTAGGGAGAGAGAGAGAGACAAAATTGAGGAATGAGAGATTGCTTAATTGTCGAATTTGATTGGGTTGGAGAATTAAATTTAGGGATGTTAGTTTTGGAAACTAAAATTTTGAGCGGCAAAAAAATTTCAAGAGCTAATATGGTACGTCAGATTGAAACGATTTGAGACGTCAATAGTTTGAGATAGTTTGAAATATCGTCGATCATTGGATGACGCCTTTTTTGATCTCGAAACGATCTGAGTCACTCTTTGTCTCTTGAATTCAAAATCATTCTACTTTATTATATAGATAGTAGATATGTGTATGTGATATAAATAGTAAAGATGGAAAGCAGCTGCATTAGGATAAATTTTTGGGGAGACATGTGTCTCAGTTTGAAAAGAGAATCATAAAAAATGAGAGTGTGAGGTACGGTAAATGTCTCAATATATAAAGTGATTTTTTAACATAAGAAATAAAATCAGGAAAATAATGATAAGAGTTGTAATTCATATTTTAGGGAGAGAGAGATAGAGTTGAGGAATGAGAGATCGCTTAATTGCCGGATTTTATTGGGTTGGAGAATTACATTTAGAGATGTTAGTTTTGGAAACTAAAAGTTTTGAGCGCTAACAAAATTTCAAGAGCTAATATGGTACGTCAGATTGAAACGATCTGAGACGTCGATAACTTGAGATAGTTTGAAATATCGTTAACCATTGGATGATATCTTTTTTTGTCTTGAAATGATTTGAGCCACTCTTTGCCTCTTGAATTCAAAATTATTCTATTTTATTATATAGATATATCGCATGATGCAACTGTCTATTAATAAATAAACAAATCTGCAAGTGAACCTCACTCAAATTCATAACCACTCAACCATTTAATATATAACTACTCTCATGATAAGAAGTGAGTCTCATTTTATTCCCTTTTTTTTTTCTTTTTTTTATTGGTTGATTACACCATGTAGCCATTGTTGACACGGTGTAACCATTATACCTAGTATTTACTCATTAGAGGTCGCAAATGGACGAGTTGGTTTGACTATGGGCTTATTCAAATTGGATTGAGTGTAAAACAAATACAATTAACTTTAAACACGTATTATAAACGAGTCATAATGGGTTGAATTGTAACGAGTTGAATTAAACTCATTTACCCGTAAAATAATTAAAACTCTAATTATAAAAGTATACTAATATATCAAATAAAACACAACATAATACACAAAAAAAAACACATACACAGATACACACACTAATTCACCAAATTACACATACACATAATTCATCGAGGTCAAGTCCAAGGGGAGTTCATTTATCTTAAATGTTGGCATACTATCACATTCTCTAACTTCCATGTTAGTAGGGAAGAGTTCACTAATATTTCATAATATTTTACTATAAATAGTAATATCAATGATTTAATATTACTATTACGTTGAATATTTATTCCCAGTGATGGGTCCATTTGTTGTAGTTAGTTTAAAAAAGCCAAGGGGTTTCACAATCATTCTCCAATAACAAGGGTGTCCGTATAATTAAACAAAATATCAGGGGGCTATATGATATTTATCCAAAAATCAATTATCTATTTTTCCTATTAAAGAACCGTCCGACTAAACCATGTGTCTGATCTCTCTCCTTACTATTCTTGCTGCATATATACCGACGTAGGGTTCATAGTTGTCATTTGCACTCCTTTCTCTCCCCCAGACGAATAAACCTTCTGGGGTTTTTCTTTGCTCTTCACGATGAAACCATGAACTCTCACGGAAAACACAATCAAATCTCGAAAAATACCCCGAGAATTCCACAAAACTCTCCTCTTCCTGTATCTTCTCTCCATTTACCAATTCAATCGTATCTACAAAGTCTAGCTAGGGTTTTGTGTCGAATGAAATAGTTGATAATTGTATTGTACTTATTTGGCGGTAGATTTTGATTCGTGGTGGTTCGGAAATTACATTTGTGAAAGCAAGCGGTTTTGTATATTATCGGCTAGAGATGGACGGGGGGAATCGAGTTGATGATCAGACATTTAGGGCTAATTTTACGGGCGATGGAGTGGCGAAGTTGCGGGAGCGAGTTAAAGAGAAACTGAAGGACTTTATGGGGGAATACACTGACGACACTCTCGTGGTAAGAATTTATGCGGTTTTATCACATGTATATGAAATTCAACTGATGGAAAATTGAGTTTTTATTGAGAAAAATGCGGATCAATAACAGGATACGATTAATGGAAAACTGAAGGATTTCATTGGGGGCATAAATTTGTAGGGTTTGATCGTATGCATATGCAAATGAATAAATAGGAAAAAAATCTTGTTATTGATAAGTTGCTGGAGTGAAGAGTTTGGGGTTTATTTGAAGTGATTGAAGGTGTCTAATGTAGCCTTCTACTGAGTACGTGACTTGATTTGACTAGAATTTGTGTTTGCGTGCAATGGGAAGTTTCGCATATGTCAATTAATGGATAGATTTTGAGGAATATTAAAGACTTGAGATTGGGGCAGAAAACCCAAGTTGCATTACATGTTTGTTTATTGGGTGAATAGTTGGCATTTCAAAATGAAAGAGTTTACTTGGTAGAGAAAATACTGTAACTTGTTAGTGAAATCAATGAGACTTTTGAATTTTTGTAATGGTGTTTTGGAAGGTTTTTTTGGGAAGGGTGTTTTTTTTTTGTGTGTGTGTATGTTTTGATTGGGGGGGGTGAGTTGAGATCATGTTTGTTAATTATTGCCATTGTTACATAATTACTTGATTAGTGGGAATATTGACTGAGAAATGATATACTTCTACTTTTATTAGCTATTTTATTTACGCACTTTAGCTTTGGCAATGGGTTGCAAAAACTTGAATATGCTCATCATCGAACATGGGATGTGTATTGGTTGTTCGAGTTACCTCAATGTGATGTAGTCAAAAGGTTAAATACCTCTACTGGTTTTACTTATTTTATGTTATGGTTAAACAAAGTGTTTACATGGCATAAGTCTTCAAGTGTGATCACTTACTCATTTATTGAGATACCAATGTTGTCCATCGGACTAGTCTAAATTGTGAGTATGGTCTTTTTCTACTATAAGTCGGTTGGAGACGTTATACTTGATCACATGCTGTGTCATGTTTGGCACGGATACTCAATTACTTTGCAGTGACTTATAGCAAAGAGATTGGAACTCTGGAAGTTGGACATGTGTGGAATTTTCAGATTACTATCTTTATGATCGCTATTGCGATGAAATCAAGAAAGTTTTTGCTCTTAGAAGACAGTGTGGTTATTAAGGGTTGTGTTGGACGTAGCTTTGCTCTCGGTGGCAGCTTGATGGATTTTTATGGTTGATAGCCAGATGGTTGGCAATAGAGCTATTCTTAATTTTTGAGATGATGAATCATCGATTTGAGGATTAATGAAATTATGAGTGATAGATTTGGAAATTACTGTATGATAGCAGTGTCAGGGTAAGGGGTTGGAAGAAAGTTTGGAAGAATATGTATTTGAAAGGCAGAAATTAAGGGAATTAAAGGTATTTGATTATGACAATTAGGATATAATTCCAACAATTCTCGAGTCATGTAGCTTTTGTACTTCATGTGGTCTTTGTAGCTTGCAGAATAATTTATGATTTGGTGTTTTAATGTTGGTAAGATTTCTTACTGCACCGTCTCGGTAGAGTGATGTGATAACTAACATCAAAGGGTAAAGGTGAGTTGAATTAACTTTAAGTGAGATTGTAAAAAGGATAATATAGCTTACTTTTTATTAAAAAAACATGACCCTTGATAGGGCCTAATAATGGAACATAGTTCATGCAAGTGATCTAGTCTCTTAATGTTGGCCAGTTTTTAAGTTTTTTATGCATGTATACCTTCTTATAATGTTTTGAAATTTGTACTTCTATACACACACACACACTTTTATGGTGTTTTGAAGTTTTTATTTCTAGGATGATCTGCAATCTAGCAGAATTATAATGTCAATTCATTGAAGGGTTTAAGTTTCACTTTTTTGGATAGTCATATCACCTATTTTCTTTGGACTTTTTCCCTGCAATGTTCAACTCGAAAGAAGATGGGACAATTTCCTACTGCAATAGTTGCTTTGGCAGCAGGCACATATGCATATGAGCTAATCTTAACATTGTACGCATGCTTTAAATCTTCCTCTGCTTGCCATTGTTGGCTTTCTTGAGTTTGTTGAGTTGTGGATTGTGTTTTGATTTAATGCTTCTTGGTCTTTACTTATTTGAGGTGAGAGTTTTGCATTCCTTGGATGTAACTGGGTAAAGTTTGACTTTATATATAGGATCATGAGAAATGATCTTGCATCAAATAAACAAATATTGTTAGTTGGCTGCACCTATTTACTGAGCGTCCTGTATGCACTTTCAGGAATATGTGATTGTCTTGCTTAAAAATGGTCGGCGCAAAGAAGAAGCAAGAAATGAGTTGAATGTCTTTTTGGGTGATGACAGTGATTCTTTCGTATCTTGGTAATTTTCTAATTCAGCTTGTTAAAAATAGTTGTTAGCCTCTTAATTTTAAATATACTCATCACTATTAATGTTATTGTCCTGAAGGTTGTGGGATCATCTAGGATCAAATTTGGGCCTGTATGTGCAACCTAGGGAATCTCATCCAGATGACGTGGCCAGACTGAAACCCATGCCTGGGGAGCTGGTTGGTGGACAAGATTCTCACCATGTTGATTTTGAATCTGAAATAGGAAAATCTAATACGTTATCAAAAAGCCGTCACAATAGAGAGTGGAAAGGGCTAGTGAGCGATGCAGATGATCTTCGTCCTCTTAAGGGCTCTGAGACTGACAATATTCCTAAGGAGGAGAGTATTGATGGAAAAGTTGGTCATGCTAAGCGATCTATTTCTCCACGACCAACTTTGTATAAGAAAAGAAGTCGGCCAGAAGAACACCTAGAAGTGAAGGTAATTTTTTATTTCAATTTTGATAAGAATGCAGTATGCCTCTTGCTTTCTGATGAATTTGGATGTGGTAACTCTTATTTTTATTTTCAGGCACTTTATAGTGATTGGGAGTTTCACTTTAAACCTTGTTCCTTGAATGCATGAAGATACTTTTTTGTTTCTTGCGTTTCACTTGCTATGTGATAACAATTATAAGTTTAAAGTTGCCACTGTTCTGAAATTTTTGCAGTAAACCTGGAGCCCAGTTAGAAGCATCTTTTTCCCTAATTTGAGTATGCACAATGTGTGTACTTTCTCAAATTGGTTCTGATTTTTTAAAGATGTCGTCCTTTCTACCTTCCGATCCATTGATTTGTTATAGCAATCTTTTATTAGTTTTATTTTCATGTTATTTATTCACCAATATAGTTTTTAATTTTCAGTTATCCACATTTAAAGGTCCAAGGAAATAAAGTTATAAATATGGGGGCTAATGTCCTTGAAAATTGGGTTCATTTCTTGGCCCTGCGTAATCCATGTGAGTACTTGTAGTTGGTGGAGTTGGTGAACATATTCGTGAAGAAAATGATCTTTACATTTTAGGAAAATATTGAAATGGAGCTTCCTGCAAACTGAATTCTATAAGAAAAGTGCACGGAAGAATGCTTCATTGATTTTATTTTTCATCTTTACCAAGTTCACGTAGTTAAGGATGCTCAAGAATTGCAAAATTTTCTCCAAATGTCGATTTTTTGGGTTGGGTTCAGGTTCTATTTGAGTTGGCCCACCCAAGTTGTAAACATTTTTATTATCCTTGTTCCTGATTCAACACATGATAAATATGTATCTGCATCCCTACAAAATTTGACGCTAACCAAAACATAGATTTCTCAGTTTTATACTCGATAAATTTTTCTATTGACATAAGACCTGCCATTATTATTTTAATATTACAAGACTTTGATATGCTTTTGGTACCATTTGGAATAGTTTGTTATGTTGCATGTCGGGTGATTTTTTTTTACTACTAGCATCATTTTATTTCAAGATGTGGGAATTATATTTGTTAGTATTTTATAATTTGTCTCGGTACATTACCCCAATGATATGTATGTATGAGTCGTATCGTTTCTTGACCATATCTTACGATACGTTTCGATACAATGGAAAACGACACTTATAAGATCATTTTTTAGTCTACCAAGTGAAACGAGGTCGCTTCACAAGAATATTGTTACTTTAAACGGTGGCATGTCATTGTTTCTCATACATTATTTTTTCTTTCTTGTTTTGATCTCAAACAAACTAAGCCCTCGATTGTCTTCTTCTCTTGTGACCCTCTTTTGTTTCTCCTAAATCTTATTCTTCTTCTTCTTCTTCAAAAAGACAAAAACTCTAGTTACATTTTGATCTCTGACGTGAAGACAAATGATTGTCTCTCTTTTGATCTCCAACGGAAACGCACACCGCACATCGTACAAAATGATAAGTGAGTTGAACTAATATTTATATCACTTGAGAGATCATATATTTACGTATTTAAAATTAAAGGTATTTAAAGGTGTATCATGTATGTGTGTGTGTGTGTGTGTGTGTGTATTGAGTATATCTTATGATATGCGATATACTATTTTTGTAAAATGATACACATTTCGATACACCTTTTGACAACCTTGGTGGTGCACAATTTTCCTAGTTTATGGAATTTATGTGCAGGAATTGAGCAAATGATCTTGGAGGTTAGAATTATGCCCTTGTTCATTTTAGTAGAGATTGCATGACACATATGTTTTGCTTATTGTGTTTTTTTTCAACTCATCCGTGAATTAAATTGACAGAAGGAAGGTTCTCGGGCAACCATTGGAGCCCCACGAAGGCTGCTGCAATTTGCGGTACGAGATGCAGTGACCACTTCAAGGCCATCCAATTTGCCTACAGAGCCTTCATTGAAACGGTTACGCTCTGTAGTTTCTACTTCAACTAGGGAATCACCCCTTGAAGACCGTCCTCAGAGGTTTCGGTCAGTTACGAGGGTGCCACATGCCATGGCAACTGCTATTAAAGCTGTTGCAGAAGCTGCCAAAGATGTTGTAAAAGTTAGATCGTCTGGTAATGTGTTTGATAGGCTTGGTCGTGGTATGGATGTGTCAGATGCCAACAGCCAACTAGCTGAATTTAGAGAAGCTGCTGTTGAAGTTGGGGAAGGTGAAGATTATAGCCAAATTATTCGGGAGGAGCCACGCTCAACTTATCTTCAGAGAAGTCACTATAGTAGCCAATATGTCAGCAATATTACTGGGATGGGAAGTGATACTGCGATGGCTTCTGATTCTGCATCTGATAATGAAGGATATGACAAAATGGAAGCTAGGGATTGTAGGGTTATGGGTGTTCCTCTGACTGGCATATCTGATGGAAACAAGGGCAAGGACTCGCTGATGGTGCAGTACAGTGTAACTGATAATGCTGATGAAAGTACTCGTACACTTCGGAGAGATCAGGATCCACCTGCTGCTGCGAATAATTCTCGCAAGATAGTGAATATTTCCGTCAATGTAAATACTTGGAAACCACCTCACTTTCAGCAGACAAGGGAGGTCACAGAGATGGATAATCGGAAATCTGTACAAGAGAGTGAGGCACCCGCTGGCAAATCTGGTGTGCAACTGGCGAAGGAGAATAGCAACCATGTGACGGCTGGTAATGGAAATGTAAGATATCTGTTTGAACTTGTTATGCATGTTTGCTTGTATATGTGTACAAGTGCTTCTGCGTGATTTCATGCGCTTTGTCACATTTATCTTTTTTGTTTATTCCCATCTTTTTGTTTATTTCCTGTGTTGGATAGGCAAAACCTCTGGCAGAAGCACAAAAGGTTCAAAAGACACTGCAATCCGCTCCTGGTGAGTTATGCTTTGGCCTGTCATGCATTTCTTTAATTGAAAATTTAGAAGCCCATTTGTTAGTTTGTTGTTGTCCATTTTTTTCAACATTTTTGGTTTCATCGTTGTTTATCTGGGTGTTGCATTGATTTACGAAGTCTTTTATGCTATGAACTCTTCATCAATATAAATTTTCATCGTTTGTTTCTCATGTTTTCTGGTAAAAATTTTACGCCTCATTCTTTTGTTTATCTGTAAAACATTTCTTGCATAGTAATGCTTTTGAGTGGTCTAGCGCAGGTCCATATTCTACGGGCCGTCCTACAGAAGATGCTGATTCTCGGACCATCTTTGTTAACAATGTAATGCTGATACTCCAATTGCCACTCTTACCGTAATGGATCTTGAAGCATATCTCTCTCCAGTCCTGACATTGTTTCTTGTATTTTACAGGTTCATTTTGCTGCCACCAAGGATAGCCTTTCTAGGCACTTCAACAAGTTTGGAGAAGTGCTGAAAGTGGTTATCATAACTGATGCAGCAACAGGGCAACCAAAAGGGTGAGCTTTTTCTGATGCATGTTTTCATTTGCTTTCTCAACCATGTATGTCTGAACCTTCAAGGTATTTAAACATGCTTATCATGCTGTTTAAACAGGTCAGCTTATATAGAGTTCTTGAGAAAAGAAGCAGCAGAGCATGCTTTGTCTCTGGATGGCACCTCCTTTATGTCGCGCATTCTCAAGGTATGTTACTGAAGGATAAATGGTGTTGAAATTTACTAGAAATGCTGGGATTCTGTTTTTGCATTGATTGCATGTTTCATGAAGGTCTTCTGTTATTTATTGGTTTGAATTTTCTTTGGTATTTTGCAATCTCCCTTACCTTGAATATGTGGCTTAATTTGTCCTAAACATTGAACTATGGACTGTCATTTTGGAAAAAAAAGGTATATTGATTTTATATTAGAATGGTCAGGCCATTTACGATTGAGATGTGATATTGGTGTGTTCTGGGGTCATGGGGAGCCAGTCAAGAATTTCGAGTTTATCATATTGAAGAGTGACTGTTACAAGAGCCATGGTCTTAAGGCACCATGACTTTACTGCTTGTGTGACAATTACACCCCCCAAAAAAATGGGATATTAAGCGAAATGTTCTCGAATCCATCTCTCTAAAAATTGTGGTAAGGCTGTCTACCACTTACTTTTTCTAGACTCCGCATTGGGTGGGCTCGTTGTGCACAGAGTACAACCTTTTTGTGAATGTTTATATAGCATTTGCAAGAGGATCTAGTTAAGCAGTTGTATATTCCAGGTCTTAGTCATCTCAATGGGAGAAGATGAAGCAAGTATATTTAGATTGGGGGGACGTCTCCGTATCCGTATCCGATACGTATTGGATATTGATACTCGTGGATGCGGATCATCACGTATCGGATAATTAATAAAATACTTATCATTGTTAGATACTTGTTGGATATACCTTGGATACATATATCTTCATGGTGGATACATTCACCTTAAACTTAGTGAAGTGGGTTATGTAGAAAACATGAATCATACAAATGGGGATTTCTTATTCCAAAGATGTTCATTTGGACATGCATCATATATGTTACAAGATTTGTCAGTTCTTTACAATTTGTTTGACATGAATAAATAGTTTTTATGGCTTATGTAAAATTCAATGAAGCTATTGCAATTTTGGAAACTAAATTCTAAATAAAAGTTGAGAACTCTCAAAGGGTGACACATGTTCTATTTTAGAATTATATAGAACAGTGGATTCAATATGCCATTAAGTAGTCCCTATATCAACAAAATAAATTGTTTTTAATTTGATATGTATTTTATCTCTTGATCCTTCACACCTTCATTTCACTGGTATTGTCGTTGCATCATATATATATATATATAGTTGTATCTAGCTGTACCCGTATCTTATTTTTCACAATTTTGCCGTATCGTCGTATCCGTATCGTACCCGTACCCACCCATCTCCGTTTTTCCTAGGAGACACCTTAGGGTAGCTTCTCATAAAGTGGTGTGAATCGTTTCTTTATTTGTACTGGTGGTACCCACTAGTACTCCTCTTGACCCGTTACCAGGTGTGTTTGAAACAATACTGACTGAGAATGCCTTATTTTTAGTTAAACCATAGGTTTCATGAGCCTTTTCTTTTAGATGAGTGTGTCTACTACTCAAGTTCCAAGTGAATCCATCACGTACACTTTAGTTCTTGTGACTATGTGGGTTTGAATTTGTGCAGTTATCTTTATGCATTATGCATTTGGTGTAAAATGGAACTCTATTGAATACTGGAACGGGGTGAGCTTTGAAATGTTTCAACGTCATGTGAAACATGTTATTTATCACAAAGCTGTCAGAAAGATAATGTTTTAACCTACTTTCAGACTTGGTTTTGAAACAAGTGAATTGTTAAAAATATCTTTTGGCTCATCTCTTCATTCTTGCAAGTCAGTTGAAGTGTCGGACAACAGCCTGATTTGTGCAACTGAATTTATGGTAGTGTGAGGGCAATGCATTCAATTAATTGCTCCTTGTTTACACAAAGTCTGTGCTTAGTCAATTGATGGGCTTGTGTTTTTCTGCAGATTGTGAGGAAAAGCTCAGCTCATCAAGAAGCTGCTTCTGTTATGATGTGGCCTCCCATTGCCCGGGGATCCCCATTTGCTGCTCCAAGATTTGCCAGGGTTCCTTTCCCAAGAGGTATCCCTAGTGTATATAGGGCACGCCTCCCGATCAAACCTGGGGCAAGGAGCTTGCAGTGGAAGCGTGATGCGCCGCCGTCCACACCAACTGAGAGCAGTGGTCTTGCAGCTAACAGCATTCCATCTCCCACTGCCCGTAGTCTCACTTATGTCCGACCGGAAGCTAAAGCATATGGGAATCCTGGTACTGCCTAGTTCATGAAATTATCTTATTCGGTGTTCCAATCACAACCCTGTGAAATTTTTATTCATTTTACGGAGAGCTTGGACCCAAAGAATCGTGTTTTATGACCATATTGATTAGAGGTGACATCAATCAGGAGAGAAGGCATGCAAGTGGATGATTGAAACGGGATTTTTGCTGTTCGTACTTTATTCTTCTTTAATTCTCGTTCTAAATAGTGTAGGGGGTGGGGGTGGTGGTAAAGGTACATGGAATGGAGGTAAAATGGCGTTGTGTTGGTTCTTTTCTGGGGTTGAGTATTCAGGACAATAGACTGGCAGTTGAAATCTGTGAATAGGGGATGTGGATTGCTCCTTTTTTGTTCAGTCTTTCCTATTGGTTTATTATTAGTAAAAAAATTGGAAAAAAAATAAGGAAAAAGGTGAAAAGAAAAAGACTACTATCATCTGCTATATGCATTTAAAATTGTTTATTTTTTCTGTCTGTGTGATATACTTATATTGCCCAATACTTGGTGAATTATGGATCCTTAGCTATTCTCTATTATACACTTTTAACAATCTGCTTCAATGCTGCATTATTAAGTGTATCAAAGGGAATTCAAATCTTATAGCTCTATGCTGAGAAGCGCTTACTACTTCTGTTTGTGGGTTGATTGGTCTATATTTTTTTTACCATTGTTGTAGAGATTTCAATTGAAAAGCATGGCAGAATATATTGTTAAGACGACAGTTTTACCGGTCCATGAATGAGAGAAGACAATGGTATTGCACAACAGATTTATTTTAATTTATGAAACTGTAGCTGTATAGAAGCAACAACGTTTTAAAGCAGCTGTTTCGAAAATGACTTGCTACAAAATTTTATTACTCTTGTTTATGTGTTTTTGAACCTTAAAATGACAGCATGTTTCGAAAATCAGATGCATACTATCCGTGTTTTTATGCCATTTAGAGGCTTTAAAAATAGAGATTTTTTGCACTTTATACCCTAAAAGATATTAAAATTTTCTTTATACATTTAAAAATTAAAATTTATACATTATACCCTTAATATATTAAAAATATTGCAACGTAACATTTCTTTTAGCTTTTGTTATTTTTTTTTTAATCAAAAATTAACTCATTAACACTAACAAAATAATTAATATAATAGTTACATTACAGCACTTTATATATATTGAGAGTGTAATGTAAAAAAATTAATTTGTTAGTGTACAAAATAAAAATCTTAAAATTTTTCAGGTATAAAGTACAATTCACCCTAAAAAACGACTTTCCTTTTGCGGTTCAAGATTCATTTTTTTTTCCTTTTGGCCCAATCTAGAACAAGTTTCCATGTATTCAATAATATGGAACCATTCGCCCTAACCGCCAGGCCAGACCCGTAGCAGGAGAAGGGGAAGAAGGGGGGAGTGGCAGCCACTTGTCGGGGAAAACGATTCAAGCAAATTCACAGTATTTTCGTGCCCCAATTCACAATACCGATTGCAGCAGAGGATCAAGAGTTCGAATTTTTGAACTGGGAATGAAAAATTCACTCTCTGTGGGAATATCTTTTGTGGAGGAATTAGATTGTTATCAGCAGTAGCACATATCCAACATACTCACCCGCATTCAATAATAGCCAAGCTGTTCATAATGCTCCTACAATACTAAATGGAATATGGGTCTCCCCTAGAGCAAACCATATATATAGTGCTTCTCACAAGATCATTCATGCCGCAGATAATAGAAACATGACATTGGTTATGAATGGTCTTATGAATTTCGATGTTGTGGTCTTCACCGAGTCTGCAAGTTACCAGCATATAACAAAGCAAGGAATGCAAAATATAAAGCATTACTCTCTCTATAACCGAACCTCGCTAGTTAATGCAACCTATGTCTAACTACAATCACTTCTGCGAGGAGGTCGTGTACAATCTGCTATCATTTTTTAAGCAAAATTTTTTCAAAAAAAAATATAATCATGTCAAGCTACAATCCTACAAAAGTGATTTTCGTGCATCTTAGTATATACTTAATACATTTATGTATGAATATCATTATACATGTGATTGTTAGAGGAAGGGACTGAGCCCAGACAAGGGAAAAAGTAAAAAAGAAGGAAAATGCAAAACAAACATTGCTCCAAAAAAGTGATTAGAAAAACGTTTCCAACTAATGAAATTGGTTAGGATAACAACAGTAACCATAAAGAAAATCTTCAATCATACGAGACATAGGAGATGCCAATTTGCAACGCAGAACAGAGCGCAATCCTTTTTCAAATCACGGTGAAAAGAAAGCATCACATACAGGACAATTAGCATTAAGATGAGCTGTGTCTTGCAGTTCATCACTGGAAACATTATTATTCAACTGAAACAATGAACACCATGCACCTAGTTTAACCATGTTTTGCTCCAACAAGTTTATGCAATTCTTGAAATGGGAGAACCATAAAAAGTTTAAATTTTGCAAACCCTTTTTAAGATCAAAGAAAAAAGCACCCAACTTCACTGTACAGCCTTTCATGAATAATATTCCAGTACTGAAGAGCTACTTTTCTATACTGATGGAGAGTTACTGCAAAATAAGCGTGAGATTACAACTTAATCTGCTGAGATTACGAGAAAATTAGATTATTTGGCATTGATCTTCACATTTCAGATTCGATCACGATATTTTATGATCGATTCCAAACTTTTTTGAATCTGAGTTCTTACCTGTTTTCACATTCATACTCAAACAAAAACAAACAACTTCTTGAAAATCCAACATAAAAACATGCTATCATTCCCAATGTAGCTGAAAACTGCCATGATCATCATCTAGACAATGCAACAAAAACCAAACCAATTGAGGCCCCAGCAATACACAAATACGAAACCCCACGCACCCTCAGGAAAAACATATTTAGATTCTTAACAACCTGAAGAGTAAGAGTCAAAATCTGCAACCTACCTTGTTCCTCCATCTTCCTAAAGAAGTTCATCGGTTTCAAAGACCGCCTCAACAGGAATGCCACCGAGAACGGAAACCCAAATGCCAAGAAGCTCTGAATCGACACCTCCAAGATCGGCGATGACCGAGTTGTGTATGAAATCCAAGCTCCCAAGCCAAGGTTAACCAGACCCAAAACAGCCAGTGCTTGGCTCAGACTATAGACCGTCTTCATCATTGTTTCGAGCACTTGGCGAGTCTCATTGGCTAGGGCTGAGACGTCGCGCTCCACAGTTGGTCCAGTAATGTCTTGGTGCTTAAATTCAGGGTTTTGACTAGGGTATTCATTTGGATTTTGGGGTTTTCCACCATTTTCAGAACCTGATGATGAATTCGAGGTTGATAAGAATCTGGACCAATTGGGTCTGGGGTTCTGAGGGTTTTTCTCAAGAAAATGTGGTGGATTATTGAGTTTGGGACTCGAACAAGTGTCTGATCTGATGGAAATATGATTGAAAACAAAGGGTTTATAGTATGGTGACGATTGGGGGTTGAAAAAGGTGGAATTGGAAGTGTTGAGACTAGGGTTTGAAGGGTTTTGTGATGGGGAAGTGGGATTGGAGTATTGCGTGAAGATGGGTGAGGGACCGGGATTAGAGTTCAGGTGGTGAGACTTTTGGGAATTGAGGCACATGAAGGTTGAGGAGACAGAATAAGAAGAGAGAGAAGATCTGAGAAGCTTGGAGGTCAGTCTGCGGGTGACTGTGGCAGCCATTTTTGGTCTCAATTTGAGGAGAGAGAAGAAAAAGTAGTTGAATGGAACGAGCAAGAGGTCTACAGAGGTTTATTAAGCCTTCCCCTCCTGGAATGATGCTGGCTATTGACAAAGTTACATTCTTTGCGTTCAAAACATCTTCACCAGAAATTCAGAAATAGAGTCAAGACATTTGATTTTGCATAAAAATTGATATTCATTATAAGATTTTAAAAAATTTCTACATAATATACAGTTCAAATTGTTAATTTTTTTTTGCATTCATAATTTAAAAATTGAGATTCATTATTACTAAATTCAAGTGTTATATAATTTGATTTTGTTGTCTTCTTTGCCGTACAAGACATTCGAAATATTTTAGTTGTGTGTCTATAAAATAGATCATATTATTATGCGATAACTGGAAAATAGATTTCAGAATTTTGATGTTTTGATGTTCTTGATTGGAGTTGACTTTCCTAATTCAACTGCTAACGGTGTGTTATTACTAGAAATTTTATAAAATTTTAATTTGTGGATCGTATTTTCACTATAATCTTTCAAAAATTGATGTTACTGTGAAAACCCTATTGTCTTTTATTTTGTAAAAGTTGATGTTTTACTGAGCACAAATTTTTAATGTTACTATGAAAATTAAATGTGTATATTACATAATATACGACTAAAGGTTTGCAATTGGTATTGTAAGTAAAAATTGGAGTTGAGTTTGTGTTACTATTAAAAATTGTGGAATTCTTCATTTTGGGTATTGAATATTTTAAGAAAAACAATTTCATTCGTATCACTATAATAACATTCGTGCCACTATAGTAAAATTAGTATCACTATAATAACAGTAATGTTAAAAAAATTTTGAATTGTTAAAAAATTTTGTAATCTGATGTTGATTTAATAGATCAACAATTTATTCGTACATCAAGCTACCATATATAATTATCAGAATATATAATTTTTATATAAATTTTTGTTAATTATTATAATATTTAATAAACGATTTTCGTATATAACTCAATCAAGAATTTTCATATATACCTCAACGATCTAACTCATATAAATGAGACGATAAGTCAAACGTCAGTTATTGTTTTTCCAAATGGTAGGGGTACAATAGTAAGCTTGATAAAAAATTGGACTTAAAATCAAATAAGTTTCCTTACCAAACTTATCTCCAAATAAGTCTATATAGAGAGACCGACCTCTAAATTTCCTTAAAAATTTGTGTTTTTTTAAATTAATTTTTTTTTATATTCATTCAACATAAAAGAATTCAATTTTTTTATTTTCATTTAAAATTGTTAGTGTTTTTTAATTTTAGTTTGGATTCTTCAAATAGAAATTGCCAAAATAAAAAAATTGAAAACTAACCATAAAAAACCGGGTCAAAACCTTGAAGGTGAACATCAATGTACGGAGAACAGTTACACTAAATCAAACTACCGAACAGTTACAAGAAAATAAAATCTCTTCTTCTCTCCTTTCTTTTAAAAAAAACCCCATTTTGATCTACAATAAGGTTAGATAAAAACGATTATTTTTTAATACGATTTTTAGAATCTGTTTATAAATTCATTCGAATCTCAAAAATGTTGAAGACAAAGGGACACTCAGTTCAATGCTTTTTTTTGCCAGCTTGATTATTTATTGGGGCCGAAATTGTCATTTGGCATCTAAATGGGATTTGATCTTATTTCCTTTTAATGAATGACATTTTGGTCGTTTTCTTAAAAAATATACTTTTACCCATATAACTTTCCCTATTATAGTTTAACTCAATTAAATCAAAATTTTTATACCGATTTCTATTTTACCCATTATAAATTGGTCGCACCGTGTGACACGATTTACACCTGCTAATGTAACATATGCATCAGTTGACATTAAAAACCATAGACCTCCCATATAAAAATTACATTGTAGATGACAAGCAAACAATAATTTACTATGCCCAAAAGGTTGATAATTATAAAATAACATGAATAAAATTATGTTCAAGACCCACTCTTCAGGGCGGTCCAACTTTATAGCTGCTAAAGTCTGGGTTTTAGGCTTCATAATTTTAGTTATATAATTAACCCATATCAAAATTTTAAACCCTATCACGGGGCTCCTATAAAAAATTTAATTTCAATAATTTTAGTCCATGATTCAATCTAAAAAAAATACAAAAAATATAATATTCAAAAGTCAATTAATATTTATCTACACACATTTATATTCTCTTTCTCTCTCTGATAAAAAATAAAGGAAAAATTAAAACATCTCTCTCGACAACATTGACCCTCCCTCTCATTCTCTGTTAATTGTAACACATTCTCCCTCTCTCTCACACACATATGGAAATTTTAAAATAAATTAATTTTAAAAAAAAATTTGATAGTAAAAATAAAAAGACCTCTTTCAATCTTATCGTTCTAGATCTTAAATTATCTTAAGGTGCCTTAGCACCTTGAGACAATATGTTTTGAAACTATGTATATTGAACAATTATTTTATTGCATTGCATCAAATTGATACAAATGAGTCTCTAACATAAAAAATCAAGAAAGAGAACAAACCAAAAAAAAGCATAGAAAGATTGGACATAATTCCATGCAGACACCCACTAACACTTATTTATTTCCCTCTTCTACATTCTCACTCTTCCACCATCTTCTTATCTGTAAGTTCAGTGCTTGTACAGAGCGAAGAAGGATAAGATAGAGGCCCCAACCAAAGACACGGCTGCGGACATGGTGGCGGCATCACTGGACTGTGTGGGAGCCGGGCTTGGAGCGTCAGCAGCCATTGCCGCGCTCATGGAGGCAGCGGCGACGACGAGGGCTGCACATGTGATCTTCTTCATTTCCATGGCGAACGAAGGCGGTGATCGGCAAATAAACTCAAGAAACGAGAGATTAATTACCGAATCCTGCCTTTGTGTGTGTGCAGCCTTGAGGAGGGAGGGGTGGTGGTGGGAGGGTATTTAAAGGGGTGGAATGTGCTATTTTTGGAATTTTGAAATTTAATGTTTTTATTATCTGGGAAAAAAATTACTATATTTAGCTTGAAAGATTTAGATTAGTGGTTACTATTCACTCGTATGTTAGAGAGCGATTGAGTTTGTGAGGACAGAGAGGATTCAACTTCCTGTTTTGAGCAGGTTTTTTGTTAGGATTGTTTAGGTTTTTCTTGACTTTTTCTAATGTTTTTACATTTAAACGAATATTTTATTAAATTCAATGTATCTGTATTCGATACACATCAAACGTGCATCTAATGATAAATAAAATATATAAATACTTTAGGAATACTTCTATATACAGATAAGTATCACAAATATATATAATTTTTAATTTTAATCTTTATCCCTTTCTTTTGATTTCATATATAATGGAATACATCAATAAAAAATCATATGACTAAATCATATTTCATTTTTAATTTCATCTTTTTTCTTCTATTATTAAATTGAAATTATTTCACCATTACCATTCAAATTGCTAAATTTTTGCATGAATTTTTAAAATTTTATTTTGTGTTACACATTTTGGATTAATACGGTTCACGATACTATTTTGAATACTTAAGGGTGTAATGCATTTAAATCAATAGTTGAGGAGGGGGAAAGTAAAACCAAGATCACAATTTAAGGATGTAAAATATAACTTCAATAACTTGAGGACCATGTAAAGTGAAAAACAAGAATATAATTTTTGGGTTGAAGCATAATTTTTCAAATTAAGAAGGCTAATTTTAGAGCTATAAAGAATAATTCTAGAATTTTTTTTTTTTTTTGGGGGGTGGGGGGGATGACCAAGGCTTGGCTATGTCTCTAGACCAGGTTATGCGCACATTGCCTAAATTCTTTCTCGGTCCAATTAAAGATATATTATTTATACCGGGACTAAGAAATTTATGAAGGATGAATTCGTGATCATTGATAATGCACAAAGGTGGATTTATGCACCACCTATCAAGTCAATTAATGTAGTAAATAAATAAGGAGAGAGTCAACACAAGTAAAACATAATTTAAGTGGTTCGATTAAGGTGACCTACTCCACTATAAAGGGCTAGGATGACTTGAGTATTTTATTACTTCAAAGAGTGTTGGGTGCTCAAGTGTGAGTAATAGGTAAGATACAAGATGTGAGAGATGCCCCCATGCATAGGAGGGGCTTACAATTTATAGGCTATTCCTAACAGATGGAGACACTTTATCAGTAATAGAAAGGTTGATTTGGTGGAGTTGACGTTATCCACGCAACAGGTGAGACAGTTGCTAAGAGCGCATGGAGATCTCCTCAAGACCAGGTCCTAGGATGGCGTGGTAGACCTCTTCACTCTAGGATGACGCGAATGAGGCTCTAGGATGGTGTTACTAACTCTTTTACTCTAGGATGGCGTGACTGTCGAGGCTTTAGTGAGCCGGACTTGATCTGGGTCTCTTTTGGGCTGGATCCACTGTTTGAGTTGGGCCTTTTCTGGGTCAGGCCCATTACTTGAGTTGGGCCTTGGCAGGGTCGGGCTCATCATTTGCCCCCATGTGTCGAGTTTAATAAGATTTGGAGGAGTGGGCATTAGTTGAGCTTGAATTCTAGTTGATGAAGACTTTTCTTGACTGATGACATTTTCCTTTTTAATATGGCTTGTCCTTCTAATCATCCCCTTTTGATTAGGAAATCTCTATCCTAACCTATCACTTGAGAGAGAAATCTTTGAAGAGATTTCAAGTAGTTGTGGCAAGCAGACAAAAGCAGGTTGGGCTATCCCTAAGCAGGGTGGTGGGAGATAGAAGGAGGGTGGCGCAGTAGGGATAAGAGAATTGTGAGAGGCTACCAGCATTGGTGAGGAGGTAGGTAGCCTGCACCTACGTAATGAGCGATAGGTAGATGTCGATGAAAAGGTAGGCAACTAGGGTAATGGGCACAGGTTGGAGCCAGGGTGACAGCGATAGTTGGTGCCACAGGCACAGGCGTGGTGGATGCGGGCACTTTTGGCACGGGTGGGCGCTGCTAGCACGGGCAGACACAAATGCCGCAAGCGAGGTAGGTGCATATATTGTTAGGGTGTGTGCCGCAGGCACAACGAGCGCTGATCTGGGTGGCGTGTACGAGGGTGCTTGGGGTAATAGGCGTTGGGGCTATACAGGCACCAAAGCGGCGACGACAGTGACGGGCGCTGTGGTGGAGGGCACAAGCACCGGGTCTAGCACGGGCATCGAGGTAGTGACAGAGGGTGCAGACAGGGCAAATGGGAGGGCACATGAGGGGCTGTTAGAAGTTGGGCACCAAGAAGGGGCTCCAGAAGCTGGGTGCTTGATTGTAGGCGACTTGAGTTCCAAGGGCGTGCCTGGAGAAGATAAAAACAATGTTACTCTAGCATCAAAATATTCAACATGATTATTTGATGAGAGAGGTAGATACATCGGGCTTTAGAGAAATAACCGCTAAGCTGTGGGTAGGTTGCTTGCGTGAGAGTAGAGGGAGAGTTTGAGGGTTGGTTATGGGAGAGTTGCACCTCTTAAGACCGAACTTTTGGCGACTCGCGAAAGAGCCGCTAACCTGGAGGTAGGTTGACTGTGAGGCTGCCCGCACTAGAGCAGAGACAGAGTTTGAGGGTTATTTATGAAAGAGTTGCACCTCTTAAGACCGATCTTTAGGCAACCCACGAAAAAACTGTTAAGCTGGAGGTAGGCTGACTGTAAGGTTACCCGCATGAGAACAGAGGCAGAGTTTGAGGGTTGCCCGTGAGGGAGTTGCACCTCTTGAGACCGAGCTTTTGGCGACCCGCGAGAGAACCGTTAAGTTTGAGGTAGGCTGACTGTGAGGCTACCCGCATGAGAGCAAAAAAAGAGTTTGGCCAAGCTTCTGCAAGAAAGTTGCTAAGCTGGAGACTATGGTTGCTTACGTGAGAGTAGAGTCAAAGTGAGACTAAGCTTTTGGCGACTCTCGAAAGTGCCGCTAAGCTGGAGATTCAAGCTGCTTGCACGAGAGCATAGACAGAGTTAGGTTGAGCTTATGGCGACTTAGAAGCCTCTTTCTCAAGAGACGGGGAAGAGGAAAGAGACGACAATAAGGGTAGCCAGAGGGCGCCAGCGACATGAGACGCACGCTGGTGAGGGCAGTGAAGAGTTACGGAGGAGGAGCAAAACCAATAGGCGTGGGCATCAGGAACGAGAGGTACGAGTGCTTGAGGAAAGGGGTCCAGATGAGAGGAGGTAGGCGCTAGGGGGAACTACTTAAAGAGTTGGGTACGCGCGATGCAATAGGCAGTGCAGGTGCAGGCGCAACCACTGTACGTATGCATGTGCAAGCGCACAAATGCAGACACATGGGTGCAGGTGTACGTGTGCATGCGTTGGACACGTGGGCAGTGGAGTTGGGCTCCACAGATGAGGGTGCTGGGCACCACGAGCGTAGGTGCCGTGGGTGTTGGGACGCTAGGCATTGGTTTTTGGCACTTGGCTGGGCGTTGGCGTTGTGCACCTAGCTGGTGGTTGGTAGTTTCTATTTTTTGCATTCCCCTCTACAGGAGGACTCAACTCGTCTGACTTTGATGACATTCTCAACGTTCATGTATATTTGGACTTTTGATAATAATTCTAGCATGTTCTTTGGATGGCGCTTTAAAACTAAAAATATAAGACTAAATAAGCACAACCCTTTTGTGAAGGCTGCCATGACGACTTTGTCTTGGAGGACTTTCTCGTTAAAATGAGTGAGGTAACTCATTAGGCTTTCATCCCGATTTTGCTTGATGTTGAGCAGGTGAGTGGTAGGTTTCTGGTGTCGGTGTCCCCTAATGAAGTGTAAGACAAAAAACTTGCTTAGTTCAGCGAAAGATTTAATCAGTCTGGGTATAAGCTTGGCAAACCATTGGTGACCAGATCCCTTGAGAGTGGTAAGGAAAGCCCTGCACATGATCTTGTCTGATATGTTGTAAAGTGCATCAAGGATTTGTAGGTGTTAAGGTAGTCCAGTGGATCTTTGAAGCCATTAAAAACTTCCACGATTGGCATCTTGAACTTTGGAGTGAGAGGGTAGTTGGCCACATTAGCTACGAATGGAGTGTCAGTGCGCCTCACAAGGTAGTCGACTGTTTCCGATGACCGCGCCTTAATTGCATTGACGACGTCGCCTAACTAATTTTGCACCTTCTTGATTTTTTCGTTCCATTGGTTAGGAACACCATCTGAAGGACCATTGTAGTGAATTTTATGGTCCATGTATTGTTTTTCTCCCTTGTCTTCGTGCATAGTAGGGTCACCAGCGCAGGAGGACGGAGCCGGCACATGAGGAGGAGCCTGGGCGTTGAGGAGGGATGTCCTGGGGCTGCAAGGGGGTGCCCTGGTGCTGGGTGCCTTGGCGTTGGGAGTGGATTGCCTATGGTGCTTCTCCTCTTTGGGGTTGATGCATAACTCTTTGAGGGTGTCCGACAAGTATCAACCAGAGGATCTGCTGATTTTGGTTTATCAACAGCTGCTTTGTCTTCAGTAGTTGTTATCTGGCTACGGGATTTGCTGCAACGATGGGGTTTACTGGTGGAGACAGGACCTCATCGCGATGTGGTGGATCATTCTCTTCCGTTTGTTGATTCATGGACCTAATTGTAATAGCCATAAAATGGAAAGAAAATAGGAAATGATAGAAAGACAGTAGAAAACTTAGTCGTTTCTCACAGACAGCGGCAAACTGATGATGCACAAAAGTAGATTTATGCATCACCTGTCAAGTAATTAATGTAGTAAATAAATAAGGAGAGAGTCAACATAACCAAAACACAATTTAAGTGATTCGATTAAAGTGACTTACTCCACTACAAAGGGTTAGGATGACTTGAGTGTTTTATTGCTTCAAAAAGTGTTGAGTGCTCAAGTGTGAATAATAGACGAGATACAAGATGTGAGAGATGCCCCAATGGATAGGCAGGACTTACAATTTATAGGCACTTCATAACAGATTGAAGCACCTTATTAGTAACAAAAAGACTAATTTGGTGGAGTGGACGTTATCCTCGTAATAGGAGAGGCAGTTGCTGATAGTGCGTGGGGATCTTCTCAAGATAAGGTCCCAAGATAGCGTGGCAGACCTCCTCACTCTAGGATGGCGTGGATAAGGCTCTAGGATGGCGTCGCTGACTCCTTCACTCTAGGATAACGTGGCTGAGGGGTTTTGGTGAGCCTGAATTGATTTGAGTCTCTTTTGGGCCGGATCCACTGTCCAAGTTAGGCTTTGTCTGGGTCGGGCCCACTATTCGTTTTTGGCCTTGACAAGGTTGGGCCCCAAGTTGGGCCTTTGGTAGGTCCCATCAATCATGACTTGTCCTTAAGAGAATTGCTAAGTTTCGAATTTAAGATATTTAAGTTTACAGCTCATCCTTATCTTCATTAGATTAACTATCGGGGTTATAACCTGTTTATTGAGTCAATCGTAATGAGTCCTTGACAGATTATCAATCAAGTCAGTCCCTAATGGGTGTTTTTAATTTTTGATTTTTTTTAGAAGGACATAGTTTTATTTATTTTTAAGGTTTTGTTAGGCCAAAGGACCGGGTCTTGGGCCATTTTGCCGCGTGTAACATATGCAAATATTACCTTTAAAACCATAGCCTCTCATATAAAAATTACATCGTAGATGACAAGAAAACAATAAATACTATGCAAATATGGCTGATAATTATGAAATAACAAGAATAAAATCAGGTTCATCAAGACCCATCCTGAGATAATATGTTTTGAAACTATGTATTGAACAATTCTTTTATTGCATTGTATCCAATTGATACAAATGAGTCTGTTACATGCAAAACATAAGAAAGAGAACAAACCAAAAAAACATAGAAAGATGGGACGTAATTTCAAGCACACAATCACAAACACATTCTTATTTCCCTCTTTTACTTTCTCTCTCTTCCACCATCTTCCTCTCTTTAAGTTTAGTGCATGAAGAGAGCGAAGAATGACAAGATAGAGGCCCCAACCAACGACACGGCGGCTGGCATGGTGGCGGCGTTACTGGACTGTGCAGGAGCCTGGCTTGGAGCGTCAGCAGCCATTGCCGCATTTATGGAGGCGGCGGCGACGACGAGGGCTGCACATGCGACCTTCTTCATTTCCATGGCGAACGAAGGTGGTGATCGGCAACTAAACTCAAGAAAGGAGAGAGTAGTTACCGAATCTTGCCTTTGTGTGTGTGCATCCTTGAGGAGGGAGGGGGGGTGTGAGGGTATTTTATAGGGTGGTATGTGCTATTTTTGGAATTTTGGAATCTTATGTTTTTATTATTCGAAAAAAGAAAACTACTATTTTTAGTTTGAAAGATTTAGATTAGTTACTTTTGTATGTTAGAGAGCGGTTGAGTTTGTGAGGGCAGACGGGATTTAACCTCTTGTTTTGAGCGGGTCTTGTGGTAGGATTGTTAGGTTTTTTTTGGCCTTTTCTAAAGTTTTGGTCTAATACGAAATAGAGAAACGAGGGGAGTTGAACCTTTAATCTTAAGGTGTGTTTGATTCGTTTTTTTGATTCATGGTTTTTGTTTTATAATTATAATAATAATGCATTTGAAATGTATTTTTGTTTTTTTAAGATAAGTTGGTGTGAAAACAAGCCTCAAAACTATAAACAAAAAAAAAGATGTTTTAAAAAATATCCAAAACTGAAAACACGCACGTGCAGCCCCCTCGGTTAATGAGGTTCCTCGTTCAAATCCCATTAGCTACAAAATAAGGATTTTTTTGTGCCGACTATAAAAATCATTTTTCCTCTTCATTTCTTCTTTTCCGTCATTTTCCCTTAACTCGTCTCTCGTGTGTGTGTTTCTCTCTCTCACACAAATCCACTGGGTCTGACGAAGACGAAGCTCCTCATCTTAGATGAACACGACATCATCTCAGGCGAAGAAGAACACAAAATCGACTGTGTCCACAGGGCTCGCTCGATGTAAATGTGGCCCTATGCAAAACCTTTAAATGGGCCCTTTTAAAATTTATATAAATATATTATATAATTAATACTTTATTTAAAAATCATTCTTCTCACTTTTTGAGCCACAAATTTTGTGATTAAGTTTTTACATTTAAATTTTGATAATATATTGTTTTCAAAGGATAATAGGGTTAATTCATTCAATCTTTTTTGTGACATAGAGATCGTAAGTAAGATTTTTTAAGTTTTAATTTTGAAAAAAAGATTTCAGTAGAGAGAGATGCCTACCTACAATTTTTTAATGTGTGTGTGTGTGTGAGAGAGAGATTTTTAGAGAGTTTACTAAGTTTGTTTGATTAGCAAGAAAAAAATGATGAAANTGTGTGTGTGTTTCTCTCTCTCACACAAATCCACTGGGTCTGACGAAGACGAAGCTCCTCATCTTAGATGAACACGACATCATCTCAGGCGAAGAAGAACACAAAATCGACTGTGTCCACAGGGCTAGCTCGATGTAATTGTGGCCCTATGCAAAAGCTTTAAATGGGCCCTTTTAAAATTTATATAAATATATTATATAATTAATATTTTATTTAAAAATCATTCTTCTCACTTTTTGAGCCACAAATTTTGTGATTAAGTTTTTACATTTAAATTTTGATAATATATTGTTTTCAAAGGATAATAGGGTTAATTCATTCAATCTTTTTTGTGACATAGAGATCGTAAGTAAGATTTTTTAAGTTTTAATTTTGAAAAAAAGATTTCAGTAGAGAGAGATGCCTACCTACAATTTTTTAATGTGTGTGTGTGTGTGAGAGAGAGATTTTTAGAGAGTTTACTAAGTTTGTTTGATTAGCAAGAAAAAAATGATGAAAAATAAAAGAGATAAAAANCTGACGAAGACGAAGCTCCTCATCTTAGATGAACACGACATCATCTCAGGCGAAGAAGAACACAAAATCGACTGTGTCCACAGGGCTAGCTCGATGTAATTGTGGCCCTATGCAAAAGCTTTAAATGGGCCCTTTTAAAATTTATATAAATATATTATATAATTAATATTTTATTTAAAAATCATTCTTCTCACTTTTTGAGCCACAAATTTTGTGATTAAGTTTTTACATTTAAATTTTGATAATATATTGTTTTCAAAGGATAATAGGGTTAATTCATTCAATCTTTTTTGTGACATAGAGATCGTAAGTAAGATTTTTTAAGTTTTAATTTTGAAAAAAAGATTACAGTAGAGAGAGATGCCTACCTACAATTTTTTAATGTGTGTGTGTGTGAGAGAGAGAGAGATTCNTTTTAATGTGTGTGTGTGTGTGAGAGAGAGATTTTTAGAGAGTTTACTAAGTTTGTTTGATTAGCAAGAAAAAAATGATGAAAAATAAAAGAGATAAAAAGTGAAGTAAAAGAAAAGAAAGTGAAAAAAAATATATTTTCACGCATGCATTTGGTTAGCATGAAAAATTTCTAACAAAATTTTAAAATAATTTTATTCCATTGTTTGAAATAAATGAAAGNAAGTGAAGTAAAAGAAAAGAAAGTGAAAAAAAATATATTTTCACGCATGCATTTGGTAAGCATGAAAAACTTCTAACAAAATTTTAAAATAATTTTATTCCATTGTTTGAAATAAATGAAAATTACAATTAATTTTTTCTAATTGTCTAAATTATCCCTAATTATTTTAACTTGATCTAAAGAATAATTTTTTTTTATTATTCAAATTTTTAAAAAAATTGGCTCATAATTTAACTCAGAGATAAGAAACGACTCAAACCCTGATCTCTAGACCAAATTATATGATTAGTCTAATTTGTACAAGTTTTTTAAAATTAATAACTAATTGCATATTTTTTTAAAAATAAGAGTACAATGAGAAGTTTCGTCTTTGAACACAACTTTCTTACTTTTTCTTGTATTTTTTGCAAGAAAAAAGTTAGTTAAATGTGAGAAAATCTAAATATGAAAGAAAATTATTTTTTTTATCATTTTCTATTTCATGCTAAATAAATACATGTAAAATTTTAAAATTTTATTNTGATTAGTCTAATTTGTACAAGTTTTTTAAAATTAATAACTAATTGCATATTTTTTTTAAAATAAGAATACAATGAGAAGTTTCGTCTTTGAACACAACTTTCTTACTTTTTATTGTATTTTTTGCAAGAAAAAAGTTAGTTAAATGTGAGAAAATCTAAATATGAAAGAAAATAATTTTTTTATCATTTTCTATTTCATGCTAAATAAATACATGTAAAATTTTAAAATTTTCTTTTTCATATATTTTCTAGTATTATTTTGCTAAATGCTAAAAGAAGTAAAATATTGATTAAAAGGAGAAAAATGATTGATTTTTTATTTTAGTTTGAACTTTTTTTGTTTTACTTGGACTTTTATTATAACTAGCAATGCACGATATGCGTTACACGTAAGCAAATTTAAATAATATTTTTTTGTCAAAAACTTGAATTATATGAGTAATTAAATTAAAGAATAAATTAAGTGTCGAATAATTAATTCATATTTTAATTATTATTAAAATTAATTATTAATTTTATTATAAATTTTTGAATAACTAATTTTTCATTTATTTAGATTTCTCTCTAATCCCTTTAGTCATTTGTCTATCTAATCAGATTATAGAATTATTAATTTTGCTTTTGTTAAATAAATTGATTAGATCGTTTATAATATTATTATATTATTTTATACTAAAAAATAAAATATAATATATATTTGACCGTGTAATTAAAACTGGTAGTTACACGTGCATAATAATTTAACATATATAGGACTTTACTTTTTTATATACATATAAAAAATTGTATATATCTGTACTACTAATAAATGAGTTCAAAAGAATTTAGAAATCCTTATAAAACAGTCCAAAATAAGTTAAAATTCAAATAAGAATAAAAAATAAAAATTAGATAAAAGTATATAGGTGAGTATAATTGACTTTAGTATAATAATTAAGGATAAAATAGAAAATTAAAAATTTTTCACATATGCTAATATTTATGAGTAGTATAGATATAAATATATATTTAATTGGGTTTATTAAAAAAATTTTGGGTGTCATATGTAATATTAATCCTCAAAGACTATAACATTATTTAGGGCACCTTTTTTTTTGGGCCTTCTGCAAATATTGAAGTTGCCTACCTACTGGGCTAGCCATGTGTGTTCGTTCGACATCATCTCTCTTTATCAACCATAGATTTATATATATTTATATATTAGATCTGCATATATGTTGTTTTATATTTATAGATCTATATGTGTGTGTCATTGCGTCTATGTGTGTGTGTCCCAGCAAAATTACATTTCCAATTGAATTTTGAGGTGAAAGTATTTGAGATTAAAATATTAAGTAAAACAACCACAATAAAATATATAATACCAAACATATTTTTATCTTTATTTTTAAACATAAATAACTATCAAACATGTTTTTTATTTTTTATTTTTTTGAAAAATACAAAAACAAAAATATTATCAAACGCACGTTAAAATCTAACAAGGGGGACAGGTAAAGCTGCTAATAAATGTTGAGTTTGTAGCTTTTTCTTTCAGTTTTTGTTTTATATTTTCAATATTTTCCTTAAATAGGTGCATTCATAAGGTGAAAATACAAAATCTATGGAAAGTGTTAGCTATCTCAATTTTTTGGCGCATTATTGATAAGGACATCCATGGAAGTTGGGTTTCTATCGTAACGTTACATAGGAACATGAGTTTTGTACAAGTGTCACAAATAAATTTGATATGGGTAAAGGTAAAACCTAAATAGTAATATAAATTTTGTGCACGATTCACATATAAATTTGACGTGGGTAGAGGTAAAAGTCTAAATAGAAGTCTGAGTTTTGTACACATGCCACCAGCGAATTTCTGCTAAACATTTAATGAATACCATACAGTTTTTCAAACATTGGTGTGTCCCATCGAGGTGGATAGCAAAACCTTCTCTCCCTTCACTCATTTACTAGGAGTCTGCATTGACAATATCCGTGTATAGATTGGCAGCAAGGAGAAAGATAAGAAGAGATTGAAATCAATAAATCTAGATAGTTAGAAGAGTCGTGAGTAGAGTAACCAATTTTAACATAGTTTTTAATACGCTTGATAAAATCAAACACGACTTAATTGCTCAACTAATAATATTAACTGATTAGAATAATAAATGGGTGGACCTACCTATATCATAAATGAGTCATGTTTTACTAGAGTACCTTAGTCCCTTTTTTTTTAATTTTTTTTTTTTTAAAGAAAGGAGAATTTATTGAATGAAACCAAAGTATTACAAGAAAAGAGGGAAAACCCTTATTACATCAAAATTTGGCTTTAATCCTTCAAAATGCTCCAGCCAGGCATTCTGCTCTTCACCGCACTTCAATTTAATCCATTTCATCAAAAACAATCCTTTTAGGTAGCTGCATTTCATCCTGCCTTAGCACCCTCTTCACAGTCGCAGGCAGTTTCTACCTTCAGTGCTCATATGTGCTAGGAGTGAAGAGGGAACTGAAGATTTAACATAAAATTTTCCTAGCCAACTTCAATGGGACCCTACAAGGCAGTTGATTTACGTTACTAAGGGATGTCGATATAAGTTTTCATTCTCGTTGAACAAGAACTATGTGATTTGTTGGAACTATTTGGTAATGCGAGCTGTACATTGGAATTCCAGGGGATGGGGAGGGAAACAAACTTCATTAAAATCACTGAAGTCTATGGACATACATCAGTGAGCAAGTGTCTGTGTATGTGAGATGACTGACCTGTGAGGAGCAGTTGGCGTTGACGAACAGCAGAGGAGGCAAAGCTGAGAGCAATGGAGGTGGCTGGCTGAAAGAGGAAGGAAACTAACTTAGGGCTTTTGACTTGGGAGTATATATATATATATATTTTACTGGTACAGCGGGGCGAGGTGGGGCGGGATAAGGGTAAGTGTATCATCGCTTTCATTTTCGCACGGGTTTATACAGGTATCTCGCCTTCATTTTCGCACGAGTTTATACAGGTATCTTTGTATACGTCTACCGTCCAATACGTATAGTCCAGCTCTGATCCAAACAGAACAAATTTGGATGAATATCTATTTTTTTTTGGTCCATTGTCATCCCAAGCACAACTCCTCCCATTAATTTCTTAACACCGCTCCCCCACCTGCCTCACCTGGATTCTCTTTAATTTGCAGCCCCATCATTGTTCAGTTTCAGAAAACCAGTAGAAGGATAGATCCATCTAACCCATACAGATCTCCTAGGGCGGCCCACAAATTAGGGCATAAAGTGAGAAAATATTTTACAAAAATTTACGGTATAATTTATTTTTAAAGTTTTAGTAGTTTTAGGATCGAGCAGGATCAAACAATAAATTGAGTGAAATTGTGAAGTCAAGATCTTACAAATGAATAAATTGAATAAAATTTTAAAGAAATNACCTACAAGGCAGTTGATTTACGTTACTAAGGGATGTCGATATAAGTTTTCATTCTCGTTGAACAAGAACTATGTGATTTGTTGGAACTATTTGGTAATGCGAGCTGTACATTGGAATTCCAGGGGATGGGGAGGGAAACAAACTTCATTAAAATCACTGAAGTCTATGGACATACATCAGTGAGCAAGTGTCTGTGTATGTGAGATGACTGACCTGTGAGGAGCAGTTGGCGTTGACGAACAGCAGAGGAGGCAAAGCTGAGAGCAATGGAGGTGGCTGGCTGAAAGAGGAAACTAACTTAGGGCTTTTGACTTGGGAGTATATATATATATATTTTACTGGTACAGCGGGGGCGAGGTGGGGCGGGATAAGGGTAAGTTTATCATCGCCTTCATTTTCGCACGGGTTTATATAGGTAACTCGCCTTCATTTTCGCACGGATTTATACAGGTATCTCGCCTTCATTTTCGCACGAGTTTATACAGGTATCTTTGTATACGTCTACCGTCCAATACGTATAGTCCAGCTCTGATCCAAACAGAACAAATTTGGATGAATATCTATTTTTTTTTGGTCCATTGTCATCCCAAGCACAACTCCTCCCATTAATTTCTTAACACCGCTCCCCCACCTGCCTCGCCTGGATTCTCTTTAATTTGCAGCCCCATCATTGTTCAGTTTCAGAAAACCAGTAGAAGGATAGATCCATCTAACCCGTACAGATCTCCTAGGGCGGCCCACAAATTAGGGCATAAAGTGAGAAAATATTTTACAAAAATTTACGGTATAATTTATTTTTAAAGTTTTAGTAGTTTTAGGATCGAGCAGGATCAAACAATAAATTGAGTGAAATTGTGAAGTCAAGATCTTACAAATGAATAAATTGAATAAAATTTTAAAGAAATAACAATATAACTAAAGATACGGACAAAAAATTATATCAAGACAATGAGATTGGAAGGGAGAGAAAGAGTTGGAGAGAAGCAGTGAGAGTGGAGGAAAAATTAATGAAAAAAATTTGAGAGAAATTGTTACTTTTAAAGCTGGAAGTCATTAATTTTAGATTTTTTTTAGAATACTTTATTATATTTTAGGACTTTTTATAAAGATTTACATAGACTTGTGAAAATATTATTACATTTTAGATAAACTTGTAAAATAAATTTGACCTTTAACTTAGTCCTTTCAAAAGGGTCACAGAACTTGATGGTAAGCAAAGGGCTAAAAATTAAATTGGATCTCTAAATTTTTTAGGCTCTAAGCAACTATTTTAATGGTCGCCTAGAGCCGGCTCTGTTGTGCTTTCTCTTATTTAAAAGATTGAAGTATGTATGCATCGCGCAACAATTGTAGTCTTTACTCGTCCTTCACTGTCAAGTCTTCGTCCATGAAACTGATTAAGTGAGACAAATTGATTACTGGATGATGCGCAAGGATTAAAAGAAATATATGTATTATTTTACATTTTATGCATTTTTTCATTGACCGTTTATATGTTACTATTACAACAAAGATGTTCAATATTACAATGTAGTATCACATAATTTTTCTTTTTTTAGTAATTTAGGATCTAATATATATTGGGCTCGTTTGGTAGACATATTATGAGGGGATTAAATATTGTACTATTTTTTATTTAATCGGGTCTAATACTTTGTTTGATAATCAAATTTGATACCGTATTAATTTCAAAAACGTATATTGATTGTATACTTATCATATATTTTTTTTATGATCAACTTGTATTGTGAATGTTTTTTAATACCATTAAGAGAGGTTATATTATAATCCAACTCAAACGTATTATTTTACATATTTACTATTATAACATCTCAAGTGATAAAATCAAGTTGTCATAACAAACATTGATTGAGGATATTTTTGTTAATTTAACATTAATACGATGAAATAATTTTCTAACCAAATAACCGATTGGATTAAATAATTACTATCCAACGCTTATATTTTGTATTATCAACCACTAGATAAAATTACGTATAATTCTAATACAATATTTAATCTTATTTTTTATTCACCTGTATTGTATTAGACTGTATTATTTTATTAAATCCATCAATTTATAATATGACAACCAAACAAGTCCATTAAACATTATTGAAATTTTATTTATATTAACTAGTTTTTATTATGGATCCTTTTTGAGAATGAACAATTTAATTAGTTGGTATTTTTGTGTTTAAATGAAAACAAAATTGAGTTTAATAAATGGTANGAGGATATTTTTGTTAATTTAACATTAATACGATGAAATAATTTTCTAACCAAATAACCGATTGGATTAAATAATTACTATCCAACGCTTATATTTTGTATTATCAACCACTAGATAAAATTACGTATAATTCTAATACAATATTTAATCTTATTTTTTATTCACCTGTATTGTATTAGACTGTATTATTTTATTAAATCCATCAATTTATAATATGACAACCAAACAAGTCCATTAAACATTATTGAAATTTTATTTATATTAACTAGTTTTTATTATGGATCCTTTTTGAGAATGAACAATTTAATTAGTTGGTATTTTTGTGTTTAAATGAAAAAAAAATTGAGTTTAATAAATGGTGTTTTTTTTGGAAGAGAGATATTTATTATATTTTTTTATCGAAGTGTTAACATTTTTTATCTTTTAATAAATGTGTATGTGTGAGGTGGATTGCACTTTTGGACGTAAATTTTAATTTTTTTTTTACGTAATCTTTCAAAAGTTATTATTGGTAAATTAAATTATAATGAATTTTAATATTTGATCAATACTTTATTATTGAATTCTAAAATTTTTGAGCCTTTTTTATATGTGGGGCCTAAAACCCATATTTTTTTGGCTCTAGTATTGAGCTGGCATTGGATCTCCATATAACCTTAGGCCGTTTATCACCCGATTTACAACTCTAATGTAACATATGCACCTTTAAAATCATAGACCTCCCATATAAAAATTAGATTGCAGATGACAACAAAACAATAAGTAGTATGCAAATATGGCTGATAATTATGAAATAACAGGAATAAAATCATGTTCATCAAAACCCACCCGGAGACAATATGTTTTGAAACTATGAATTGAACAATTCTTTTATTGCGTTGTATCAAATTGATACAAATGAGCCTCTTACATGTAAAAAATCAAGAAAGCGAACAAACCAAAAAAAAGCATAGAATGATTGGACATAATTCCACGCACAGAACCACTAACACATTCTTATTTCCCTCTTCTACATTCTCTCTCTCTATAAGTTTAGTGCATGAAGAGAGCGAAGAAGGACAAGATAGAGGCCCCAACTAAAGACACGGCAGCCGGCATGGCGGCGGCGTCACTGGACTGTGCGGGAGCCATGCTTGGAGCTTCGACAGCCATGGCCGCGCTCATGGAGGCAGCGGCGACGACGAGGGCTGCACATGCGATCTTCTTCATTTCCTTGGCAAAGGAAGGCGGTGATCGGCAAATAAACTCAAGAAACGAGAGATTGGTTACCGAATCCTGCCTTTGTGTGTGTGCAGCCTTGAGGAGATAGGGGTGGCTGTGGGAGGGTATTTATAGGGGTGGTATGTGCTATTTTTGGAATTTTGGAATTTAATGTTTTTATTATCCGAAAAAAGAAAATTACTATTTTTAGTTTGAAAGATATAGATTAGTGGTTACTTTTGTATGTTAGAGAGTGGTTGAGTTTGTGAGGACAAAGGGGATTTAACTTCTTGTTTTGAGCAGGTCTTTTGTTAGGATTGTTGGGTTTTTCTTCATCTTTTCTAATGTTTGTTTTTGTCCAATACTATTACGGAAGAGGGAACGATGAGATTCGATCTTACAATCTTAACATTTAAAAATGGGGATGGATACCATTTGGGCAACTGCTAATAAATGTTAGAGTTTGTGGCTTTTTCTTTCACTTTTTGTTTTATGTTTTCAATATTTTCGTTAAATGGGTGGTGAAAATAAAAAGTTTATGGAAAGTGTTAGCGATCTCAATTTTTGGGGCATTATTGATAGAGACATCCATGGAGGTTAGGTTTCAATCATAACGTTAAATAGTAACATGAATTTTGTAAAAGTGTTACAAATGAATTTGATATGGGCAAAGGTAAAACCTAAATAGTAATGTGAGTTTTGTGCACAAGTCGTAGATAAATTTAACGTGGGTAAAAGTTAAGTCTAAATAGAAGTCTGAGTTTTGTACACACACCAGAGTTTTTGAAACATTGGTGAGTCCCATTGATGTGGATAGCAAAGCCCTCTCTGCGTTCACTCATGTACTAAGAGTCGTGCATACACAATATCCGTGTATAGAGATTGGGAAAAAAGAGAAAGATATAAAAGTGAAAAGATATTGAAATAAATAAATCTAGATAGCTATAATTGTCTTGTTTGAGTTGAATAATTAATCTTAACCATAGTTTTTAATACGCTTGACAAAATTAAACACAACTTAATTACTCAACACTAATTACCATGAAATTAACGGGTTTAAGTTTAATATTAACTGATTCGGATAGTAAATGGGTGGATCCGCCTATCCCGTATAATAAATGAGTCATGTTTGAATAGAGTACCTTAATTTGTTTATCACTTAATTACTTGATAATAAACAAGTGGTATACGGGTTGAGTAGTTTTTAACACGAACTCGCTAATATTTGACACGAATCAACACAATCCGACACAATTACCAAATCTAGTATTTAGACCATGATACATATGGCATTTTTTGGCATATTTTCGGATTGAGGGTGTGTCAAAATCAATTGGACTTAAAATTCAAATATTTACAATTTTACCTGTACGTACCGGTGTGAGATTTTAATATCATTAATGTTCAAACAATTGTAACGAAACGTAAAAGTAATTTCAGATTCTTTTATTTGCCTTGGGAATCAGATACTTAACTAATTTCTAAGCAAACAACTTAGTGAACTAGGAAAGAAATTGGAATTAACCAAACAACTTAGTAAACTAGGAAAGAAACTGGAATTAACGACAAGAAAAGTAAATGACAATGGAATAATTCAAACTACATTAATCCGAAAGGAATATCACAGGAGTGACGATTTACGGGCTAAAGGAAATTTGTAAAATAAATTAAGTAAATGAGAGGCTGACTTTGTGTATTGTTGTGTGTTGATCGAGAGATCTTTTTCTGTAACTTGTCTTTTGGTATTTATAGGGAATGACTTTCAACCGTCGAAGCCAACTTTTATGGCCATGACTGCTCTCACGACTTATTTCCTCGATAAGTTTAAACATGCATTAAACCGTTTTTAATTGACAATTCATGATGTTATGTTTTTTCATTTTTAAAAATTTATGAAATGCTATTCTCTCAACCGTCTTATTGTATCTAGACTCTCTCTGACTTTATTTTATCGCTGTATCTTTGTTACGTGTCGTTCTTACATCTTGATATTTTGGGTGTAATAAGGCATGTAACTAATCCTATGGAGTAAGTGCCATTTACCAACCTTAATAATATTTCTGATGTAAAATAGAACTCCAAATGGGCCGAACTATTCATGAATAACTCGGAATCAGTCGCTAGTATTGATAAAAAAAAAAAAAATCATTAGCAAAAAAAAAAAATCAAAATCAGTTGAAATTAAAATTTGCTAAATCGATCTAATTAGCCCCAACTTAATTTTGACACTCATTTAATCGACCAATAAAGCTTGAGCAATGACTTATTCGTTTTGTATATATACTAGTAATGCACAACGTGCGTTGCATCTGAATATATTTGAATAACAATTTTTTATGAGAAATTTAAATTTTATATGTAATTAAATTGAATCATAAATTATGTGTGTAATAATTAATTCTTATTTTAACTATTGTTAAACTTAATTACTGATATATTCTATTCCTATTTGATTATCTAATTTATCATTTATTTAAAGATCTCTTCGACTCATTAGACAATTTTCTAATTTTTTTATAATGAAATTGCATTGTAAAATTATCATTATTGAGTATTTGTACATCTAATTATATTATAAATTACTTTTCTTGTAAAATAGGTTAATTTAATTGCAATACTATTGTTTGTACTATAATAATATGATATTGTTGAATATCAAAAAAAAAAAAAACATGACATATATTTAATCATAGAATCCAATTCAACAACTACACACGCACATATGTAGTAATAGAAATATAGAGTATAAATTGAACTTTATTTCATCATATAAATATAAACATATATATAAAAAATGTATGAAAGTAAATTACTAATAAATGATTGCAAAAGAAATTATAATTCAAATACTATTAATGAAAGAATCTAAAATAACTTATAAGTCAAATAGGTATAAGAAATAAAAAATAGATAAAAATAATAAAGAATTTAGAAGTCAAATATTGTTAATAAAAGAGTCTAAAATAACTTAAAAGTCAAATAAGTATAGCCGTATAAGAAATAAAAATGGGATAAAAGTAATGTGTGAGTATTATTAATTTTATAATAATAATTAAAAATAAAATAGAAAATAAAAATGGGATTAAAGTAATATGCGAGTATTATTAATTTTATAATAATAATTAAAAATAAAATTAAAAATCAAAAAATTTTCACATATGTTNATAAATTTGATATGGGTAAAGGTAAAACCTAAATAGTAATATAAATTTTGTGCACGAGTCACATATAAATTTGACGTGGGTAGAGGTAAAAGTCTAAATAGAAGTCTGAGTTTTGTACACATGCCACCAGCGACTTTCTGCTAAACATTTAATGAATACCATACAGTTTTTCAAACATTGGTGTGTCCCATTNTGTACATCTAATTATATTATAAATTACTTTTCTTGTAAAATAGGTTAATTTAATTGCAATACTATTGTTTGTACTATAATAATATGATATTGTTGAATATCAAAAAAAAAAAAAACATGACATATATTTAATCATAGAATCCAATTCAACAACTACACACGNCAAAAAAAAAAAAAAAACATGACATATATTTAATCGTAGAATCCAATTCAACAACTGCACACANAAGGAGAAAGATAAGAAGAGATTGAAATCAATAAATCTAGATAGTTAGAAGAGTCGTGGATAGAGTAACCAATTTTAACATAGTTTTTAATACGTTTGATAAAATCAAACACGACTTAATTGCTCAACTAATAATATTAATTGATTAGAATAATAAATGGGTGGACCTACCTATCTCGTATTATAAATGAGTCATGTTTTACTAGAGTACCTTAGTCCCTTTTTTTTAATTTTTTTTTTTTTTAAAGTNCGCACATATGTAGTAATAGAAATATAGAGTATAAATTGAACTTTATTTCATCATATAAATATAAACATATATATAAAAAATGTATGAAAGTAAATTACTAATAAATGATTGCAAAAGAAATTATAATTCAAATACTATTAATGAAAGAATCTAAAATAACTTATAAGTCAAATAGGTATAAGAAATAAAAAATAGATAAAAATAATAAAGAATTTAGAAGTCAAATATTGTTAATAAAAGAGTCTAAAATAACTTAAAAGTCAAATAAGTATAGCCGTATAAGAAATAAAAATGGGATAAAAGTAATGTGTGAGTATTATTAATTTTATAATAATAATTAAAAATAAAATAGAAAATAAAAATGGGATTAAAGTAATATGCAAGTATTATTAATTTTATAACAATAATTAAAAATAAAATTAAAAATCAAAAATTTTTCACAGATGTTGACAATTATAATAACTAATAAAATTGTGCGGGCTCGATCCTGCACGATATATAAAATATTGGGAACAGATCTCTCCCCTGGTGAACTTTGAGTGAGCCGGTTGAGTGGCCAAACACGCTGCTTGAAACAGCCTACAGGGTACGGTGGCAACCTGGAACGGCAAAGGAAGATCCTGGGAAAGGAAGAACGATCCTGTACGTGTGAAAGGTATTTCCTGGAACAAAGGAGAACAAGTTAGAAGGGCGCCGGAGTGTTTTCCGGCGTATCCCCTCCGACGGTCTAGTCAGTCTTTGAATGAGAGAGAGGAAGGAGAAAACACTGAAAAAGATATTTCGTAGTAGAGAGTTTGTGATTGCATACCTCTTTGCCTTTTTGGGAGGAGTATTTATACCTTAGAAGCTCATGATTACTGTCACTGGTGATCATCAGGCACAGGTAGCGTGTGTATTGATTTGATGAAGAATGTCTTCTCTAATTGATTGCTCGGGGTCCCGAGCAATCAATTCTGAGCCGTCGGGACGCCGACGGTACAATATGATCCTTTCGGGAAGGATGCAATAAATGCTCTGTAATAGGAGCATTTATTGCCTTTCATATCCAAACCTTACCGCATTGAATGTGGTCTCGTCAACAGAAGGANACAATATGATCCTTTCGGGAAGGATGCAATAAATGCTCTGTAATAGGAGCATTTATTGCCTTTCATATCCGAACCTTACCGCATTGAATGCGGTCTCGTCAACAGAAGGGTGCAATTAATTTGTTTGCTTTCCCAAGTCGCGTGTCAGCGACGGCATGCGGTTTGTCTGCTTCTGATGTGACATTATTT